GCATGTGGGCTCTCGCTGCTTACGTTCCGCAAGCCTATGCTCGGGCAACCGAGCAGCACCGAGAGGCACTGAGAGAAGCGGGCTTTCCGCTGCCGAGCTAACCAGTACGGGGCCGGGCCCGGAGGATTTTTTTCTCTCTCTGGGGAGGGTGTTCCAGCTCTCCACTCTGTGATAGCTACAGGCCTCAGTTCGAGACATAGGGTAGAATTCGGTACTTTGGAGCACTATCGATTCGCGGGCCTACGGCCCGCAGCTCCGACGATCTTAGGGGCTCTAAAGTCTTTGCAAAACGGGCTTTAGAGGAACTTTAAGGGCGCGCCACTTGCCAGCAGCCGACGAGTGCTCGCCAGCAGCTCACGAGCTACTTGCTGGCAACTTACGAGCACTTGCCGGCAGCTCACGAGCTACTTTCGAGCAGCGCACGAGCTTCTTCTTGCCAACCGAAATAACCGAAATTCAAGACAGTTCACCGAAAGTTTCGCCACTCGCCGGCAGCTTACGAGCTACTTTCGAGCTGCTCCCACGCCCTCCGCGCCGAACAAGCGCGCGCAAGCGCGCGTCGCTCCCAAACAGCTCCGGAGCACGACGGAGCGCCTCCAACCAGCTCGCGAGCCCTCCGCACGCCCTCCGCGCCGAACGAGCGCGCGTAAGCGCGCGTCGCTCCCAAACAGCTCCGGAGCACGACGGAGCGCCTCCAAACAGCTCGCGAGCCCTCCGCGCGCCTTCAAAGCGCCTCCGATGCCGCGCGCGCCCGTTTTGCAAGCACTTTAGAGCCCCTAAGATCGCGAGCCCTAGAGCCTCCAGCCCGCAAAATCGACAGGCCTTCGAAGTATGGAATTCTAGGCTATGTCTCGAAACTAGCCTCGTAGCTACTACAGAGTAGGGAACTGGAACACCCTCCCCAGAGAGAGAGGGAGGCGACGTTTGCGATCAGAAGGAGGGAAGCCGCATTTGTTCAGGGATGTTTTATGCACCAAAAGCCATTTCGCGTCACGATCTCGCTCAAAAAAACAGAACTCGAGAGTGTCTGCTGACGGGACTGGAACGGACTCGAGAGTGTCTGGTACCGGACTGGAACGGCTGCTGATGCTTTCTTGCACACTACTCTTGTTTTTGCAAGAACTAGTTGGAAGAGCATGGTGCAGAGCACACATTTGAAGAAGGTAAGAGCGCCTGGGACCGGCGTTTTGTAGCGCAGCTGAAATAGGCAAATGTGCTAAAACCTAGGGAAAACGTGTATTATGACTAAAAAGTTGTGCTGGGAGAGGCGGCGAATCCCTGTGCTCGATCGTTTTAGGGAAAAAGGGTGTTGCCGCTGCAATAAAGCCACTTTTGCAAGCACAGCGCTGCGCAAATAACTTGGTCTGAGTGGACGTTAAATGTGGTTGACCATGGATGCTCTGCGTCAATGAGATCTGGTCTGAGTGGACGTTGATATGGTTGACCATGGATGCTCTGCGTCAATGAGATCTGGTCTGAGTGGACGAACATGGTTGACCCACAGATGGACGGCTTGGAACGACGGTTCTCTGTCGCTAGCTTGAGGTCGCAAGGCATCTTGTTTCCACGCTACTACAGCTTCGCCAAGGGTATGAGACGTCATACACCTGCTGTTTTTTTTAGATGTTTCTTGGAACGGAGCTGCAGCTGCAGCCACGAGGCCTGCCGACGCCAAAAAGAGTCTGCATCTTTCAGATGACTGGGACCTTCTCCGGCATGACCGATGGCGGGAAAGAACAAGAAGGTCCCACATACTGAAGCGTCGGCTTTGGCCTTCCGACCTTAAACACGAAACAAACACACGAAAAGAGTGGTGAGACACAATCGAGGAGACTACGTACTGGACTTAGTCAGCATTCGCCGTTCAGCATGAAAAAAAAACGCTCTTGGCGACCTCAAGCTAGAAGAGTCCAAGAAAAGCTTCGGCAGTCGTTCTAGTCGTCGGACAACGGACAGCCCTCGTGCCTTTTTTCAAGCAAGATCGTCATGAACCAAGTCCACAAGTCCACATCTTGACAGCCGGGAAATCTGAGGACATTGCAAGGTGCAAGGAACCGCAGCAGCCGTGAATCCGTAGTCGATCCAAGCAGGTAGACATCTGTATGACGTCTCTGTCTGTTGGCGCGACCGGACGGGCCAAACGAGCGTCCGAAGCCAAGACAGACTGAAAGACCAGCAATGACAAGACAGCTACGATTTACCTGTACACAAATAACTAGATGCGAACAAATGAGATTTCAAGCATTCGGAAGTTTCTTGTTTCTGACCCGCTTCAAACCTCCCTTCAAAACCCTTGAAGTCCGCTTTCAAGTCGTTCAAGCCCACCTTAGTTTTTGATAGATGTTTCTTTATTTTTTCGTCATGTTTGGTCTAGAAGACGTTTCAATTTCATTTCACCTTTTTCTTCGCTTCTTAAGCTCCCGAAAGCGAGTTTATGCGACTTCGTTTGGCTTGCTTGTCTGTCCGAGCAGACGTTTCACTGTTTGTCTTCGCTTCTTAACCTCCCTAAAGAATTCATTTGGCTTCTGTCTTTGGTTATTGTTTTTTTCGTTTAAGGGAGCTTCTACTTCAAGAAGGCTTGAGGACATTGGAGTCCCCCCTTCTCAAGCCTTTCTTCTCAAGCCACCCCCAAATCTCCGAGAGAAAGGGCCTCGAAAGGGTGTCCGCTCCAGTTAAAGAAAGCGAATGAATTTGCTTCAAAATTTCCCTTACGAAGAAATAACAAACGGATTCGCTTCAGGGGGCTCAAGAACCAAAGAGAGAAAAGGTCAAGATCGTTCATATCTTGATTCGTTTAAGATTCCAAGATCCTAGATCAATACGGAATCTTTTCTTGGTATCCAAGATGTCAAGAACGGACTCCGACAATCTTGGTCTTGGAATCTTGGATCCTTTCCGTACCACTTGTGTCGTTTTCTACCGTTGGCGTTGATTCAAGCCGGTACAACTTGTACCGGTTGTTCCGGGTTCTATCCAAAGCCTGGACCTGTAACGTTCTGGTACGGCTCTCTTTTGGTGGAATTCACCCAGCCAGAAAACAGCAGATCCATGTTTCCAGTTTGCAGCGTATTAAAGTTTGTGGAGTAGCAGTGAAAACATCGACGTTTGGGTCGTTCAACGAAAAAACTGAATTGTGTGCTAAGCCGCTTGTATCGTCCAAATGCCTGCAATCTTGGTTCAATTGTGCTGAGGGTTGTTGCATCATACCAGCAAGGTTGTTGTATCTCTAGTTTTTAGAATGTCGAAAACCAAGACGTGTTTACATTGCTCAAAAGAGTTTTAGGGTTTGCTCAGGTTGTTGTCTGAGTCTACAGCAAGCTGCAACGAGCTACACATTGCCTGAGAACATTTACACAAGATCCCCATGGCCAGCGATTTGATCGACTGGATAAGCCGCTTAGATGCTGCAGTGTTGCTTACGATCTGTAGGATAGATGGGGTAGCAGCGAGCTTGTGTGTCTTCACTAGTCACTGTTTGACCTTGACGAGGTCGACAAGCTCAAATCGGTGGCGATGCTCGTCAGGGCTTGGTCCGAGCAGCGCGAAGGAATGCTCGCGCCAGCATGCATCCGCTCTCCTTGCAGGGGTTCTGCGTTGAAATCACCGCCAAGTTTACAACTATATGCTGTATGCAGTCTTCCGGGAATTGAATCTGAGGTCTGCGGGTTCAATTGCCAGGCTTCACACATCATGAGGCTTCTTGCAAAATTACTACCACTTGACAGCCATGGGACAGACTTGTCGTTGTTGCGGATGTGGTGTTGTGGGCGGTTCGGCAGTCGTGCGGTGAAGAGGCAGGGATTTCACTTATTTGTCAGGCTGAACAGACTTGGCAGGAACCTGGAGCTACAATAAAATCTTACTTTGTGTCTCATTACATTGATGCTCACACCATCCAAGACTTCCCCACACAGTTTGTGATCAGAGGAACCGATGGGAAATGCAAATGTTTGCCGCCCGTGGCTGAGATTCTGAAATGCTCGGGGTCATGTGTCGGCTTCGTGTTCGTTTGAGAGACACTCTGCGAGCTGATCTGAGGGTGGTGCATCGAAGTTCAGAGCTAGCGAAAGTTGACTGTGGATCATGTCTGGCTCGAACCAGCTTGTACTCATCCACTGATGTCCATCTCGAAAGAGTCTTGACAAGCCTGCCTCCGGCATCGGACAGCAGTCGAATTCTTTAGCGGGCATGCCTTCAGAAAGTCAAGGCTGCAATGGCCACTCTGACTCGACAAGCGTTGACGCTCTTGTGCAAAGGCACGAGAATCGACAGTTTCTGCTGCAAAGACTGTCTGTGTTGCGGCAGCAGGTTCGGAACCTTGAACAAGAAGTTTCTGACATTGAAAGTGTTGTGCATGGACTGCCCTATGCACCGGCCCAATCGGCCGACGTGTACCGCCGAGACGGGGCTCTGCCGCATTTCCATGTGGCAGCCACAGCAGGCGAGAGAGTGCCCCGGGATTGTCCGTTGGCTTAAGACAGGCTCTTTAATTCCAGGATAGGGTTGGCTAGGATCCCAAACCGTGCGCCGTAAACCCTTAGATGGGTTCGCTGTGCCCCCGGTTTCAGAAAATTGCAGTGTTGAAGGTGCAGGAGGCATTGCGTTGCCCCTGGCCGTGGGCATTGTGCATCCCCTGGATACGGTTCGGACCACCATGCAAGCTGCTGTTGCTTGCCAGAAATTCGATCTTCTACCGAGTGTTATCAAGTGTAATCTGCGGGCGTACCGTGAGAAAAGACCCAAAATGGAAGTTGTGTGTGGTACTTGGAGGTTCATGGTCAGTTATATGCAGGGTTATAAGTAGGATAACTATAGGTATAACCCAGAATAGGAACATATAACCCCTATACAATAACCGCCCATGAACCTCCGTCTAGATTGTTGCTCCTGAGGCTTCTTGCGGAAGTTTCTCTCACTCACTGCAGAGTCTCGGATGGCGTGGCCTCAGTCGCGGTTTCCTTCTCAGCCTTGCCTGGGCATGTCCGCAGGGCGCCATACGCATGGCCAGCTACGAGGCCTGCAAGGAGACACTATTGGACCAGTTTTATTTCAGACCGTTTGGGATTGCGGTCTCTGCTATAGCGGCCGACTTTGCAAGCAGCGTGGTCAAAGTTCCTCGGGAACTGATAACGCAACGAATGCAAACTGGTCAGTACAAGTCCAGCTGGAAAGCAGTGCACAGTATCTTCCGGGAGGATGGCTTCACCGGCTTTTTTCGGGGGTATGCTTCTACTGCCTCTCGTGACGCTCCTTTTATGCTGCTTCTCTTCCTGTCCTACGAGCAGTTCAAATCCTGGAAGATTCGCTTGACCTTCTCGCAGCAGGGCCCTGCTGAGATCTTCGCTCCGTGGTCAGATGCAGAGACCGTGACACGGATGGGTCAGTTCAGTTTTGGTCCTTTCTTTTGAGTCAGGTCGAAGAGCAGCTTTAAAAGTAATTTGATGGGCCCGGCTCTTGAACGAGGTGCTTTGGGGGGGCATCTCCGGTACTTTGGCAGCTTGGTTGACGACTCCGTTCGACGTCATCAAAACGCGGATCATGACTTCTAACACTTCCCTCTCCTTCCAGGAGGCCGTGAAAGGGACAAACGGGCTCGCTGGGCTCTTTCGCGGAGCCGCCCCTCGCAGTGCGTGGTGGTTCTGTGTCAGCTCCGTGTTCTTTGCAAGCTACGAACGGCTTCGAGCTGTTCTCCAGCAGCACGTGGACAGTGCCGTGGACACGGGCGGGTCAAAAAAGTTTTGCTGCTGTACGCCTGCATGGAATGTTGCGTGAATCGCACCAACTCTCTTGCATCATTAAGGAGATCATCTGTGGTGAGCCACAGCTAAATGCAGACATGATCGAGAACTGCAGCCCCAACGAGGTCCCGGAATGTGTGCAGCAAGGGACCATCTTTGGCCATGTGCGGTACACGTGTGCAGTAGGATGACCCAAGTTCCCGTTGCTCTTGTTGTCGTGACACTTTGAGAATATTGTCGTCGTGGCAGATAGCGGTGCTGAGCCGCGCCTGGCGTCTCGACTTCGGGGTACCATCGCCACGAAGACTGGCACGAAGGACCACTGAGCGAGGAGAACATGTGTTGGATGCCTTTCCCCTCCGGCCAAAATGGCAGGTCGGAGAATCGAGAGCATCTGCAGGACCCAGTCTGCGCGAGCATCTGAGAGGAATGCTGCGGTTTGTCTGTGACCACTGCCACGTGCAGGAGAGACAGCACTACGTTGGTGGCCGTGAGCACATGTACATGTCTGCCTCTCGGAGCTTCGGTTCGGTGGGGAGGGCATATGCAAAGAATTCCTGTGACACCGAGGTTAGACGGCTACGTTGCGGCTGTAGACGAGGAGTTTGAGGCAGTTGATGCAAGTGGTTCTGGATGGTAAGCTGCGCTTGCGAGACGGAGCTTGGACTCCTGCTGGTTATTTGTCGCATTGTCGCCTGACGACAGAATCGCCGACACAACGTAACGCCGCCCTATGGCCAACGACCTGCGCCGCGAGAAGTCCGGAACCTTGAAGCGATTTGTGAATTGCCATTGCTTTGGAATACAGAGGTCACCTCGATGTCTGCATGAGCTTGACTTTTTGTCCTGTGCAGCGTAAGGGCTCGTATTAAGATTCTCACTTGTTAAGTACTGCTTGCACACGTCAAGGACTAGCCGCTGACTAGCCATGGGCGACATGTCAGTTCGTGGTTTTCTCGTCGTCAGATCACGGATAAGCGCCCCCCATTTCGCTTAGCTGTCGCCTCTACCGCAGCGTAACAATTCGCAGCGCGGCCGTGGACGTATCCGCCTAAGCGGTGCCAAAGCTTGCATCATGCCGGGAGTTGGCGCTGCCATGAAAACGGTTCGGCACTCAAGACTGCGGTCTACGGTCTGCATGGACGTTTCGTTCGGTAATGATCTCCGGTGTTTGGATCAGGCCGCGTCCTGGTCAAGCGGCTGGACACTTGGCCTCGCACGATCGCCACACATCGCCATGGGCCCGTAAGTGCATCGTAGGAGCACGGAGCCCTTTTTGGACCTCTCCTTTGCCAGGAAAAGTCCAGATCAGTTGCGGGACGTTGTGAAACCGGAAGGCTTGGAGTCTGGTTTCGGGGACTTGAAGGACACGGCTTTGGCATTTTTGCGAAAATATCATTTGCAGAGGGTGCAAGAATGCAGGAGCTGAGCAGATCAGTGATGGGGGGCATGCTCGGCCTGAACAAGCACAAGCCAGATGAGGGCTTCATGCGTGCCGCAATGGCTGCAAGTGATGCTTGCCTCAAGATTCAGCCTAGAGAAGGGATTTGGTGTTGTCCTAGTGTGCTGCCCGACAGCAGATGGTAGTGACAGTGCAGCGGCCGTTGTCGTCGTATCTCCTTCATCCTGCTGAGCTGCAAGGAGTACCCGAAGTATTTTCAACACACCAACGGCCACAAAATCGGCGGTACACACCGCCGTGGGTCGCCTGGCAACATATTGTCGCTGCCCTCTGGTGCGTTTCGTCTCAGTCGTGCCTTTGGGAGTACTCTGTCCAAGGCGCTTGCCAATGACGGAAGCGCAGACAATTGCTTTTTCCAGGTGGCATCTTGCACACACGCCTGTGGCAGCACCCTTTCGCGTGAGCTCGTGAGAGTTCAAACTCACGGCCGGTTGGGGTAACGACGTAGGCAGCCCGACCTGGCTTGAGTCGGTACATCCGCACATTGACACATTTGACATGTCAGGAGCGACAGGGTGCCTTGCCTGACTTGAGAAGATGCGCACGTGTGTGGAACTTGGGTTCAACTAACTAACTGACCCCTAGCCGAGCAAGCTTTGTGAGCTGCTTCGATTCTCTTAAGGTTCTCTGGCAGGATTGCAACTTGAATCAGATGCGGCTAAGCAAAAATGCGAACGACAATGCTTGATGTTCCGCTGCTGCTGGAGGTGCCATGTGTTCCGCAGTTCCTGGAAGAGAGATACGCTACGCCCCTGTTCTGCAAATCGGGGTTGAAGCGAGTCCTGATAGGCATAGAAGCATTCTGCACAACTTTTCGATCCACTTGTGAGACAACAGCGTGCCAGCGAAACGTGCAGGGCAACCTCGCAAGTCATGTCACACAGATCGAATAATTCATGGTTCTAGGTAATAATGGGTGAATGCAGGACGCGGCAGACTTGTATTCCGGTCACCCATTGCCATCTAGGACAAACTCGCGACAAGGAAGCATGGTAGAAGAGCCAAAAAGCACAGGTGGGGCTGCGAATGCCCTCTCAATGCCAGTGAACCCTGGCAGGCTGAAGCAGCTGCTCGCGCAGACGCAGCTGGTAGCCTCGGTTCAAGATCCGTACAGGTCGGTGGACTCGGCTCAGTGGATAGAGCATGCATGTGCAGCTAGCCTTCCATCAAACCTTGCTGAAAAGCAGATCCGTCAGGTTCGGAGAGCTGGTTCGCGCCGAGGAGCTTTCAAACTTCCTCAATCGTGCCGACAATTCCGTCATATCGACGGAGGAAGTCTCAAAGATGCTTGGCTGGAAGGTTCAAAACAAATGCCTTCTGGGAGCTCTTTGTTGCAGCCAGCAGCCAACAGCCGCTCATATCGGTGTGCTTATTCAGGCTGGGAGAAGCTCTGGCAGCAACGCTCAATGCAGGCATATCAAACATATGACATGACCTTGAGCATACCAGTCAAGCACTGGTTGGCTGTGGCTGATGTGGAATTTGGCAGTGGCATGACCTGCAGTGCAGTGTGTTGCAGTGCCCATGTACGTTTATGCTCTGCATCAGCCAAGCTGTCGCAGAGAGAGAGGGCTCGGCCGTGACGCCAAGAGGACGAGGAGCCCGTACTGACTACACCGCGCCGCTAAAGCACTCGGAGGAGAAGGCTCGTACTGACGACTGGCCGTGAATTCCAGTGGCGTCCTTCCGGATGACGGCATTGTCAGAAATTAGCATAGCATACTATAGCTCTTAGCTTGAAGAGCAGCGAGGCTGTCGGGGCTCTATATCGGTCCGCTCTTTCTGTGGCCTGTGAAGATCCCTGCCTTGAGTGCCAAGCTGCGCCAGCCTTGCCTGTAAGGCTTAGGCGAGTGCCCCTGCAGGTGGTATAGCAAAAGTCCATCTGTAGCGTTTCGTACAACGAGCTTGTCCGCCTGAAGGTGTCGTTTGCGCTCTCGGATGGCATCGGAATGACCCAGCAGGATCGAGACCCTTCTCTGCGGACACATTACCGGGATTACCGTGTTCGTGTTTCCTTTTCAGTTCCATGTGCAGGCCATGAACGACGTGGCGGATACTTGGACGCATTCCAAGCGTTCGCCTATGTTGCTGAGTACGACAGTACGAGCGACTTGCAGATCGGCTTGCTGCTGAGGCATATGCGTTTCGCTGTCGTGCCACAACGTTCCTTATGCTCTGAGTGCCGGAAAACTCGAGTTAATGCACTGTGCGTCAGACTCCCAGCGTTTGCAGGCTGTATGACAGAGCTTGAGGACAGTAGTGGCCATTTTTGAAATCGTTCGACTGCCTGGAGACTGACTTGCCCAGAGGGGGCACACTTGATAATGACAGCTCCATGAAGAGCCGCTTTTGGAAGCTTCTTGTTCGTCAGCTCGCTGCCTCATTAAGCTTTCAAAAAGGTCAGGTAGTGTGTGCTAGCACGTCTGTGCAGCTCGTCTTACCAACTGCTTGCGAACGTGAGCTGAAGCGAATTCCTTCTCGAAGGCATGGCCGGATGACCACCGCTATCACCGGCAAGAGCAGAGGCACCGCGACACCAATCAGTCTTTCCGTTTGTTCACGGGTGGGTCATTTCTGACGGCAGGCCGGTGGTGGTTCGAAGTGACCGGAGTGAGAAGGCCTTGGATAGTTCGGGCTTTGCCGGGGGGTGGGGGGAAGCTAGCCCTAGCCACGCCCCGTTTTAAGATCCCTCCCAGCCCCGACCTGCCTCCCGAACCCCAGCCTCAACTTTCCTCAAAGCCTGCCCATACTACCCTATACACACATTCCAGAAATAATCTATCCCATAAACTCAAGCAACCCGCCAACTCCTACCCTCAACACCAAGCCTCAACCATTCCCGATAAAATAGTACATAATTTTATGTAACATCTTATCCCAATAAAACGGGGCGTGCCCCATTGTAGAGTTTTATTAAGTTTTATAATCTTAATAATTATAAAACCTAATTAACAATGTCTGGAGTTGTAATATCTACGTGGTGCTTCTGTTATGTTAAAATCTATTTTAAGTGCGGCTGCGCAGGCAGACAAAAACCCCTCCAGCTTTGCTAAGCTTGTGGCTGAGTTCCCTGACAACATCGAGCTGAAAAAAGAAGGGAGGCCCTTGGAGTGCTTCTCGATGTGTTCGCTGAGGATGCACTTGGCTACCGCTGCTGGCAAGAAGGATTTCCCGTTGGAGAAGTTGTTGGGCGTAGAGACGACTGCATTTAGCAGAGACATGGATGACGAGTTGATGATTGATCGTTTGAAAAGTGTCAGCTTTTCAGTGCCTGCGGAAAGCTTCTTCATCCGGACATCACTTAAGGGTGGCAAGTTGCCCCTTAGCAGGGGTGGCAATGAAGACAAACTTTTTGCCGCGTTGAACAACTTGCCACCAGCGAAGAACAGACAACTGAACAGAATATGGCTTCTGCAGTCAGCGAGAGGTGAAGCTTGGGATATCCTCCTTGCTGTTTTCGACACAACCGCGAGCAAGTGGTTCCTAGCTTTTGTGGATTTGAAGGCCAAGCAGGATTTCAATGATGACCGACAAGCCCAGCATGTACAGTACAGGTGCTAGTTGAAGAAGCGCAAAAACGCGCCAACGTTGCTCCATCCAGCTTAATGGAAGCTCTGAAAGACGAGAGGTATTGTTTCTTGTATGTCACTACAGCAGAGGGTGCAAGCTCTGCGAATGAACTTGCAATCACGATGAGGCGTGAAGATACAGAAAGATTCTTTGGACCTCTCTCCGCCATTCACAGTGCAATTCGTAAAGCCTTTCCGAGCAACTGAAGAACTGCTGCGCTGACCTTAAATGACAGCTGTGGTGTGAAAGCAAGGCTGGTGGCGATTGATGTGTTGTTGAGTGTGCTGGGCTAAGAAACTCTACGAGGGTGTGTGTGTGTGTGTGTGTGTGCCCCGTTTTACTGGGATAAGATATGACATAAAATTATGTAATATCTTATCGGGAATGGTTGAGGCTTGGTGTTGAGGGTAGGAGTTGGCGGGTTGCTTGAGTTTATGAGATAGATTATTACTAGAATGTGTGTATAGGGTAGTATGGGCAGGCTTTGAGGAAAGTTGAGGCTGGGGTTCGGGAGGCAGGTCGGGGCTGGGGGGGATTTCAAAACGGGGCGTGGCTAGGGCTAGCTGGGGAGTCTCGAAGTTCTTCCCAGCATCAAGCACAGTCCCAGGCTGCTCCAAACAGTCCCTATGGTCGACAAGGATACGGCGGCGGAGAGGCACGGACCACGGGCCGTTCCGCGTGTCTTGCTGTGCTTGATCACTAATCACCCGAGGTCCATCGATCGGCCGAGAAAGCCATGCCGGACGAAGGAGTGCGTCGGAATGCTGATGTTTCGACATCTATTGCAGATATTAGTAAACCCTCGACAGCCATGCCGGCGCTATTTCAACTTCTAGGTGATCATGAGCACGAGCTTTCAGGAGCTGTGCTAGAGACTTCACCTGGCGCCAGCCCGCAGCAGGTGCACTTTAGCAGAGAGAAGCTGGTGGGATTCGGACGTAAGCAATGAGTCTGGGCGTCTCTGTTTCCAGACATGGCTGAAACCTTCTGAGTGCCTTCGTGTTGTGCTGAGACTGTCTTCTGTCTGCAGGAACAACAGCCGCGAAAGGACAGTGGCAGGGCGGGGCGGCACCTGAACCGTGGGTGCGACACTGGTCGTTCCAGAGGAGCTTCGGTTCAAGACGGCCAAGCAAGACGAGATCATCGCGAGTCCCATTGATTTCTGGGCTCGTGTCTCAGGCTTCTGGACCTCCCTCAGCAATAACTTCCCCGACGACGCACGCGTCCGGCGGTTCCAAACCATCCTCGTCTCGATAACGAAGGCAACAGCTTCGAATATCTCAGTGTGGCAGGTCGCCATCAAAGAAGTTTTCGTTGCTCTGTTGGGTAGGGCGTGCACACTGCAATCTGGAACCTGTTTTCTGAAAGGAGCCTAGAGTGCCTAGGGTGGCCATTGTGATGCAGCATGCACCGGAAGTGTACCAACATATGCAAGACGATGGTCCCTAATCACCAGGCGGGAAGGATGACGTCTACGAGCCTACAAAAATTAAGCAAAATTACGGTGGATGTGCATACGCAACATGGGCGAGGAGTTGACAGGACCGTAAGACTGCAAGAGTTGTAAGGTAACCTTGTACTGGATATCCAGAGGGCAAGTTAGACTCTACCAACAATGCAGACATCACCCGTATCCGATGTTCGGAGACGTGCCAGAAGATGAGGGCATCCAGCTGGAGCGGTTAGAGGGAACTCGGAGATACATCGCGCGTCCGGTCCAGCGGCAAGAATGGTTCACCGGTTCGACATGCACGTGTGCATGAGACCTGTGTAATTTGCTTTTCCTGGGTTTCCGAGGAGGCCTCCTCTGCCAGCGCTATTTCGGTGGCTTTGGATGGGTCTGCTGTTTTCGTGGTGGATAGCGGCCGGGCCCTCGTCTTGTCAGCTGCACAAGAAGCGAAAGCCACGGTTTCCACGATTGGTGTTGCGCAGAGTTGGGACATGTTGGGAGTCTTGGCCCCGGTGTCGGATTTCTTGGTTTCAGAGCGGTTCCGTGTCCGCTAGGAGACAAGGTATCTAATTAGTTTTCATCTTACTTCAGTCTTCGAGCACGGCAAAGTCTAAGGTCGAGGCGAGCTTTCGTTGTAGCTTCCGTCACCGTTGAGATTCGAAGCGAAGCAGTGGCCCAGGTGGCCTCAGACGCTTCGACCTGCCAGACTTGCAACCTGGCTGAAGTCATCCTGTCTTAAACCGTGATGAAGGAAGGGGCTGGGGCGCATTATCATCAGCCTTGTCGCAAGTTACCCGCCCCGGACTCTGAAGTTCTCGTCTGCGATCGTCAGCTGAGCGAGTGCTCACCTTCCACGTTTGTATCGTCTCGGTTTTGCGCATTACCATGGTGACTGGCTAGCAAAACTGTGCTCACAATATCGACCGATCTCGCGTTTGTCCGAATGTCTCTTTCTGTAGCTGTTGTAACGGCAAGCCTGCATGAACTTGCTGACCGAGGGCTGCATTTTGTTTTATGGGGGCACCAACTTGTTGGGACGGGGTGTTAAGGAGCATCGATCATGGAGGAATACACGAGCATCCCTCGCACAGAGCTAGACGCAAGGAACACGTAAGACGGTTCGCTGAGCATCCCCCTTTTCCGTTTTTAGGAGGCATTCAGAGAGCAGGGCGTCGGGCCATGCAACAGTCACATGCGTTGGTATGTACATACTGAGCGGTGCATGGATGCGAAAACGGGCTAGGAAGGACGGATGTGTGCTTTTGTGTCCAAGTATCTATGCTTACGCACTTGTCTACGCGTCGGTGTGTCAAGTGTGTCTCGGTGTGTCTATGTGCCGTTCCAGCACAGGTTTGTGAGTAAGGAGGAGGGTTGGTACCAGGTATGCATGAGTGCATGCAGTCATGATGTTTGGCAACTTGTGTGTGCATGTATGTGGATGCAAAGATGAGCGGAGGGATGCATGGAGTAAAAGATGGTATGCTTTTTAAACATGAAGCATCCGTGGGAGTGCCCCGGAGCAGCAGTGGATCCATCTAGGAAAGTTCGTCAGAGTATCTCAAACAAGCATGCATTCACAAGCTCTGGAAGATGCCCCTGAGATTTGCTCTTGTTGCCGGCTTGGAGGCGGCTCACAGCCTCTGCGGCCTACACAGGCTAGTGGGCACTGGGTGGTTGTTTTGACATGTTTTCCGGCATGTGATCTTCCAGTTTTTTCAATGATTTTCATTTGCTGCGTCCTGAGCATGGTGACTGAGACAGCTCTGTGAGGCGATGCAGCCGGTTACGCCGATGTTGCTGCAGGTTCAACTCAGCCCATATCTGCAATCTGTTCTGCGTTGCTTCTACAGGCATGGACTTCGTTGTGTGTGCTGACGTGGACGGGAACCTCTTTCGCCACGACGCAGTAACGTGCCTGGGACATTGAAGATGGAAAAAATGCCTCAAAGAAGAGATACACTCGGCGAGCACGTGAAATCCGGAGTTGTTGGCTGTGGCAAAGAAGCATGCATAAGCATCCCAGGTGTGAGCTACAGCTGCAGCGCACTTATCAGCCGTCCGTCGTTGAGCACTCGAAGGCACGGTGTCTGACCATGGCCAGTCATGGGGTGATCCTAAGCTCACACTCAAAGGTAGGAATTGGTATACACGGGCGCGGATTGCTATCAGATGCTATCAGTGCCTGCTTCTGCCGCAGCGCCTGGTGGCGTCTCATCTGGATCGTTTGAGCAATGCTGTGACCGGCCTCGAGGGAGGGTGCGGCTGGCAAGATTCTGGGATGTGCCGTTTTCTGAATTCCGCAGAGCAGATCGGAAGGAAGCCAAAGGTGGCCTGGTGTTGCTGCAATGGCATCTAAATGTTGTGAAGCTGTGACGAAGTAATTTGCGGCTCCGCTGATCCTATGACAGGTTCGGCGGAGCTTCCCGGCTGGCCGTTGGTGCAGATGCAGTGTATTTGGGAGGCTACGATCCGAACCCTTCTTGAGTACATGCACCTCAGATCACCTCAGTTAACATAGCATTGGCGTTCTATGCCGGCCTTCGGGGTGAAGGTATCTGGCATTGACATGCATTGTTTGAAGTCGTCGGTAACCGGTAGCATCTGTGAGATGTCATGAACAATATATCTCTTGTTCCAGGACACCAACGATGCCTATCAGACCTATCAGCGACAATACAACCCGCACCCCACAGCTCTATACAGCTCTTACGTCGCACTGACTATAGGCTCGCTGACCTAGAGTATGCGGATGAGACGGTGCTTTCCATCCATCGTTTTCTCCATACCTTCCAGGCGCATGCCAAGTACGGAGGCATGGCCCTCGATCGCGAAAAATGCCATATGTTATCCATCAGCAGATAGCCAGGTCTATCTCATAGACTCCCCATCCGACGCAGTTTTGGCACAGGATTCTTCGTCGTCGGCAGATGCCAAGAAGGGATACTCACAAGCGTCCCATGCTGCTATGTGTCTCCATGATTTATGCATCCAGCCATCCCCTTAAAAGGAAAGCTGCTCGTCCATTCAAAACGTTCCGGCGATCACGCTGTACCGCTCAGCGGCACAGAGATATTTACAGGCAAACCAAACAAACTCCACTGTAGGGTACTTGGGAAATTGTTCATTTCAATAGCGCTTTATGCCACGAAGTACTCGAACCTTCCGACACTGATTGCTGCAATGCATGTCTTTCCCAGCCCAACAATTTTAAGTCCTCCTCAACAGATTATCTCTTCCAGTATCTCGTATTTATGCCGTATATTCAGACACACAAAGTCATTGGAGCACAGAGCCACATTTCAGACTGCTACGCGTATCGACGATTGCATAAACGACGACTTGGCCAATCTCGGGTACATTCGGCCGAACGTAGCTATCAGCGACAGCACATCCTCTCCATCAACATCCCAAAACACCATGATATTTACCGTCATCCCGCAGGAAGAGACGTGTGCCCAACTAGTTTGGAAATGCAGACCTATAGCTTAGGGTCATTTAGAGGAATTGGGAAGGGATTTTGACGAGTAGTGTCACTTGTGGACTTGCTCTACGCGACAGAGAGCGAGAGAGATTTGACCAAGCTTGGTTTTGATGCATCTTTTGTGGAGTCCGTGGGTTTGCAGGCCGTGATGGTGTGGTGACGGCCTATGTGCCAGGCGCATCGGTCGAAGGGCACATGGCGTTGTTGCCATCGCATAGAAACGACTTAGAGTGCAGTTTCAGCATCATGGTCCGGGTGCCCAACAGCATCCTTGCTGCTTTGATCGGTTCTGATCTCTAGCACCCGACGAGAAGGCTCGCTCACGCTCCGAGCCCGCTGCCGGCTTCTGGAGCTGCCGATAGTTCTGCCAGTCACTTCAAACAAGCAAGCCGGCTCGCCACCTCTGATTTGCAGAGGAGGGGCCTAGCTGTGCCATCATAGGAGTTCGTGCCTTGCCGCTACCTCGGCCTTGTGTGCACTCGTGCAGAAGTGTGTCGACAGTCGTGTCAGAAGAAACATGTCGCATAAACACTTCGCCCAGGTGCCTTTCGCCTTACAAGCGACTCTACTGTGCTGTCCAATCCTCCGTGCATGTGCTCACGACTCCTGGCATGAGCGAGGCCCAGCAATGACCCGTGGTTTGTTGTCCTTGGGAAAAGTATCACGCCTGATTCTGATCTGCACAGGTAGCTCTCCTACGGGGTGGCCCTCGGGTTCCTGTGTTCGGAAGCGTAAGCAGGCTCCTCAGCAGAGCTCAGAGGAAGCTCCCGAGCTAAACCAGCACATCCTGCACCAACTGGCTCGAAGCTTATGCATTTCGCTGCATTTCTGTGGGCCTTCGCGAGGTGCAGTCGCCGAGAGCCGCTCAGGGTTCAAAACTCAGAATCAGCGCCTTCGCTGTTTTGGATAGACTCACAGTCTCTTTGCTGTTATCAGGGATTACGTCTTTGTGGCCGACGTGGGTGGGCCGTTCAGAGCCCCAGCTTCTAAAAAGGGAGAAGCCCCGAGACTGGCGGCTTGGCAGCCGACCGCCTTCTCGAGGTCCATTCACGTGTGGGGTACCCGCTCCTTCCGGTGGATGGCCCGTGTGGAGCTGCAGCCAGGCACGAGAGTCCTCGTGGTTTTCGGGTCTGCTGTAAGCCGAGCCCTGCCTCGACACGAGTTTGGGAGGGCCGGAAACTTCGGGTGAAATCGCGCTGGACGCTTCCTTTACCTTTGCCTGAATCCTGCTCAAGCCGTCTCAGCGGGACGTGGCAGACATTGGTTAGTTTGCTGATCCCAAAAGAAAGCTGAGACTGTTGGGAGCTCGGATACATCCCGGCCGGTCTTGCTTGCTGTTTCCATCCGCATTTTGTCTTCTTGGGAGGGTTCCCTGTCCATGTTGAACTGCTGAGGTGAAGTTCTTGTTTGCGCTTGATGCCCGGTGGCCGCAAAATGTCGATACAACTATTGTTTATGCAGCTACGAAAGTGTTAGCAAGTTCGCTTTGTGGGAGTGCAATGCCCAACAATGCGGTGTAACGCTATGAAATCTGGGCAGGGGCAGAGCGTGATAGAGTTTGTAGCGAAGTCGAGTCAAGCTGTTCTTTTTTTTCCATTCCTATTTGGGCCATCGGGCACAAACTTCGACATCATCGACGATGAAGTTTGCAAAGACGCGGGAAGCTCGGTGCGTTTGCTTCGTGGTCTGGGCAGAACGAGTTTAAGTGCACATGCTGCGACGGAGAGGGACATACGACATACACGTACACCACCCCGTCTTGCGCCGATGCCGAGGCTACAGGAGAAATTACGTGAGGAGTGGCAGCAGTCCATTCGGCACGTTTCCCTCGATTCAGGGGTGCACGGCAAACTTCTGCTGGAAGCTGATGCTGCCTGCACAAGAGTCGTGTGAACAGCAGAAACGATCCTGTTCGATGCCAGGCAGTATGTGGACTACAAAATGTTAAAGAAGGCAGCGCTGATGCAAATGCTGTGAGCCCTGCGCGAAACCCGCTTGAGATGAGAGGTGCTGAAGCTTGAACAGGACACGGCTGCGAGCTCATGCTCTGGTCATGGCCAATGCTCTGACAGTGCCTACTTGTCCTTGAGGCAGTGCGTGCCTTCTGTGACCTCCTGGAATCGGAACTGACAAAGGCCGACATGCAGTTGCAGTTTGCCTGCTGCTTTTGCGCTGTTGGCCGGTGACGGTCAACGCTTTGTGTGCGAAGGGGTCGACTTGCTGTCTTGTTTGGCCTCAGCTGCTTGCTTCAAGAAGACTGGAGGTTCATGCTTTCATGCAGCGGCAGCAGGATGACATCTGGAAGGCTGTGTCACGACGTCTGTTACTTGCTGTTGAAAGCCATACTCGCTTGAAGCATCCAGGTGGTCTGTGACGGTGTTGACATTATACCGACCAATGCTCGGCAGCCCACAGCTCAGACATTGACACGGTTGGATTCTCATGCCGGCCACACGATGGGTTAGGTTGGTGCAGATGTCGCCTCTAAATCCTCATCGCCCAGGAATGCGCTTGCCAGCGTCAACACGGCTGAGACCATGGTGGATTCTATTCAGAACTTCAAGAGCTATGTTGTCGCCACCTCAGTCATTGACGATTGTTACCCGTGCAATTGACATCATCAGCATTTGGAGAGCAATCTTCCATGCAAACCCGAAGCGGGCCAATTGCACGATGGCCCGGCGCACCGCATCTGACATTTTCCACATCTGTCTGCAGATGTTATCCAGGAGCTGAACCGGACCGCGGTGAGGAAGATCATCAAGAAATTCGACAAGCGCTTTCATGTGGCTGAGATAGAACAAGCAACCATTTTTTGCATCTCTAAGCTGCTAGCAGGTCACTTTATTGAGAGAGTCTGCTGTGGATCATCCGAGGTCCGCTTTCACGAGGTCATCAGCATCCCAGATTCTCCGCCAAGCCGCCCAGGGAGATCGAGAGACACACCGAATCGAAAGCCATGGCTGTCACTTTCACTTCCGTCATCATAGCTGAAACCCTAAAGTCGAAGCAGGGGTCCCATCATCCGGCCGTGCTGCTCAGGAACCTCATGATAGATGCCAGTGCCATCGGCACCTGGCTGCTCATCCCGGCGCTTCAGTGTCTGAGGCCCTTCGCTGCTAAAGTTTGCTTTGAGACTTGAGGAGACATCATTTTTTCCACACGGTGACGATTTGCAGAGAGGCACCCATGTGCAGTGCCTTTGTGGTGTTCCTTATTTTCGGACAGGCTGATCAAGACCCTGTCGGGAGCCGATGCCTCAAGAAGACATGGTCCATCGTCCATCCCTGGGGCTGTCATTTGACTTCTAGCTTCGTCCAGCTGCGACAGCTCTCCCACGAGCACCACGAACAGCAGTTTTGACACTCGAATGGTCACTAAGGGCCCGCAGTCTGGCTGCTTCGTGGAGCGTCCGCTTCGGCAATTCAGCTTCTGGGCAGAGGACGCCATGTCGGTCAGCTGATTGCTGTGGCAGTCTCTCGTCGTTTTAGCTTGCAGGTTGGAACGTAGGCCCAAGAAACCGAGATTAAGCCTGTAGCGTTCTAGAGATTGGGGGTGGTGGCAGCGTTGATGTTCCCGTTACGTTAGTGACACAAGATGCGACATAGAGGCGATCTGGGCAGTTCCCAGCTCCAATTCGGCTTGACCCTAAAGGCCCTAAGAGCCTAAACCCTCTACCCTGCGAGCCTTGAGTCTTCCATGCAGTGAAGGAGCTTCGAGCCGGAGCTGCGTTAGCGAGGCCGCATCTTTCGCAGAAGGTGGTGAAAACGTTGAACTTAACCCCAAATAACCTACCTTTTTTTAGGACTTATAGGAAGAAATCGTATTCGGGAACCCTAAAAGGTAAGTTATATGGGGACCAGGTAAAGTCCAAGATGACGGACTGTGCGTTCTTCCACAAGCCTCTCTCTTGTCTTAGTCTTTGCTGCAACAGGTGCCAGATCGCTGGTGGACCGTGTGCGACTTTGACAGACCTGCGACTCCAGCTGATCTGCGGGCAGGAGTGGTGAGCTGTAGGAAATGCTGCTTCGCACAGGCAGATGAGTTCAGAGCATGCAGTTGTTATGTTTTTCCGCATTTGTAGTGGTGCTCACTACCGTGCTGGGGAGGACCTGCAATGCCGTGTCAGGAGCCGTCCTGACTGTTGTGTCGTGCAGAGTGCGGTCGTCTTAGCAAAACATACGGTCCTGTCCTTGCAACCGCAAGTGAGAGGCTTCAAATGTCATGTTCTTGCCATGGCGCAAAGTGGAAAGATGTAAGTTTGCCAGCTCTCGGTCGTACCCTCGATCGCAGTTTGCCACACTCCGAATGTGGTCGATGCAGGAACACTTTTATTGATGTCTCGAACAAGGGTGGCAGCCGTTTGCGCTCGGATCCCAGCAGTACTTTGCATCTGATCTCAACCGCGCAGAAAGCGAGTCTCAGGCTCTCACTCTCTTCCCTCTCGGCTGGCTCAGCGGGAAGAGGACCGGAAGAGCACCCCGACTCAAGCCTCTCCCTTTCCCGCCACGACTTGTCAGGAGATGCATGATGCACTGCCGCTACCCCCGGAATTGCCAGTCATCACGCTGGAGCATGCCATGTGCAGGGACCTTGGCCGTACCGAAGCACAGATGCAGCCTCCTTCACATGTTAGAAGTGTCCTGAGCCGACTAACTCGAAGAGCCTGCCACCTTGCCGCTTGCCTGTCCATCAAGGCGATAGATTCGAACTCCAGCCGATTCCGCGTCAGCTCCCTGTCGGAGCCCTTTAGACATTGCCTGTGCGCCACATGCGTTACCGAGATCGTTACTTTTGAGGCAAAGTGTGCGCTTGACTATGAGGAGGAGGAGATGGAGGCTCGTCTTTCCATGACTCCATGACTCAGCCAGAAAAATGTTGCGGCTTTAGCACCGTCGCCGCTCGGCTGCATGTTGTGCTCTGCCTCAGGCAGATGAAAATCAGCGGTGGGAGTATTCAACAGGCACATACTACCAGCACAACTTCTATCAAGGCCTGCCCGATAGGTTGATTCAGTGCTGCGGATTAGAAAGTTTCGGCTGAGCTTCGTTCTTTTAGAGAAATGTCGCCAAACCTGGCGCTTGGGCACTTGCCAGACAAATCTTGAGTGCACTGAATGACCCCCGGTAACAACTGCAGCGCTTTTTCCCACCTCGCGCAACAGGTGCCGATTTCGCAGTGGTACCTGACTGCAAGGCGGGCCACGTTTCCTGCAGTGCGCAGCGAAGCCGGAGAGAGGTTTCTTCTGAATTCGTCGTGGCGCTTGGGGGCGCCCTGCAGCTTTGGCAAACCAACACTGCGTGGCTCAGTGCCCCTGCATCGAATGTGGAGTGCTGCGACCAGGCAGCTGCGACGATACTCTCTTCGCCGTCGACGATGTCAGAGGTTCATCCTTTTTGCTGGCCTGGAGTAAAACCATGCTTTTCTTGGCATAGTCGTTTGCAGTTTCGCGTGGTTGCTTAGCTTAGGCTTAGCATCTACAGGGCAGTTTGATAGGTTTTAACGCCACGTCTTAGTCTACGCGACCATGGCATGTCGATGCATTGAGCCAGGTCATGATTACGACGAAGGCTGGGCCGACGAAGAGAAGCGGAAGCCTGCGGCAGTCTGTGATTTCTCGAGAGTTGCAATAATAAGAAACTGCTGTGACAGCTGGCTGTGAGGACTCCTCGTCAACATTGGATCATAGCCCCAAGGGCAAAGGCTGGGTGGGAAGTTGACAGATGAGATATGGAAGTGCATCTCATTGCTAGTCCTTTCGCGACGGTTCATTGTCAAAGTATTTCATCGCGACGCTGCAGCGTTGAAGCTCGAGCTAAGATGTTTGGAGCGAGCCGCATTTCATGCAGCTGCTAGATTCTGCTAGATGCAGCTCAGCCGAGCGTGCTTCGGGTTTCCATGTACCTGGGCCGCAAGCGACGAGGAGGTGTGGCAAGGAAGCAGGAAAGCCATGCCATTGCACACATTCCAAAGTGAGAGCTATCCTGCTGGCTCCGCTTGGCCTTTGTGCAAGCAACAGGCAAAGGAGGCAAAGGCAGCGAGCTTTGAGAAAGGCCTCCCCTAAGCAACCCGGAGATGTCGGTCCATCGGAGGGACGGCGTCCGGTGCTCTGGAGCGGTGCCTTTGAAGGAACCTGGAAGGAGGTTCTCGAAGCCTGCTCTTGGGCTGAAACTTCTTCGAGGCATTTCGAGGCCGGCATTGCATTCCTCGGGATCGAATTGCTGAACCAGGCCGGTGGCCTTGCCGAGGCAACTGCGGCCCTCTCCGGAAAGCTGGGAATTCCTCTCATTGTGTGTCTGGCCGACGGGGTCATTGGGTGCAGCCGCGAGCGAAGGAAGTCGTCTTGGCTCAGAAGGACCATGGCACACCTCAGACGCTGGATTTGGGGAAGTCCTCCCCCAAATCCAATCGAATTGGAGAAGGAGAACGCCCTGTCCTTGGCGCTCTTCCAACACTGTGGTGCCTTGCCAATGGTGATAGGTGCAGCAGACAAGGATCTCGGGTTCGAGGCCAGTCTAAGGGGGAGAGTTTCAGGGACTTCGTCGGTCGCATGGGGTCTGCCTTTCCTTCAAGGAAGGCTACGATGGCTAAGAGGCTTGGGACTGGCAGGAGCTGGGCGATGTGACTGCAGCCGTAGTCCTGGCAGACAGTCTGGAGGCATCGGAAGCAGCTGCCAGCCGTGTCTCGACTTGCGTCTTACTCACCTCTTTGGACCTCTCTCTGCACATGGTCCTTGCAAAAGCTTCAGGTATTTGCTCTGTGTTCCCGGACGCGACTACAGTGAGGAACTCGGAGTGCATGGTAGAGGGCCCGTGTCATTCTGCTGGGGCAACAGAGACTTCATGAAGACCCCAGAATCCCGAGAAGTGAGCAGGTCGGTACCGTTGCAGCTCCGCTCAGTGAGTCACCATCGCTTTGTGCTGCCGGCACCGAGAGGGGTTGGCCAGCGGGGCCTTGTGGTACCTCTCTTGCAGTGGGTTGCCTTGCATTGATGTTTCCCATGTGTTGTACTGTGGCACAGTCACAGGCTCGGTCAAGCTCTGGGGCTCTGGAGCGCTGGCACTTCTTTTGCGTGGCCCTCGCCTACAGGCACATGGTCACTGCCATGAAAACTCCGAGACGAAATACATTTTTGTGACCAACAGGCGGTTTGCTGCAGCGGCATGCGTAGCTTGGGCCCGTGGCTTGAAATATCTCGGCAACAGACGGAGAATGTGATCGAGATCTGGCTTAGTTGGCCCCGTCATGGCTTTGCGCTCGCTTGTCATGGTCTTGTCTTGGACCGTGGCTCTGTTTTTTGTGTTGCGTCTGAGGAGCGGTTGGATGATGCGCCCGCATGGGCCAAGCTGCGAGAGGCGGATCTGAGTGAGACTCGTAGCTCGCTGAGCAATCCTTCACTTCGATCCTGACTTCTCGATGAAAGTGGATGTGTGCGGTGTGCCTTGAAACAGGTGATCCGCGAGTGCACTCTGGAGGAACAGCTTCTCTCTCGAAGTCATGTTCTCACAGCCACGGCCTGAGGCTTGAGCAACGTCCAGGGGTGGAAGTTAAAGCACATCCGTGAATGGCCAAGGTCAGCATCCGAAATCCAGGATGTGTCTGCCAGATTCGTCCCGCCCGTCGTGTGGAGGCCTCCCAGGCAGTGGAAATTGTGGGCGCTACGATCAGAGTCGGTGCCAAGATGCAGATGATGGTGAGATGCTCGGCCCGTATTGACACCACACTTCGTGCAGAGGTGCAGGGTCCTCGATTTTCCCTTTCTGCGGCCGCAGCAGTCACTGAAGAGTTCCACTGAGAGAGCTGAAACAAGAGACACAGCCAAGGACATCGTGATGCAGCTGAGAAGGAGTTGCACCTTGACTTCAAGGGACCCCGAGTTGACAGACGGCTTACTCCCAGAGCTGATCATGAGGTTTCTGAATTCGCCAGATGTCTTGGCCAGGCGCCTCCTCCCACAACGTCTTGCGCTGGAGTCCGCCGCCTCCGGCGACTCTCCAGGGCCTGGTGGGCCAGGCGCCTCCTCGGCTCGCCTGGCGTCGTTGCGAAGCTTCGAGAGTCCAGGGCTCACGACGTCCCAAGGCTGCCTGGGCTGCCTCCTCTTCTCCGACCGAGCCCGTGGCAGCTTGGAGAATCTGCGAGAGTTTTTGGCTCTGAAAAGTGGGAGCTCGCACAATGACCAGGTCAGGCGCTCTTCGGCGAGACCGGAGGGGATGCGGCAGCAGCCCAAGGCTTGAAGGTGGAGGTACGGGCGGGTACGGTACTTCGACAGTCCTGGGGCTACAGTGAATCTTTCTCCCTGTCAGGTGGCCGGTTGCTTGGGCCGTGGACAGGTCTTGGCGACCGACGCTGGAGTGGCAGCGCAGCGGCTCAGCGCAGTGTACGCTCTTCTCACCCCAGGCGCATAAAAAACACTGAGCATCCGGACTTGCAGCTTCACTGCTGAAGCCACCGGCCACCGTATCTTTCGCTGGAGTGCTTGCCGGTGAAGTGTTGGTGGCCAATCTGTCCTCGACCAGATCTTCCGATCTTCTTGCTCCTGCCGCAGAGCCGGTGAGTTCTGCTGATTATCCGAGAGTGCAAGGCCAATCCGGACAATGCTTGGGCCTCCTGAGCTAAGCAACTGCACGCTTTGGCCCGATGTCCCCAGCGGAATTCTGTGACTGACAGCAAGAGTGCTGAACAACGGCAGTGCCGCAGTAGTACTGCCGACTGTCCGAAGGCGAAGTCGCCAGACAAAGCGTCAGGGCCGAAAACAGCGTGTCAATTGAAGCTCCCTGCTATACCACGACGCATCCTGATAGGCTTCCTATGTAGGGTGGCAGGCCGCCATGACAGACAGACATTGCGAGCCCCCTCCGGCCAAAAGCCCAGAACTTGCGGCATTTGAAGAGATAACTTGGGAGGACGTGGCAAGTCGTTGCAGAGCACCGCTTCGGGCTCCCGGTGGTGGATGGAGTCTCCAGAGGTTGGAAGCGTTAGCATGAGTGAGTGTCTGTCACGACTCGACGACTGTTGCAGGTCTGTCCAATTTGCCACTTTCCAATTCGACTTCTGCCATATCCTCCTTTCAAGCTGCAGGCACTGGAATCTGCGTGGCAGGGAGGGATCGTGCTAGGGAGGTGCGCTTAGCTAGCGCGAGTTTCTGGCATCCTGTCCGTGCCACGCGTACATTGCACAACGAAGTGTGCTGGTCGATGGGTGGATGACCTGCAAGAGAGACTGGACTAGAGGCACCAGCTGTTCTAGGTTCAGTCCACATCGCAGCCGGACAAAGCTAGTTGCCCAGCACCTCGTGAGGTAGCTAGAGCTAACCACCAAGATCATGGAAGCTCCGAAACCGGCCCAGCTCATCGTGCATGCTCCAAGATCGAAAGGCGTGGGCCAGAGCAGCCGTAGTTTGGCCAATGCCTTCAACATCCGGCAACGCATTGTAGAAGCCGAATCCCAAGCCCATGACATCCCATGACGCGGGGCGATTGGCTGTTCCTGGGCTTGGCGGCTGCGGCAGCCATCCTGGTGCGCTCAAGGGGCGCTGAGTCTTCGATCCCTGCATGTCGCTGCTCCTGTCCGCTTTGGGCTTTGGTCCCCGGAGTGTCCCCTCGCTTTCGCAGGGCGTCCACCTCCGCGGCCGTGCGGCTCGGCAGAGGCTCAAGGAGCTGCTCGAGGAGTTTGCTGGCCGCGAGGCCTCGGAGAAATTGACAAGAAAAGACCAGTCTCTCTGCTCCTCTCCTCCGCACCGCAGTGATGGCGTCAGGGGCGCGTGGTCATCACAGGAGCTGGCACCGGCATCGGCAAGGACAGAAGGGTCCACGACAGTGATCTCTTGTCCAATGGGGTGTGGTATCTCTGTGGAGGAGCTGGCACGCCTGCTTAGCCAGCATCCATCCATTTCGGTGCTCCTGGGTTGCCAGCATGAGATCGAACGCGAGGAGGGTCGCACCAGAGCCTTGGATGAAGCAGAAGCATGAAAAGGGCAGAAGAGTGCCAGCGTCTCATCTTGTGCTCGCTTCAAGATACTTCCAATCCTCGAAGATTCGAGGAGTGCTGCCCTTGGAGTTCCTAGATTTGGACTCAGTGCAACGCTTCGCTGCCCCTCGGATGTCGGAAGCAAGAGAGGATTGAGAGCGAGGGGAGGCTCTGAAGAATCCATGAGAGGTCTGCGATGCACCGAGGTGGAAGCACATGGCTTCCTCAAGGATGGACAGGAAGGTGTGCGCATGCTGATAAACAATGCCGGCTTCAAGGACGGCCTGTGCAGCTTGTTCACGGTTGGAAGCTGCCACATCTCACTAACAGTGTCGGGGGTTGCTGAAGATTTCAGGAGAAGGAAAGGTCACCACGCACCAAGTATGGCCTGCAGCTCGGGTCACATGCAAAGATTCTGCGCTGAAACTCGGGATGCCTCAAGCCACCATGTCCGAGGCGTCAGCCAAACTTGGCAGGTGAACTTCTTGGGCCCTTTCCTTCTAACGGAAATGCTTTGCAGACTCCGAGAAACGGCTCCTCGGCTCTGTCTCGAAAGCTTCGATTTCCAGGGAGTCCACGGTCAGCTTTGGCTTTGGACAGGACGGGCCTTCGTTTCCGGCCAGTGTCATCAACGTGGCGAGTGGCCATGAGTCGGAGTCCAACCTGGATGAAGCTCTTCTGGATGCATTGGCAGGCGTGGCGTGGCAGTCCGGCAGTCCCACCTCAGAGTCCGCTCCCATGGTCTCGCCTTATTCTGGTGGCTCTTTGTGGTGGGACAGGAGCTTAGGCTAACTCAAGGCGCGATCTGCGCGGTGCAGGAAGGAGGGAGTGAGGAAGCAGGGGGTGCTTCATCAGAGTCTGGCTGGAGTGCTGCTTGCGAGAAGGTGGGCGAGAAACCACAAGCCACGAGTATGCAGATTCAAAGACGCTCGTCTGCTGGGCCAGCCTTCTGTGAATTTCGACTGTTCGCGGACTTTGGAAGCAGCATTGTACTTGTAGGAGGCAAACGCCCGAACTCAGCTAAGGCGTGCTTTGCTGCTGTGGACCTCCGTCCGCTCGCAAAGCCTAGCACTGAAGGGTGCCTCGGCATGTGGGAGGTGCCGGTTCCCAGGAACACTGGCATCCTGTTCTGCCCGGTTCAACCTTGTCTGCAACTCCGAGGCAACCTCTTCGCTCACGCGGTCTCACCGGGAAAAGTGGACACCAGGTGGAAGTCTTCAGGTCAAAGGTGTAGTGCCTCTCACCGTGGGTCAGGTTCGGCTGCGAGGAAATCCCTTGGTGGCGCCTCGCTGGTTCAACTTATCACGGTGTCTGAACTTCTCCATCCGGGCTCCAAAGAGTCACTCTGACCGAGGCTGTGGATTTGGTCCGCCCCGGCGAGGATCTTGATGTTTCGGACGGTGTCTGAGGCCGCACAGTACTTCCGAGACCCAAAGCCCCTTGCAAGGAGTACAGAAGCCGTGAAGTTCTCAAGCTGAGTCGAGCACAGGGAGCTTTGTCCATCGCCGCGGCTGGCTTACGGAAGCAGGCCACCAGCCACTTGGCGCTCTGTATCGAGGTTATGGCTTCAGTATGCTTCACTCGATGAAAAGCATTGTAAATGGTCTCACTGGCACCTGTAAACGCGAAGATGGCTTGTCTCAGCTTCTTGCACAAGCTTCTGCAAACATCACATTCCTGCGCGCCGTCATCTTGCAAGCGCCACGATGGCCGTTGGAAGTGGGCCGCAGTCAGTTGAGGCAAGTTCGGACAATATTTCAGAGAGGAGGAGTTGCGCCTTGGTCGCGATGGCTTCGTCGGGAGATTTCGGGGGACGCTGACCCCGCATGAGCCGAGGGCAGAGGATTTGGTCATTTGGAGGATGCAGCTTGGATGCATCTACCAAAGTCTCTACAACCACAGAAGCATCTACAGAAAAGAAGCTTCTTCGATGCTTCCTGTCGAGACATATGCGACATCCATCTTGAGGCCTGAAAAGCGTGTATCTGTGCAGCTGGTGCGCTGGGCGTCCCAGGTGCATTTCTTTATGGAGTGGAAGTCTTTAAAGTTTAAAGAACGCAGCGTCAAGGCAGAGATTCCTGCAATTCCGACAGGTCACTTCCCTGAACCCACGCATGGGTGGCCGACCTTTGCCGGGCTCCCTACTGGTAGCCCTAGACTTGCACGGACAGGGTTCCGGACTTCTCCGCTGACAATCGACTCTGCTGACATACAGAGACAGCTGAGATGTGCTACTCCCAAGCTTAGGGACATTGGTGGACGTTCGCTCAGCATCACGGACCTCGTGAACAAGGCCGAGGACTGCGTCACTACTTTGTGTTGGGAAGCTCAACGAGCAAACTTCCGAAGACTGTCGCATTGAAATTGGATGTGGGAACATGCAGGCATCAAGTTTAGCGGCCTAGCTTTCAACATGTCGTGAAGGGTCAATTGCTTGCTCGAGTGTCGATCGAGTTTTTCCGGCAGCTCGAGGTTCGAAATTGGGGTTCACTGAGTTCACTCTGCCAAACCGAATCGAAGGAGGATGTTTGGTCATCGGCAGAGCGACGCTGGCGCTTTCAGGAGCGGCAGGCCAGAACCGCGCGCAGTTCCAAGAAGCTGGTAGGGGCTGCGCAATCGCAAACCCACCCTGTGCCCTGAATTCGCAGGTCAGCCCACCAAACGCAGGCTGCTGCGACGGCAAGTTTTACACCGTTTCCTTTCAATCTTCCTTCTGCGGCTGTTGAGCCGCCTTGATGCCATGCGCTCGTAAAGTAACACGGTCAGGTTATGAGGAGCCTGTTCTACCCATCTGATTCGTGGCCGCCCATCTGCAAGTTCTGTGCCAAAGCGCACAGCCGACGACCTTCGGCTTTGCAGAGAACAAACTTCTTCGAGCGCGTCTTGAGCATCAAGCTTGATTGATTTGATGACTCTTTTCCTAAAAGGCCGCAGAGACAGAGCCTTCCGTGCCAGGTGGCCGGGTGTGATGCGCGTGAGCCGGCCAAGCTTGTTGATGGTCCCTTCATGGTGTTACAGGCCTTTTGCAGAGAGCAGTCTGGCACTGGCGCCTTCGGTTTAGGATAGTAGACTTGTCTGCCAAGCTGCTGAACGGAACATTTTGGTTTACATTCACATCAAAGTCGCTGCTCGAGTCCGCGCAAACATTAAGTCCCGCCACCGAAAGCAATTTTTCTAAGAGCTTGCGCAGGTGCTGAGCACTTGGAACTTTGATGTTCTGGGCCATGAGCTGACGGTTTCAGATATCAAGGCGCTGGACTCGTGCGCCGAGAGATGCATTGTAGATGCCCGGAGAAGAGATGGGTGCTCAGCCCCTTTCCAGTGTCTGAGTCTAGCGTGGGATGAGATTTTCGGAAAATCCGTTTGTTCCAGGTACATGAAGTGTCTTGGCCGCAGTAGCTGAAGCTGGAAGCAAGAATTCCTCGGCAGATGCTCTACAGAGGAGCAGAGTAGAGCGAGCCGAGGCGTTGCAAGCTGGGCCCCTTCCGGCTGGGCCGGGCGCTGGAGCTGCTCAGCGACCCGAGCCATGAGGCCGGAGAAGCCTCGCAGCGGGGATTCCTGGGTTGTGGGACCATGCTCTCGGCTCTCGTCGCAAAGGCAAGGGAAGAGCTGGAATCCCTTCGCAGTAAAGCGCGAAGGCGTCTAGAGGCAGGGCGTGCCGTGCGCTTCATGATGCTGCCAGCTTCAGCGGGACCTGGCTCTGGCTGCAGGGGCTGAAGCACATCCAGAGAGTCCGGATGAATCGAATGGACATGAACCCAGATGATGAAGGCCGGATCTTCACACAAAGTAGGGTCTTTGGCCGGCAGTTTCGCAGCCGAAACAAGTGTAGCCTCCCTTGGCTCTTCCATGCCACAGAGAGTCTTCTGGCTTTCGGCAGCTTGTGGCTTCCTCGACTGTCAGCAACGAGGTGACGAGACCATTGCAACCCCCCCTTCTGCCACGGACTTGGGATGAGCTTTGTCTGAGTTGGTGTGTGTTGTCTGCTCGGAGATGAGGTCCAGGTGCCTGCTGAGACAAGCAAGGATCTCAGCGCAGTCTTGGCTCATGCTCGGAAGGGAATTGAATCGAATTGGGTCAGTTGCAGGCTTTCGATTCAGCTGTCATTTTCGATTTGTCGTTTCGCTAGACGTCAAGCCCTCTAAACCCTCCTGCAAGCACTGCAAGCCCTGACCTTGGCGAAGCGGTTTGACATGATACGATCAGCATGCTTCTCTTCAACAGCTGACAATTGCTGTTCGACTGTGAGGTGTTCGGAAAGGTCGGGGTCCCCGGGGTCAATCGTGGAGGCTCGAAAGGGAGAAGGCTAAAAGCGAGACGGCCGAGACTCTCCCAGTCCCAGTCTGCCAGGCATGGCCCCGGATCTGCCTGGCGCTTTGTGCAGCTAAGGAGCCGCCGAGGAAACCTAGGCTTGCTGTCGTCGCTGAGGCTTATCCGCAAGCGACGAATGCTGCACGATCATTTGCAATCCCGGCTGGTTTCAGATGGTACTGGTGCGGCCCGGCGGGCGGGGATTTCGGGCCGATCTAAAGCGGCAGGGTCGTCGATGAACCAAGGGACGCGCGCAATGCCGGCCTGGGGCCCGGGTTCTTCGCTGTGAACGGCGGTTTGCTGTCGTGCCAAGTGCTGCGAATCTGAGACAGTGCCCTGAAGTGGGTCGGCCGGAGAGTGCGGAGGCCTCGGGACGTGCTTCCTTTCTCTTCCTAATGTTGCCGGACCCCCTTGCTTGCTAAGGCCGTGCGACCCGACATTTCTTGACTAGCGCCCTCCTGTGAGCTAGCTCTAACTTTGCTCCTGACCTGCCGCTATAAGGGCCGTAAGAGCTATTCTGCAATGTAGCTGTTAGTTCTAGTGTGCGAGTGCTGTGTAATGGCTGCCGCAGTGGGACTTGGATTACTTGGACAAAGTCCAAAAATCCTCCGGCACCGCTGCTGCAGCAACACGTTCACTTCGCGGTTATTAGCTGCTTAAAATCAGTTTACAGTATTACCTGTGACAAGAAATATGAGGAGCAGCAGGGAGCCTTGATAGGGCTGCGGTCCCCGCTGTTTTACTCGCAAGGAGGTGTGCTAATGTTTGCACTCGGCCGATTTGCCACATCTTGCGTTCCGAAGCCTTTCCCGGATTTATTTTGGCAGAGTTGCGAAGCTTCGTTGGACATTGCTCAGGATGGGCTTAGACGCAGTTTGGCATGTTCGGCCAAAAGTTTTTCGCATCTTGCATGTATCTGTTCCACCGCGATGTCAGGACGGTGGCTGGAGAGATCTGGAGAGATCTTCTCAATCGGAGTTTTGCAAATGTTAAATCACTTGACGTGCTCGGGCGTGCTCACAGGAGAGGGGATGAAGGGGGCCCAGGGATTGAGGGCGGGCATTCCCGAGCGCCAGACTGCTACAACCCGTGGCAGCTCATGCGCAACAAGGTGGCTCAAGGCGGCTCAAGGGAACCATTGCAAGATACCATGCCTTGCATTGGAACTCGAGGTTGCCGTGCCACTCCTGCTGCAGTCACTTGACCACGGAGACTGCAGACCCTTTCACTGCCCTGGTACTTTCGTACAGACACCTAGGTTCTAGGCCCTCAGCAAGCTTCACTCCGGGCTCAAAGCTGGGGACTGTGGTTTCCTTCCACCAGGCAGGAGGTCTTTAGCACCTGGCCGAGAGAGGCCAGTGACTTTTTCGAATTATGCAACTTCGAGTCAAGTTGCAGAATCCGTGTCTCCTGCCAGCTGCCAGTTAGCAGATGCAGCTCGGCTTCGCAACATACCTGGGTCGTTCATGCTCGGCCACCCAGGATTTTAAATTGCAGGCGTAGAATGTCCAGGCATCGGATTAGCTAGGGTCGCCTCGCCAAGCAAGACTTGATGCGCTCAGCCCTGCGGACGGATGCAAGTCGTCCACGTATCAGCGAGTCGTAATGCTTGAGCTTACCTGGAGGGTCGCAGAGCTTGGGGTCGCATGGAGTGCGAAGTTCCATTTTCACATCCATTTTCTTGAGCCGGCGTTGGCATCTGCGCCAGAACAAACCACCCGAGCGTCCTTTCGTCGTGCAATTTCGGCCAAGGCCGGTCGACCAAATTCTCATTCTCACGTGCATTGATGTTTAGTGCCACTCGATCCCATTCGATGCCGCCGACGATCGTAAGCGTGTTTGTTTGTACTTGGCGGTGTGGGCTCGGTTGCCTTGCAGAGCCTGACACAGAGATCTCAAAGACCTCACCTCACGGACTAGTGGTGCAGAAAACCAGATTGAAAGCAATCATAATTGCCCTTTCTTTGCACAGCTTTGCTCGTCCTGTGTGCGGTGGATCTTCTCTGTGTCCTTTCTCGGGCTTGTCCACCCGGGCACGGAGCGCGCAAATAGCGTGTAAGAGCCAGGATACGAGTTTGCAGCCAAGGCTGCGACTGTTCCGAATCGTTGCTGACAGCTTGCAAGTTCTGCCTTCTTCCTACCCCAGCCTTGAGCCTACTAGGCCTGCACAGAGATGTCAGCAACTGCTGCAGATCGATAGGCAAGTCTATGACGTGGCCTATTGCACATCCCTTCCAGCAAAGCCGGCTTTCAGCAGGTTGTTGCGCAGGACTTGCGGTTTCTACATGTGTAGCCCTGTTAGCTTGCGGTTGATTATGAAAGGCTTGCATCCGACTGCTGAGACTTGGATCGGGCAGTGGTCTTCCGAGGGTTGGTTAGGTTTGAGCCGATACCCTCTACATTTGTCGGGTCGTATGTGATAACTTATCTCAAGCTGCCTCCATGCTTCTGGTTGGGATGGGCGTGGAAGCACTGGTCTCCGTACAAAAATCGGGCCAGCGCGGCCCCCAAACCTAGTGGCCATGCCTTAGAGAGCAAGCCTGACCTGGCTTCGCTTCAGCAAATTTCAGCCACTCAGTTGTCAGACGGACGTCATACCAGGGTTTCCTTGGAGTATGGTTCTCACAGCACTGTTCTCAGCCATCAGTGTGTCGATAGTCGATGGAATCAGATTGTACAATGTCAGTTTCACATCGCTTTGATCCATTTGCAGAGGCTTAACTGTCCAAAAAGATCACTGGCTCGGATCCGGAGAGTATCCCTTCCCGGCTTTCGGATGGGTTGGCGTTGGAATTGTGGAGAGGTGGAGGCCCAGCTCGCTTCCTGGCGGTGGCCAGCAGGTCGCAGGCATGGAGTTTCTTGCGCATCTCTCTCTCTCTCTCTCTCTCTCTCTCACGGTGCCCCCAAAAGTACATACACTTGTCGGATCTTGTCAGCTTGGTCGTGAAGCAGCACTATGCACGATGCAGGTCCTGTATGCCGCTACTGACTCCGACCGCCTCGTGGTACGCCGAGAGCGTGCAACAGAGTGCTGGCTGCTTTCCGACTTTACGGGTGTTGGGATGCAAACGCGGGCTTCGCGGTTTAAACCGCCAGGCCTTCGATCACTCGCAGCTTCCGATGCGCTGCATCGCGGAAGGCACCTTGCTCTCGGTCCAGGGCCGCTTTCCGCCTTCTTTAGCTGTGCTCTGTGGCTAGGCCCAGGGGGAGGCCCGCTCGCCAGCTTGCCGGAATACCTGGCCATCTTGGCCCCAGGTGTGGCCTCTGGAAGCAAAGTAGACCTCGAAGCTTGCTCTGTAAGACTTTATAGAGCCTCCGGCATTTCTTGCACTCGTGCGACGATGATTTCTCCTCATGTGGAGCATGAGGTTCCTTAAGGCTTGTCATGCTTGCAGGATGCACGTGCTTTGCCGGTCGTAGTCGGGAATGTTGTGAGCTGCAGGCGGACTTCAGCTGCGGCGTCACATGTGACACGTGCACGAGAAGTAGCTACTCAGCGGTCGGTAGCAGGGCACGTGTTAGCCGAAATGTGCACCCTAACAGTGGTCCGCCATTTGATAAGATGCCCACGCATCGTTGGGTTCAATCGTGGAGCAGTGCCGTTGTGACAGCCGTGCTGGCCAGACCAATGCATGCCCGGGGGTTGGAGACAAGTGGAACATGACTGAAATGATGTGCGAGACATCTCTGCTTGTTTGCGGTAGACACACTTGCTGAGTTGTGGGTGGTTTACTGCACAGAGGGCAGGCTAGCAGGTGCTTGAGTCTGCAAATCGACGACAGCCCGTCTGCTCAATACCCGTGGAGTCATACTCGTACACTGCCTTTAAAGCATTCGCGTGAAGCGAACCTCTGGTGATGTTGTCTGGAGCACCCGCAGCTGTTTCAAGGTCCTATATGTAGCTCACATCTCATGCATGTTCCCTTGAGATCCTTTGATTCATGTGTTCGTCTCTGACCTCAAGGCATCCTGGATCCAACAAAAGCCAAAGACAAGCTGAACGCAGTCCTAGTCCTGCAGCAAGCCTTGTGTCCCCCAATTCACAACACCAATGGAGGGCTTGTCGCGCCTGGATGAGCTTTGCCAGGAGGCCACGTTTCCCAAAGTCGAAGCTAAAGAGCCTCGAATTGCGCAGTCTTGGCCCTTCGGAGAGTCAGGCAGGACGACAGGCTCCCGGAAAGACGAAGGACAAGGCAGGGGCAAGGCTCAGGATCCTTGCTGCAAAGGCTCCCCTTGGCCTTCCCATCTCCACAGGTACCAGCCAAAGAGAATGGCGCCAATGGCGGCGCGCCGACCTGGCAAGTCAAACGACTCGTCGCGCAATCACCGTTTGCTGCAGTGTGCTGCGTGCTGCATCGTGCTGACTTGCTAGTGGCATGACAGGCCATCGCTGGACGATTTCTTAAAAATGTTTGAAGAAGAGGAGCTGGCAAAGGGGGCATGTTCGCTTGGATTCGAGCGGGGTCGGGAAGAGTCTTCGTCCCTAGGGGATTCTCCAGCTCTTGCTTCCTCTCTGCCAACAGTGCCGCAAGGACTCGACGTCCAGGCTGGCGGTTGGGTGGACCAGACGGCTTCGAATTGCTTCGCACGGCCTCGCACGCACTCGCCCAAAACGTGTCGGGGCTCCACGACCCACGCTTTTGAAGTGTTCTCGGATGTGATTCACGACCCCGGCCCGACTTCGCAGGTTGCCACGTGGGGCTGACTTGATCGTGGCACGGAGTGATGAAGAGGCGGAAATCAAGCACAGCGTAGAGGGAGCAGAAGATAGAGTCTGTGATCTTATGATCTGACTTCGACAGCCGGCCGGGTTCATGGTGTCTGAGCAGGATCCGGGCAAAGCGGAAGAATCCGGCAGAAGTCTGCTAGAATAGAATCCACACAGCTCGCGCATCGCGCAATGCTCGTGCAAGGCAAAAGTTGCAGCCGATGCAGCGGCGCCTGCGGCACTCTTGGAGGTCTCTACAAGATTCATAGGGACCCTTAGGGGGGTACCTTAAATGGGTCTTATTAGGTCCTTATTATAGGTATGAAGGCCCCCTACCCCCCTCCCCCTACCCCCCTACCCCCCTAAGGGTCCTTTTGAAGGATTGAACTGGACAGTGAGCATCATGAGAACCTCACATTGTCTGGTCTGTGTTGACTTGGGGCCACGGAGGACGAAGATGGTGACGTGGCGCACGTCTTTCTGGAGGCTGGGCAAACTGTTGAGCCAGACCCGCAGAGTTGTCCTTAGATGCTTTGCCGAACAGGAACCGGTCAAACCTTGGGACGAGGACAGCATTGATTGCCGTGCAGTTGCATGGGCCGAGTAGCAGTCACAAGCACAGTATCTTTTGACAGACGCAGTAAGTCATGACTCTTCTAACATTCGCTAGTGTTGGCAGTCAAACATACCTCTAGCAAGTAGCAGCAGTACACCAGCAACAGCAGAAAACAAGTCGCAGCAACAGTATGGGAACACGGGCACTAGCATGGGCAGTAACGCCGGCATCCAGGTGGACAGCGTTCTCAGTGCCAGTAGTCTAAACAGCAGCGTGGATGGTCATGGCGAAGCTGGCATCAACAGCACTACGGGCAAAAGCAGAAATGAGAGCACAAGGCAGAACAAGGCAGAGTAGAGTTCCTGATACAAGTAACAAAGGTAAACAAGAAGTGGTAGTGACTGGAATGCACCCCTCTGCCTCCCCCTCCTCCCTCCTCATCCTCCCCGATACTCCTTCTGCTTCTGCTGCTGCCGCTACCACTACGACGACGGTGGCGACGATGACGATCACTGCTACTGCTAGTTGTGCTACTACTGCCGCTGCTACTGCTGCTGCTGCTGCTGCTGCTGCTGTTACGTCTCCTGCTGCTATTACTGCTGCCATTGCTACTGCTACTGCTGCGACTACTACTACGACTACGACGACGACGACAGGCTCTCAGCGAGGTGCCTCGCGAGAAGCTGAAGTCTCACGAGGTGCCGGTTGTAAATTCTAAAGCACAAGCAGTTTTCCCGACATTCAGAAAGCGTGCCAGGTTGTGAAGGAAAGAAAGAGAGGAGGTGCTCCGGCTGCATGCAGTGGGACAAAGCCGGATTTTATCGTAAGTCGATCTTTATGCTGTCGTTTGCTAACAGTTGAACGAAGCAATTTCCTTGCCGGGTTGTACCGCAACTATACCATGGCGGTCTTACTGATAGTGGCTGTCTAAACTCGGTGACAAGCCACAGCGGCTTCTGAATACCAGGTTTCAGTGTCTCCATGGACAGGCCGGGACCTGCAGCTTCGCACACGCTAAGTTCGATTGGGCTAGGTTGGCTTGCAGAGGGCCACAGTGCAGATCCGTTGCAGGCCTCGTGAGCGCGGGGCTCCAGCAGCGCCAGCACCAGCACCTGTCCGAGCAGACGCAAAGACAGAGGGAGCTGCAACTGCTGAAGGAGCCTTGTCTGCAAGTTTCGGGGCGGTGGTCTGCGCTTCTGTCATCCATATTTTTTGTGCAGCCGTAGCAAGATGTCACAACCAAGGAATCTTCAAGAATTTCGGCAGCAACCGTGCTGAAGCCTTGCGGGCGCAGAAACAGGAAGCCGTTGACAGGCAGAAGGCACAAGCCGATTTTTTTGCAAGATTTGAGTCTGAGGGTGATGGTCTTTCTGACAAGAGGGAGGAGGACGACGATTTGCGGCAGAGGCTTGCCCGTTTAAAGGCACGACAGGCCGAGGAAGACAAGGACCTCGAAGAGTGCAAGGCTGAACAATTAAATGACAGTGTCGAGGAACGAAAGCAGGAAGAGGCACGACTACGAGCAGAGATGATGAAAAGCAGAGCACAGAGATTAGCAGCGAAACGCAAGGAACGGCAGCAAGTGGAGCAACAAGGGGAAGGGCTCGAGGAGGAAAGGAGACGCACCGAGGAAGAGAGATTGGAGGCCCAAAGGCGGCAAGACGAGGAAGAGCGCTTGGAAGCAGAACGGCGAAAAGCCGAAGAGGAGCGTCTAGAGATGGAGAGAAAGCAGGAGCAAGAGAAGCTGCAAGAGGAAAGGAGGCGCGAAGAAGAGAGATTGGAGGCCCAAAGGCGGCAAGAGGAGGAAGAGCGGTTGGAAGCAGAACGGCGAAAAGCCGAAGAGGAGCGCCTAGAGATGGAGAGAAAGCAGGAGCAAGAGAAGCTGGAAGAGGAAAGGAGGCGCGAAGAAGAGAGATTGGAGGCCCAAAGGCGGCAAGAGGAGGAAGAGCGGTTGGAAGCAGAACGGCGAAAAGCCGAAGAGGAGCGCCTAGAGATGGAGAGAAAGCAGGAGCAAGAGAAGCTGGAAGAGGAAAGGAGGCGCGAAGAAGAGAGATTGGAGGCCCAAAGGCGGCAAGAGGAGGAAGAGCGCTTGGAAGCAGAACGGCGAAAAGCCGAAGAGGAGCGCCTAGAGATGGAGCGAAAGCAGGAGCAAGAGAAGCTGGAAGAGGAAAGGAGGCGCGAAGAAGAGAGATTGGAGGCCCAAAGGCGGCAAGAGGAGGAAGAGCGGTTGGAAGCAGAACGGCGAAAAGCCGAAGAGGAGCGCCTAGAGATGGAGAGAAAGCAGGAGCAAGAGAAGCTGGAAGAGGAAAGGAGGCGCGAAGAAGAGAGATTGGAGGCCCAAAGGCGGCAAGAGGAGGAAGAGCGCTTGGAAGCAGAACGGCGAAAAGCCGAAGAGGAGCGCCTAGAGATGGAGAGAAAGCAGGAGCAAGAGAAGCTGGAAGAGGAAAGGAGGCGCGAAGAAGAGAGATTGGAGGCCCAAAGGCGGCAAGAGGAGGAAGAGCGGTTGGAAGCAGAACGGCGAAAAGCCGAAGAGGAGCGCCTAGAGATGGAGAGAAAGCAGCAGCAAGAGAAGCTGGAAGAGGAAAGGAGGCGCGAAGAAGAAGAGAGATTTGAGGGTCAAAGGCGGCAAGAGCAGGAAGAGCGCTTGGAAGCAGAACGGCGAAAAGCCGAAGAGGAGCGCCTAGAGATGGAGAGAAAGGAGGAGCAAGAGAAGCAGGAAGAGGAAAGGAGGCGCGAAGAAGAGAGATTGGAGGCCCAAAGGCGGCAAGAGGAGGAAGAGCGCTTGGAAGCAGAACGGCCAGAAGCAGAAGAGATGGAGAGGAAGCAGGAGCAAGAGAAGCTGGAAGAGGCGGTGGTGCTGCGAGCACTGTCACACCCTTGGAGCATTCATTTTTGAACAAGACACACTTCGGGGTAGGGCAGTGGTCAGCAGAGGAGGGCACGCACAGCACTGTGTCCTCGATTGATTTTAGCAGAGCAGGATCGCAGTGACGCAGTGTGCGGTGGCATACTGCACGCGACATGATTCCAAGCAGGTGCCCAAAGAGGCTCTCCAGGAGAAGACCATGCAGGCACCGGTTGTGCTTTCTGCAGCTTAGCCGATAATCCCCTTCGTCAAGCCTAGCTGCCGTGTTCTCTGCCTCTTCGCGGACCTCGTTTGCAGGCCGCACCGAGACGACGTCGAGGCGCCAGATCTGTCTTTGCAGTGTGCCGTGGGGGGGGGGGGGGGGCGGGGTGTGAGCTTCTCGGAGGAGGCTTCAGCTCAGTGGCCTCGAAGACAGAGGAGCCCGAGCTTCGAGCTCCAACTTCCCCCTCCGCTCCGGCTCCGGCCATGCCGAGGTGCAGACAGGGACAGAGGGGTCTTGACAAATCACAAAGGAGAGGTCTCCTGCTCCCTCTTCGCCGGTGTTGAAGAAGAAATTTCTTGTCCTATACAGCCTATACATGTTGAAATTCAAGAAGGAGGGAGGGTTTGGCCGAAGAGGCTTCCAAGAAACATGCATATTAGTCGAAGGCAGGAGGGGCTGTGGCCAGCTGCTGGGAATGATGCTGGAGATGCCGGCTCTGCTGCGCAAAACTGGTCCACTGATGTTCCTGCTGGTTGCCGCACGGCTGTGCCGGGAGGATGCTCTCGTCTCATTCAACCCGACATGGAAACCTTGATGCCCATGTTTGTGGTCGCCTTGTTTGTGTTTTTCTTGCGCCATGCATGCTACTTGCCACCCGAAAAAGGAGGCTGCTGATGCGTGTGATTGTCGAATGAGGCGTCAGTCTGCGTGATGCTCGGATTTCCTTGGCACATAAGACACCGTGCACCCCGATCTCTACTGTACGGACGTCAGCCCATGCCACCCGAAGCACGACACTGCTGATATTCGGGATGCTTGTTGGTGTCCTGACTTAGTTGATGCGTTCATGATGTTCCTGTTTTGACTGCCTTGTATAGTTGATTCACCTTCCTCGGTCCGGTCCTGCTTGTGTGCTTGGGGTTGAAACAGAAGCCAGTTCCCTGCCTGGGGCCCGCTGGAGCAGAACAGGGAACGCGAGGAAGCCCACACCGCCTAAGTTATGTAGCTCCCGAACCCGACAGGCTTGAGCAGATCAAGAAGCAGGACTTCTCCGGCATACCGGCCGAGGCGTCAGAACTCCAAATTATCAATCCAGATCCTCGCGAAACGCTTCTGTTCATGTCGGTGCGACTGCCGCTGGTCGCAGGAACTGCTGCCTACCCCTGCACGGCAAGCTGCACGCCTGCAGAGCGAGAAGTCGGAGGAACCGCCCCGCCTTTTGCGCCGACTTCGCTTGAATGGTGTGCTTTGTTCGGGGCGGCACCAAAACGGACCGACTGGTGCTGGTGGACGGGTTCGCATAATACTCATACTATGAGTCGGTGTATTGTAGCACAGGATTGCTTGCAGCCATATTGAGACCCTACCTTTGCATGCTCGGTGTATCTTCCAGAGGGATCAGCTCGGTTGAAAGCCAGGGATCATTGCTACAGGTTGATGTTGTTGATTAGCTTTGTCAGCGGGCATCAGTCACAGCTATTATAGGGCTTCCAAAGTGCGTTTGGGCGCTGTGGACGTTCTTCCTCAGCGAACGTGACGCAAAGTAGTGGAATGGCGTGCGATACATGTCTGCTAGGCCGGATGCACCACCAGCTTCAGATTTCGTTCTCCCAGCAGTTGCACAATGGTATGGTGATGCTTTTTGCGCCAGGATAGTGCAGACATTCCATCCATGGAGGCCCCACTTCCAGAACACTCCAGCATGCTGTTCTGCCCAGCGATTGACGGGCTGCTGTTGCCTGGGGTTCTGTCACCGTCTCAGGCCTTGCTTGCCATGCTGGGAGAAGACCCGCCTGAAGACGCAGCTCGCGAGGCGTCCCCCTGCCCTGCGTTTGTCAAAGCCTGTTCAGCGACTGCAGGAGCCGCCGGAGCCGGAGCCGTCCCCGCCGGTGCAGGCGCCCTTGACAATTTTTGTTTTCGGTCGGCGTTGAGGGGGGGGGGGGGGGGAAATCAGGGAATCATCATCGCCCCGAGACCCGGGCAGGAGAAGCCAACGTCGCGCAGACGCCGAGGAGGTTCGACGAAAGAGTCTACGCGTGCCACTGAACCTCATGTTCTTGACACCTTACACCCGAAACCCTAACCCCTAAACCCCAAACCCTGCACCCTAAACCCTCTTGCAGGATTCTCTTCTGCGATCGGTGCTAGGCCTGGATCTGAGTTTCTGAGCCGGCCTCGGCCTGGGAGATCATGTTCGGAGACCCCTGACCCTATCAGGCCAGCTGCTGCGCAGGCACGGGGTCGTGCCGACAACCCCTGACTTTGCATTGTGCTGTCTTAATGTCTTGATCATGTCACATGATTAGCTTCGTGAACATCACAGGAGCCAGGCAGTGCCCTTCTAAAGGATTCTTCAAAACGACCGAAGCACTTGAAAATGGCAATGTCAGCAAGCTTTGGCGTTTGGGAAGCCCGTTAGAAGCATTAAGTTGACTGCAGGTATCAAAGCTGTACATCTGTACATTTGGTGAGAACCTCTGCCGCGAATTCTGTCATGCACCTGCGTCTATGATGGAATGTGCGGAAGGATTGGCAAGGGAGCGATATCTCGTGGAATGTCCGCAGCAGCACCAAGATGCACACATGCAGCATCAGGCTGAAGCATCAAGGACAGTGACACAGTTCAGAAAGCAACGCTTGGGAGACTTCGTACAGAGAACATGATTCCTGACCCTCTCGCTCAATGGTTGTGGTTTAGAGCCACAAGCTGGCGTTGTGTGTCAGCCGGTTTCGACAGGTGCAGACGGGATCCGCGACATTGCGGGAGGGCGAGCAGGACTTGTCGGATGTCCTTCCCACGTACGTGGAAATACAGTCTGGACACCTTCACACAGGAAGTCCCTGCGGCAGAAGTCCCTGCGGCAGATGAAGTTCCGTCCATGGAGGTGCCTTGACCGAGCTGGATGAAAGACAGCAAGACAGAACCATCTGCTGGAACAGCTGGTAGTTTTTCGTGCAGGCCCTGCTGGCCATGTTGGACGAGGCCTCATGCTCTGTTCTTCGGACATGATGCAATGGAGTCTTGGTCTCTACCGACTTTCGTGTCCAGCCAGGATCGCGCTGGATGAGCTCTTCTTGAAGGCTGGGGTCTGCGAGCCTAAAGCTGCCTCTGTAGCTGACTGAGGCTTTGAGAGTCTAGTTTCCGCACAGTCCATGCAAGTCTGTGCCTGCGTTGGTTGTGCTGACGCAGATCTGCACCACCTGAGACGCGTCCTTGCAGACGAGGCAGTTCAAGCTGCTGTTGTTCCGGTTCCACTGGACACGAAGTTCAAGGCTGCTGCACAGCCATGCCAAGAAGCGCATGCCTGATTCAAATGCTTGACGAAGCCTTGGATGCGTCAACGCCCCTTGCGTGGAAAACAGGGTCTGAGGCAGTTCATGAGGAAGGAGGATGAGAGGCAGGAGGACTCTCTGTCGCCGTTGTCTTGGTGGACAAGCGACTGTAGCCGCATTGTGCTGTCCGATGCATGCACCAAGCATAATGCACGTAAAGGCCTGCATTGAATGGATCGCCGTTTTGGCCCTTGCCGTTCAATTGTGTCAAGGAACAAGTTGGCCACACATGGAGCCTGCCAGCGGCAACCCGAAAGGTTTGCCAGGAACACGCTCAGCCCTGCCAGTCACATGTATCAGCTGCAATTCATATGCATGTCCAGTTCAAGTCATAAACCCCCTGCTTACCATGCTCTTGGTATGCCAGCAAAGGCTAACACCTGAGTCAACACGAAACCCAGCCAGTCCTTTATGGTCCTCTCCTGATCGGGGCCTTAAATGCTTCGGACCTTGAGATGGGTCTTCCGGGGTGATGTGCTCCGCTGCCACGCCCTGCAAGGGTGCTGCGCTCAAGCCAGAGAGCTGCGTGAGGGAGATGTGCCGCGCTGGCCCACAGCTCGCTCCTGGCTTGTGCTCAGGTGGGTGCCATGATAGACCGCATAGATGCGTGTGCCCAAGAGCAGTTTGGCCACGGGACTCGCGCTCAGCACGGACATGTCTGCAAAGTGAGCGTGTGCTGAGGCAGCCACGTCCTCGAGCGAGCCCCCTGCCAGCTATGCTGAGGCATCCCGAAATCGATGCATCGGAGACTTGGGCCTCAAGCGCTCAGTGCTTGCAGAAGCCAGGTTTCCTCAGGCTACAGGCGGGCTGGATACATCCTGGATGATGAAGAGGACAGCGTCGGCCCAGAGCTGCATCTGCTTGTGGCTGTCATGTAGGCGATCGAAGACAATGCAGACAACGCTGTCCTTGTCTTGTCTCTTGCAGGAAGCAGCTCTCATAGCGGACTTGCAGATTCACGATTGCCTCATTGTGGGTACCAGCAAAGGCTCGCCACCGCCTTTTTTGCCTCGTGGAGTCCGCGTGCTGTCTTGCAGACGCTTGTGCTGAGCGGACTTGCAGTAAGAAGTCCAGTGTATGAGTTTTGTACCGTTACTCTGACACGTTGTCGGTGTGTCTCAGATTATTTGGAGTTGGGGATCGTAGGATGTTGCGCTAAGCCGGCTTGCTGCAGCCAGGCTTTACCTCATTGACGGGCTTCCCCCGGGACGAGGCTGCGATGCTTGCAGCAGTGGCTTTTCTTGCCGCCGTCAGTTTTGGTGCCTGGCTGGTGTGCGCTTGTCGGAGTGTTTGCAGCTGGGTGCTTGATCGAATCCTGGCGTGCACCACGGTTGAAGCCGGAGTCTTCCTTGATCGTGAAGCAGTTCATGCTTCGGCCTACGCAAGTGCAAGAGCAAGGACACACAATACAGCATGCAGTGGCTGTCGGAATTTTAGATATTCGGTTGCGCGATTCGAGGCCTTCTCCATGGGACGGCTTTACGGTCACACGCATTCGTGCTGACCTTTGCTGCCAGGCACTTGGGCAGAACTGCCGGATGATGTTGAAGGGTGTGCCCGAGGCTCGTGGTAGGTTCACAATGACATTGCTTGACTACCAGCATGTATATAGGAAACCTTGTGTGCCCTGCCTCCGAGTCATGATGTTTTCACGACAGGTGGCCGTGTCCAAGTCTGCGAGAAAGAACCTTCGCGATTTTTGCCGCATGCCGGATCCCAAGCATATTGTCCTCGGTGCCAATTGCTTGCATCTGCACGGGTTGCAACGGTGAAGTCTACCAGTCCTCGCGGAGGTATCAGCCTTGCATTCAGCCCACTCACAGGTGCAAAATCAAGAAGCTTGATTACATCTCCGAGGCTTTGGAGCCATTTTTGCACTCTGTACGACTCACTGATCAGCATCGGGTTCGTCGGGTAACTTTCTTGCAGCGCAGGTCACGTCGCTGCAGCCCAACAGCCGGAAAAATGGGTCTGGACCTAAGTGTGCTGAATCTCCAATCAAGATCTCAGTGGAAAACAATGATTCGGCGGCTGGCCACACTGGTAGCGACATTACTTCGGCCATCTTCGGCCAACGTTCATAAAGATCTGCGATGGCAGCTGTTTCCATCTTCTGTGCGTGCTGTTGGTGTAGGAGTCCCGATGGTCTTGTATGCAAGGCATGTGCGCGCATGCGCACACAAACAGCAGGTCTCAACACCTTCTATCAATGGTTTGGTTCCTTGAATCATCATCTGCGAGTTCTGCATACCGCACCTGAGTGCTCCTGAGGACTCAGTTCGTCAACTTTTTTCTCGTTGGCCTCGTCCAGGCCTGCCGAAAGGGCAAGACTCCATAAGAGCCGTCCTCCCAAAAGCACTTCGTGAAGCCCGGTAGCTACTGATTCCAAGAACTTACAGGTGGACTCTGCAGGTCTGCAGGATCGGATTGGCAGGATAGCTACAGTGGTTATGCTCAAACTGAAAGGACCTGCTCCGCTTGACGTTGGTGGTTGTCCTGATGCCCATAGATGCTAGGGCACTAAGCTGGGGGCACCATGGTGCCTCCTCAGTATTCTTGTCCTCCTTTGAACGACTAAGCAGCCATTGTCTACGTCTCTGTAGTCGAAGAAGTCCTCGCTTTGAGCCAAGGGATGCCACCTGAAGCATGAGCTGCTGGCAGGTCGGCACAGACAGATACCTGCTCGGTGTACAGAGGTGGAGACCTCAAAGTGCAATTAGAAATGGACACTTCTCATCTCATTCTCGCGCGTCAGGTCTGTTGGCGAAGGGCTTTTCGTGTCCCTCAATGGCCGGATGATGGAGGAGGCGGCTGTCTGGGAGAGTCCGGGACCTTTCGGTTTTCATTCATCTGTGATATCCTTCCGGCGTGGAAAGTGCCCTGACCGTGAAGTTCAGCATCATCCAAACTTAAGTGGAATCAAATCTTTAGTGGTGGATCTTTGGATCTTTCTAGACATGAACGGAACAGCACAAGGATACTGCATGTCGGATTTTCCCAAGCCTTCCTGAATCTTCAGAATCCCATGGTGCGAACTCGGAAGCCGCATTTATCTTCTGCAGAATGGTGGCCAGGTCACTGAAGCTGCGCGAGAGACGTTCAAGCGGATTCGCCAGAAGCTTTTGAGCCTGGACTCCAGCTTAGGCGCGGTGGGGTGGGGGTGGGCGGGGGAGGCGGCGATGTGCGATGTATGCGGCTGTCCTATGCATCAGAGCTAAGTCGCAGCAATTGGGTCTCATCTTTGGCTGAAGACGTTTCCGATCTGTTGATGTCATGCTACAGATCAAGACATCAGCATAACGGCGTGTCTCCGCTGGCTTCAGTTCTCCAGAGTGCAAGGGTCGGTCGTCGCAGGCCGGCTTTCGCACGTCAGCCAGCGGCTGGGTTTCACTTTCTTCTCCGAGCGGCTACAGGCACGGGGTCAACTTGGGGTCTGCAGGAACCGTTGCAGACAGCGGTCCACCGCAAGGATCACTGCTTGTTACTCAATGGTGGTCGAACGGCGATGCGCCGTGAGCCGCAGGACGCCGTCAAAAAACAGTTCATTTGGAGTAGCGGCTTTGGAAGCAGCAGCCTGGGACTTTTGGTATTTGGGCACATTTCTCCGTAGGTGTGTGGGTGGGGGCTCACAACATTGCAGGAGCTTGCTACCAACTGCCGGGAACCCGGTCGGCTGATTCGCGGTGAGTCTCTGTCGGTTTTTGCTGCTGCCCTAAACCCTAAACATCCTAAACCCCTAAACCCTAAACCCTTAAACCCTCAATCCTCAAACCCTTAACCCCTAAGCCTTGAACAAACCCGACTGTAAATGTTGTCTGCACCCTTCGAATTCCTGAGGTTTGGTCTTTGGCAATGCGCCGGTAAGGTGCGGGGATGCAGCGCTTCTGAGTCTGTGTATGCACAACTTCATAAGTACACATATATATATATGTATATTTATGTATGTATGCATGTATGTATGTATGTATTTATGTTTATAGATCGACAGATAGATCCAGGGCACCCCTGTATTTGCCATGTCAGAGCCCTCTTTGAGCCGCAGGATGACACCCAACGGGCTGTACTTTGCCGTGCGCATTGAGGATGCTGTGACAACATTCGAGGGACTGCCCATTGCCTTGGGCTCAGCTGCCAGATAGGGTTTAGGGTTTAGGGATTAGGGTTTTTCAGCAAAGTGTAGCATGTCGTGCTTCTGATGTTCTTGCGGAGCAGTTGCAGAAGTAACTCTGCGAACATTTAATCGCAGATTACCTCCAGCAGGTGAACCTGGACCCCCATCCCAGCGTAAAGCCATGAGCCAGTTTTTACCACCAGAGCTTCCAGCTGAAGTCTGGGTGTGGCTGGAAGGAAAACTCTTGTTGAAACGCTCCTTCCTCGAAGGCTTGCCAGTGAAGACTTATCTACAGACCTCGCGGCTTGCTGCTGCGGCGGCTCAATCGCAGCAACGGCAACACACACAGACAGACCTAGCAGCATGCTTGACTGCATAGCCGGTACATGATTCGTCTGTTGGACAGAGCAGCCGCCGGAGAATCGCCACCTGTCGTTGGTGGAACCGCGAGATCAGGGTTGCAGGTGCAATCCTAGTGTCCGGCAAGGATGCTCATTTACTCGCACTCACCAGTATCCAAGCACTTCTCACCGCTGCTTATTGCCGTTCCGTTCACAGACTGACGAGCTTGGTGCCACCAGCATGGAGAATCTACAAACGCAGGTACAAGAGCACGGCCCATCATCTCCACGTCTTTGCGTTGTTCCTGAGCTGTCTCGGGCAACGATGTCGCGTGTGACCAGTGATGTTGGCTAGCTCAGAGTTTGACCGTATGTAGCAGTGCTGTAACTGTGACTGTTGACAGTGTGCTTGTCTTTCTCATGAAGCGAGCTGCTTGGCATCAGATGGGCTTCACTCGCCGCAAGCCGGTGGATCAGCCGAGTCTCTACCCAACGGTTTGCAGGCCTGGAGCCGCTATGCTGTGTAGGCGGAGGAACATGCCGTGTAGGGAATATCGCCACGAACAGGTTCTACACCGTTTGCTGGGAACTCTTACTGTTTTTTGGTTCATTGTGCTACAAACGCACTCATTTTGCCGTGTGCTCCGGCTCAGTCCTCGCCTGATTGAGTTGATGCGATGTACCGCAGCTTACAGCTCACGCACAAGCGACAGTGCAAGCATTTACAAAAACAAGGAACCGTGACAGGTCTTAAGCTTAGTCAATCAGGGAGGACTTGAAGTCTGGTGGTTGTGGCTGCAGTGAGCAGATGTGCCGCTGATCCTGAACATCTGCTCTACCAGTCGTGTCTTATCTGCAGGTCATGGAAAGTTTGAAACACAAATCTGTCTGATGCCTACCTACTGACGTCAGAGCTGAGGCGGCTGTGACTTATGCCACAACTTGAATTCTCCGGTGGCACGACGATGCAAGCATCTTGACTGGGCATGGAGGTGCGGTGCACATCTGCAGACGATGGCTGTTCTATGTGCAGCTGCATCTGCGCGAGGACAACGGTGCAGAGGAGGCTTGGGAAGAGGAGGTTTGGGAAGAGGAGGCTTGGGAAGAGGATGACTGTGAGGAGTGGCAGGAGGAGCAAGCTCAGAATGAAGAGGCTGCAAAGGCAGAGGCCAGAGTCGGGAATGGCGTTGGATCTTCGAGCGCCGATACTGCTGAGGAAGGTCCGGACGAGGCAGAGGCATGGCAAACTTGGACAGAGGAGAACAGGGACGTGCGTGGAGAGCAAGAACATCAAGAACACGGACAGGGCTGGGAGGAAGGACAAAATGAGTGGATGGAAGACGAGGAAGAGGACAGAGTTAGGTAGCTCAGTGCATCCGCTCCCAGATGCTGCAACCGCCTGTTGCCAGCTCCTTGTAGCACACGTGCTCGACAGGGAGGGAGGGGTCGGTTGATACCGCTCTGCTGCCTGCTCGAAGGATGTGGATCAAGAAGACCCCGAGGAGCCATGCTGGATAGACGCTGCAGCTGCAGACGTTCGCAGTGTAGAACGCTTGGCCCCAGGGATTGCAGGAGTGCGTGTCTTGGGACCCTTCAGCTGAGGACGAGCTCCAAGATTGCCGCTCCGTTTGTGACGTCCTGCTTCAAGCCGCATGGAGCAATTTGTTTTCATCCGTACGAAAGCAAGAAGTAGATATGGGTTGCTGGGAAAATGCTGCTGCAAGAGCTTTTTATACCTCTTGACCAGGGGCCCCGACCCTCAGATTTAGCAAGTCCGAACCCGAATTCCCGTCATAGAAGGTGGATGCCATCGCTGTGGACGTGGAGGGCGTCGACTTGGGCCGTGCAGGTGAGATCTGCATCATCCAGGCGGGCTCACAAGAGCACCAAGCTGCTTTGGAAGCCACTGTTTCAGCGACAGAACTAAGCTTCCCGAAGATGCAGGTGTCAACGCGGATGCGACAGGTCTACCTCTTTGACATTACCACTTTGGGTCGAGCCGCTTTCCGAAGTGGCTTGAAGGCTCCACGAATCAATCACGTGCCTTTATCCAGCGTTCATCGACTGCACCGGTGCAGTGGCATGATGGGCAGGAGTTGCTGGAGAGCGTAGATGTCGTCAAGCTTTTCTACGACTGCCGCAGCGATGCGGATGCTTTGCACCACCTGCATGGAGTTCGGCTGGCCAACGTGCGACTCGCATGAACATGCTTCCTTTCCAATTTCTTTCCCTCGTTGAAAGTGCGTCTCCACCTGCCTCATAGGGAAACTTGCAAGACAAAGTAATTTGAGGAGGCAGCGGAAGGTTTGTCTAAAACTCTGCTACTGCCTGCAAGATGAGATAGTCTCTCCGAAGCATGGCACTGCCTGCGGCTTGCATCATGCACCCCCCCCCTGACTCGCTGCATGCCCACGAAACCACCATGGTTTAGGGTTTGGGGTTTAGGATTTAGGGTTTTGGGCTTGGGGTTTTGGGATCACCGCATCAAGCAGGTTGGATCTCCAGGTGCTCTTCACGCATCAATCCGGCCAACGGTCAGGTCAGCTTCCTGGCATGGCCAAAGCGCGGCACAGCTCAAAGCTATGAAGATAGGATGGGTTTAAGGCTAAGGCCAAGAGATGCCACCAGTGCGCCATAGTGCGCCTAGTGAACTTCGTTCGGAGGTTGCAGGTTTTGGGGCTGTGGAAGGATCTTCTCGTTGGTCAGGACCTGCTCAGCAGTAGCATTGCAAAAGGGCAGATGTGTTTTGCCGATGCAACTCCAGTCGGCAATTCTTAAGGCTTGGGCAAGTCTTGTCCTACGAGGAGCACCAGGCAAGGCACGGGCCATCCGTTCAGATCGCAAGTGCTGAAGTTTGCGTCTGTCGTTGCTAGGAGGCAAAGGGCATCAAAGCTGCCGGAACTGGTATGTTTGCGCCCGAAAAGGGTGGCAACATCCAGGCGGGGTTGCTTTCGGCAAGGATCGCGGCATGGATGAGACTGGTCTGCTCCAGTTCGAGTCAGCGCTCACTAGGCTCTGAGGGATCTTTCGCAGCAGTTCAGGTCTGCTTTGCCAGGTTATGACCATCGTACACAGATCAGTCCTCGATCAGCTCGGTCCAGCGGCCGTAATCTGGGAAGTAACATTGCAGTGACATAACAACAGTTGCCCTAGCACGTGAGATGGACGTCCAGAGTATTCCAGAGTACTCGCACACACAAGCCCAGACCCTGTCAGGTTTGGAAGCTTCGACCGCTGCCCCAGTTGCTGGTGCGGTACTGCGCTCAGGACTCTCCGCCTGTCTGTCTTGTCTACATGGAATTTTTTCACTTTGGCGGCACCTGCCCCACTGCAGTCTGCAAGATTCTGCAAGCCTAGACTCGAAGCTCTAAATGCTAGCTGCAGAGTCTCCGAAGCGTCTTACTCCACCCGAGGGGTTCCGTCCAGGAAAGAGGTTCCCTCCTAGCCAAAGGCTCGGCTGCTGCAGAGTTTCAATAGCACCTCACTTTGTCGATGAGGATGAAGGGGAACAGGAGCAGCAGCAGGAGCAGGAGCAAGAGGAGTAGGAGTAGGAGCAGGAGGAGTAGGAGTAGGGAGTGGCAGGAAGAGGCAGGGAAGACTGAGTTGGTGAATCGTGCACGAGCCTGAACACCGCCAATTTCAGAGACCGGAGATGTGGAGCATTTTCTACAGCAGGACCCGTCGTAGCGGCGCTTGTCAGATCCTTGTCAGGATAACCCTAAACCCTAAAACCCTAAACTCTCTACCTACTAGGTATTCCGACTGTAGCAAGGAGGAAAAGGGCCCTCAAAAAAAGAACAAAAATGTCAGGATGTCCGGCACCTCTTCGCCATGTGGGCAGCTTGGGACTCGCTGAGTCATCCCGAGCTCCAGGAGATCTCCGAGGACCGGATGCGAAGGCGCATCGAAGCCCGGCTGAAGATACTACAGGAATTAGAATAGGGTTTTGGGGTATATTATACTTTAGCTATCATAAGGAACCCTTAAAATAGTACAGGTAATTACTAAGGCCCCTATATTACGACTTGCCCAGTCGTATACACCCCCCTGTGCTGCGGTACCGAGGAAGGAGCCCATCCGCCGGAGAGCCGCTCGGCAAGTTTAGCACAGGTACTTGGAGGTTCATGGGTATTTATAAGTAGGGGTTATAAGTAGGGTTCCTTTAAGGGGATCTATAGGATTATCGGGCTTAGGGTTTAGGGGTAGTCATAAGTAGGGGTTATAAGTAGGGCAGCTATACTTATAACCCATATTAGGGGACTTATAACCCTGCTTTTTAACTACCCCTGAACCTCCAAGTAGGGCCGCAGAGAAGGTGCACTCGGATTTTGAGGTCCCTGGCTGGTGGACTTCGATCTGTCCCCACCAGAGAAGCAGAGGCGAAGAGAAGCTGTGCTGAATTGGAATGCTAATGCTATGAGCTCTCCTCGAAATCGAAGCTATCTTCCGATGCAGTGCGATTTTGCAAGAAGCAGAGCCGAGAGGTTCCAAAAAGCTGATCAAGCTGTAAACCTGGCACTTTCGGTGTCTTCGGAGCACTTTTGAGCGTTGCTTCTGCTAAGGCAGGCTGATGCTGCCAGCACTGCCAGCAGTGGGCATCTCCAAGTGGAAGCTGCCAAAAAGTGGCGACAGATGTCAGTGTTTGAGATCGCAATGTGCAGCCTTCCTTCGATTTTGCCACAGGTGTTTGGGCGCCAGCGTTCTGGTGGGAGCCTGTGGCGAGGCTCGAAAGCCCCTTTTGTGGTACACAGCTGTGCCTGTGCAGCTGCACGGGCCCACATCGGAACAACAGCAGGATTGTGTCATCCGCGACGATGCGGATCTTGACCAGAAGTTGAGAAAAGCTGTGGCTTTTTGTGACAGGCCTTCGCCCGCGATCAGATGGAGCACTTCCGGATCGGCTTCAAGCAGCCTCCGCAGACGGAGGCTTGTGTTGCCCTCGAGATTGAAATGCAGCGCGAAAGAAGCTGCTCTTGTTTAATGAAATCTCGTGTGTGTGTGTGTGTGCCCCGACCGGCAAAACACGAATGGCTCAACAGCGAGGGCAAAGGCCCGCAGCTCCCTGACTCTTCGAGTGAAGATGCCGGTGTAACTAGATCCCAATCTTGTTTAAAGCATTTAAAGCTATACCATTCCCTTATCTCCTTTATCTTTTAAGCCTTGGCAGTAGAAGGCATGGCCCGCAAGCACATTTGATAAACCACGAGCCTAGTGCAGATTCAGTTCTCTGCAGCCCAGAGATGGGCTACTCGTGTTCGTAAATGCAATGATGCGCCGGTTGAGTTGTGCTGGGGTCCACCTTGCTTGGGCATATAACTGGCCGGAAGCAGGCAACTTCGACCTACCTGGTTTTCAGACTGTTAGTACGCAAGCACCATTTCAGCCCGAGCCCACGGCACCGCCAACACCGTCAGAGCTGCCTGATGCTATCGATCCTTCTATGTGTCGAGACTTTGCGCGACTCCGCAGTCAAGTAGCGAGATCGCCTTTGAGGACATACATGCAGAACTTTGGTACCTGGCTGCGCGAGAGCCCCTATCAGACCGCAATTGCGCTTGGAGCCCTGGCATGTGGCTGCGTCTGTGTGTGGGATGGGCCACGACTTTGGGAGAATTTGGTAATCGCCGGCTTTTCGCTGGGTGCTGCCTGGCTGGCGCATTTCGAAACCGACCGAAATCATTTGGCTCCAAACCTGCAGTCGGGGCTTGCGCTGATGCTAGCGGCCGGGGTGATAACCGGGTTGGCTGTGCACAGCGGCTTCGAGGGAACCCAGGTCGTCATTGGTGCTGCTGCAGGTTTTGCGGCGGCAGCCTACTGCGGAGTGGGGGTGGGGGCTGAGGCCATCGACAAGAGCCTGCCAGGCATCTCCTTGACCTGGTGTTGTGCCGGCTCCAGCTTCGGTGCCTGGGTCTTGGTGACCTGGAGACGGCCCCTCTTGGCTTGCTTGGCCCCGCTCCTGGGCAGCTTCCTGGTGGTTTCGGGGGTGGGGAGCTTGATCTCCTTCTTCGACATCGACGCCTTGCCCCAGCAGGGAGCTCCATGGTCCGTGGAGGCTTCGATCCTGCTTGGGCCCTTGGGCACCCAGGCCCTCACATGGCATTGCCTCTGCGCGCTCCTGGCCGCATCAGCTCAGAATTGCGGTCGCAGGGCCTTGGCCGTCACGGTGATGATTGCCTATGTTGTGCTGGTGGCTTTGGGAGCCCTGATCGTGGGCATCGAGTGCAAGGATACGCCGTCAGAGGCAGATGGGGAGGACTGCCCAGAGCATCTGGCGATCGTTGGGCGTTGGCAATGGCAGTTGTGTGGCTGCACGGCATGGGCAGCACTGGCAGCCTTCACAGGTTGGAGACAGTTGGGTGCGCTTCAAGTTTACCTCTCCCGAAAGCTCAGCAGGAGGACGTCGCGTTCCCGAAGCAGCTATGCTACTCTTGATGAGACGCCGCATTCTGCTAATGTCGAGAGTGGCTTGCAGACATTCGTGACGCCAGGATACATGCTGACTGGAGGACCGCAAAGGCTATCAAGCTTTGTGCACTCGTTTCCGCATCGTCGACTTGGCACCGTCTGATCCACAGCTTTGCGACATCATCCGCCTGCACAGCGCGCATCGAAGCGAGAACTGCAAAGACAGTTCGCAAGCAGAGCAACGGAAAAGTGGCTGCTGCATCAGCTGAGAATGTGTTGGCAGCTTCAAGCGTTGAATCCGCCCTGGCAAATCACGGCACGAAATCACTGCCTCATAGGAACCGTAATTCATTGTGTTACTTGTACCGGCTTGGTTGGACAGAGCTTTTGTTGAAGTACTCTTCGGACCTGTTTCCCTCTGTGTGTGTGTATCCTCGGCTTCGGCAATGCAGATGATAGGATTCGTCGCATTAGGCTCAGGCAGGCAACCTTCCTTCGGCAGCCAGCAAGCAGCTGTGCGGGTGATCATTCAACAATCTGCAGACGGCGTGTTGACTGCGAGCGAATGTGCCCATGTTACACAAGTTGTGGCAGGTTGCCTCCTGGTCCACACAAGCCGACGTGCCGCCGCACAAGCGAAGGCACGGAACTTGTAACAGGCAAAAGTCTCCTTCCGGAAATGCAGTCACTCAGATCCATGATGTCAGCTTCGCCGGCTTCTGACAATGACACTCGGAACCTGTCTTGAAAAGCAGATCTGGAAGATTCTGGAAGATTGATTGGCTTAAGCTTCCAAGTGTGATGCCTGCTACCAGCGCCTGTACGGGATCCACACGAGGCTGATGATGCAATTTGTAATGCGACTGTAAAATGTTGACGGCCCCCTGCTTTTCCTGGAAAGAAAGAACTCAGCCAGAACTTGAATAGCTGGAATATTTGCATGCGTGCGCAGAGTGATGCATGCAGGCCTGCAGGCATGTAGACATGTAAGCATGTGTGTACGTGTGCACGTATGTATGCATGCGTTTTTGTGGTTCATACATACACGGCAGTTTTGCCGATGCACCCTGTCGTGTCTTCTGTCCTGAGCTTGGGCTTCCTGCATTGTTTCAGCACTGCACCCTGATCCCCTTCATTATTTGTCAGTGGCCACTACCTGGCAGGGCGCCGGTGAGCGTCAACCCGGGCGACGTGTTTGGGTTCCAGACTCGATCAGCCCTTGAAGCAGTCAGTCTGCATGCATCTGCAGTTGCTTTAACTGTAACACCGAAATACGAAATAGAGTGTGGCCACACCCATCCGATGTCTGAGCTTTGAAGCCTAAGGCTGACCACCTTTCGCTTTAAAAGCCCTTCCAATCCTTGGCACGCAACTGAACATCAGGTGCCTCTACACCATGGAGGGCCGGCTGCAGCTTTGGAGGCTTCGGAGTGTACTTGCAGGATGAGATGCGCTGCGGGCAGACTTAGTACCGTATGAAAATCATTTGGCAGAACTTTTGTGGGTGGCTGTCAGAATTACGACCCTTTTTTGGGTACCCTAAATATTAGGTGCCGTATTATCTTAGGGACCCCAAAAAAGACCATAGTTTTGACAAGCACCCTTGAAGAAATGGCAGCCTCTGCTGCCAGGAATGGCTCCCAAGTCTTGGACTTCGACGTGGGCCGTCCCATCCAGCAGGCGCCATTACCCAAGAGCCCTGCCCTACTCACTCAGCCCTTACTTGTGGTAATGTTATGGGTGAGTCACAGGCGCCATAAGTATTACTTGCAGAGCTTCTTTTATCTAATTCCGGACAGACAGCTCCAAACCCGAGGCTTACCTAATACCGAAGGTTTTAAGCCATGTATATACCCCAAGCCCTATGTGCACCAGACCGCAGACCCTCATTTACTTAGCAGTGTCAGCTCCCCGGGGCAGTTTTGAAAGTTGAAAGTGGCCAGGGCGCTGACTACTATGCAGTGATCGACGTTTGTCTGGCTGCGTGCGCTGGGAATCGAGTTGGGGAAATGTCCCAGTCATGTCAAAGTGTGCAAGGGTTCAGCTGCCAGGTACTCCGTCAGCCTTCTTCCGCATTCCAGCCCGAGCCAGTACTCAGAGTCCACGGTGCTGCTCCAATACCCCGGGATGGGGTGTCACATGCGCTGGAAGATCATGGCTGTGCTAGGAAGACCATAGGCGCTGCCCGGATTGCTCGATGAAGTCAAACGCGATGCTAGCTCTTCGGCTTACATCAGCTTTAGTGAGAACAGAGCCAAACCATCGAGGCTGCTAGCCTTTCGCGCATGATTCTCCGACCTATCCTTTGTCAAACTCTGGCATTATCGTTGAAGGCTGCAAGTCCTGTAGCTTTGAAGGTCTCCTTCTGAGGAAGGCTCAGCACTGTCCGGTGCCTGCCGGAGTGAAGGCTCCACCAAATATTATCAGGGAACTCGAAACGCTACCTTGAAAGGGCCATGAGGTCGACAGGCATGGCAAGCCGGGCCTGCCGCGCAATGGCCCTTCCGGCTACATGGGTTCCAGCGCGAAGGCTGCACTTCGCTGCACGCCCCGTCCTGAGCCTTGGCAGGGAGAGAGAGCCTTGGTCTATGACCGGTGGATGTACCTGTCTCAGGTCCTGGGGCCACCCGCAGCTTCAGCTCGCAAGGACCCCCCGAGGAACCGAAAGCCGGGATCCCGGATGCTTTGTCGCAGCAGAAATCCCGAGTGACGTGTGCTGCATGCCCAGGCAAGGCGTGCTGCACTCAGATGCGGCTTGATAGGACATCGACTGTTGCCCTGCTAGAAGCAAGTCGCAGTTGTCACTTGACCTGCAATCCCCATGTTAGCAACGATCGTCCATTCAGCCGTTCTGCCTCTGAAAAGTGCAAGGCAAGCCTGTGACTACCCTGGAGGAGGCGCCAGGGCCCCGATCCGCAGGGCTATGAGGGTACGCTGCTTTGGAGGCCTCCGCCCAGTGCTCAGAGTACTGGAGGTTGTATTTGGCCAAGCTTGCGAACATCTGGACAGAAGCAGAGGCGTGGCCAGAGATTGGCGAGCATATAGTAGGTGATGGTCGGAAGTGTAGCTTGACTGGACAACGCTCCCGTTGCTGCACTGATTCGTGCAAGTGCTGGGTATGAATGCTGTCGACGCACACCTCTAACTCCAACTCATGCGAGCAATCGGATTACGAGTAGCATCGAAGAGGTGCCAGGGTTCAGTGTGTTGCTTGCAGGTCCAGTATCAGATCGCGGGGTCCCCGGACATGCAGGGACTGATGTGTACATGCCATCGCCACAGTTTGACATGCCAGTCGGGGCGAGGTTCGCGGACCGGAGTTTTCCCGAGACAATTCCCCGTTCATGCTCGAGAACTTCTTTGAGGCCGAAAGTTATACATAGACAGAAAGGCCATCAGCTGTGCACAAGGTCTAAGGTGAGATTGCATTTTTGTGCAAGTGGCTGGATGTAGGCACATCTTCACGAGTGCAAGCATTCATATCTGTCTCTCTGTCTCTCCTTCGGTAGGTATGCAGGTAGGTAGGCAGGTAGGTACTTGAAGGTTTTTATACGTACGTCTGTAACTACGTATGCATGTACACCTGCATGTTCGTATGTATGTATGTATGCATGCATGGAGACAATATGCTTGCCATGTATCGATGAAGATGTCAGGCTACAGACTTGTGCAAAGCCGGCCGATGGTGTCTCAAGCCATAATGCCACAGGCAATGTTTCGGCACAGCTACCCACAATGCAGATGCTGGACACAGCAGCGTCGACAGTACATGTCAAAGCGGGCCGAGTCTGGGCGGTCATTGTGTCAGTAGTTCTTGAATCGAAATCTGCTTCCTGTCACCCGCCATGGCTCGTAGCCGTTGGCTGTGCCTCTCGCTGCTGCTCTACGGAGCTTTGCGGGTGAGCCAGGTGCCGGTGCCAGTCGCACTGTTTTGCTTGCTTGCCTTGTATCCATCGGGTCGATGCACGGGAGGGTTCTTGGCAGGAACCCTTTGGGCTTCTGCTGATTGCGCCAGGTGACATTCCTGGGCCCACAACCTGTCCAGCCTGCACGCACAGCGATGGCTGCAACGAAGAGGAAGGGAGCAGTGAAGAAAGGAGGAGGACCGCCAAGAAAACAGCAGAGGGGAAGAAGATGTGGCTCGTGTTTGAGTTCCCTGCTTTAGATGGCTTCTACTGCCCTCGATGTCGCCGTCCCAGTGAGTAAACATGTAAACATGATTTGAATTGAATGCTGAATCGAATCGAGCCCGGCCGCAAGAAACCCGGATGAGTGTTTGCCCGAGCTTGTTAACGGATCGAGTCGTCAGGGACCATCAGAAGGTATATGCAGCAGTCACGTGAAGGGGCGCATATAGGTGCGTACGATGGATCAGCTATCCTGTCCTGTTCACTCACTTAGCCACGGAGGCGCCTCAGCTTGATAAGCCATTCAGCGGTCTCGGGCACAGTCGCCCCCAAGAATCCACGTGGTGCTCCGTGCCGGAAATCCGGTTTTCTTCGTAAGCAGCATGACGGCATTACGCAAACACTGGGGATACCCATTCAACTTGTGCCGTCTGTGATTTTGCCGCACGCCGAAGCGGGATCATCTCAGACTGGACCATCTCAGACTGGACCTCAAGTCACAAAAACTCAGAAAGGGAGACAGAGTGGGGGAGCCAGGGTAAAGAGCTACGTTGTTCTCCTCTGGGTTCTTGTTAAGGAGTTTAATCTAAGTTCCCGCAATTCGGATCGAACTATTTTGGTAACTTACTTTAAATCCTTTAGCAAAAACCCAGCCTTTGCCCAGCTCTGCAGGAAAGGGGAAGTACCGAGGTGTGGTGAACCCAAGGCTGCGGAACTTCATCCAATCAAACGAGTACCGAGAGCTTCTGACCTTACTGAAGAACGTGGCTGGGCTCTGTATAATTTGGGGCTTCCTTTAAGGGTTCTATGGGGGTTTAGGGGTTAAGAGTGTTAGTTTAAGTTACCATAGTAGGGAAACCACATTAAATACGAAAGATTTCCATAATGGTAACTTAAATTCAACTCCATAAGAAGAACCCAGGTGAATGACGAGGGCGTCCTCGATGATTTCTTGGCCAAGGCAGAGACTTATTGGCGACTCGGCTTGCAGGGGGCTGCTCTGTCGAGGCTGTTGGGTTCTTCTTGACATCCTCCTTCTTGTGATCTGGGAGTTTCCGAGAGCCTTAGTTAATAAGGATCCTACTATTTAGGGTATCTCTTCTGGGTCCCCTGTTTTCGGAGATTCCCATTTGGGAGGATGGACATCAACATTTTCCAGCTGGCCATGGAGGAGCAGTCGGGCGGTGGTCGCGGTGTCGTGGCTACTGTCAAGAAGGATTGGCCCAAGATTTGGCCGCCCCAGCTGGAGAGCAATCGCATGTACGCCTTTGACTGCTTCGCCAAATTCTGGGGGAGCGCCTTGCCAGAGCCCCAAAAACCCTTAACCCAAAGCCCTGGATTCCCTAAACCCGAAACCCCAAACCCTTTCCGGCGCAGCAGTAAAGCTTTTTGGCCTTTGCCTTGCGAAGCCTAGGACTGGAGCGGTCCAAGCTTGTGGATGACGTCATGTCGGAGGTCCTCCCCGACTTGGGAAAGGACTACAACGAGAAGCTGGAGAGCAAGGATCAGCAAAAGCTCATGAAGATGTCCGACGATGAGCGTCGTGACGAAATCATGAATCGTCTCGGGGACTCACCCATCGTGGCCCAGTATGCTGGGTTGAGCAGGGAGGATCCCGAAGTGAAAGCTATTGGATCCAAGATGGCACCCTTTGTGGCAAAGTTTGTCTCTATCCTGGAGCGGAAAGTGTCCACACAGACCGAGTCCCTTGGTCAAACTGTTGACTTTGTTGTTGTCGGCGTCATAGCAGTAGTGCTCCTCATTGGCCTGAGCTTCGCTGGTATTATCAAGATTCCTGACCCGACGTGGTGAGCAGGCTTTTCTCACAATTTTCCGGATGCTTTATGCCGAGTCTCACCACCTGCCGCCTTCAGAAGCGTATGGGCATCCCATGGGGATCGAAATAGTGGAAGGCGACGATCAAAAGGGATCTCGACCAGCATGCTAACTTCATTGCATGGTGTAAAACCATGTTTTAAAGTCCCTTCCTGCCTTGATGTAGGTTCAGGACGAGCCGTATGAGGCAGTTGCCTCGAAGGCCGGATCGTGAGTCTGCAGCAGAGGCATGCAAGGAAGCTTTTGGATGCTACTCCTTCAGAGAGCCGTTCGCCCTTGCTGTATCGAGATCCGGCAAATCCTTCCGTTTACCTGCAGGAGCAGCTCGACATTGGGGTCGCGGAGGGTGAGCGGGAATGGTCCCTCACCTAGCACGCATCTAGGAGAGAATGAGCGGTGACTGTGAGTCTTCAGCAGTGGCTGCAGGCCAAACACCAACCCGACAGTCCACGCGACCATAGAGAAGTGCACCACCAACTCGACACTGCGTTGGGGATGTCAGGACTTCTAACGCATGTAGCAGTGTTCTGCTGATGTCTGCAAATTCGATTTACAGTTCGGAATTAGAGACCCTTCCAATCGCGCAAGGCTTGGCCGGTGAGCAGTCTTTCTGACATGACTGTGTATTCAAGGACTCGCATATTCCTTGAGGTACTTCCGGCCTGACCTTCCCCCGAAGTTTTGGCACGGGGGCAAGGAGCCTGCCCAAGTCTGTCCCAGCTGATGCAATGCATGTCTTTCTGGCTTTTGCATTCTTGTGTTTCCAATGGTTCAGCCCAGCCGCGCGGTAACCCTCGCAAGCGTCGAGGAGTGGCTCTCTTACGTCGAAGGCTGCGGGCATTGCCTCCTGAGGGTTGTTCTGCAGGTTGGTTTCGGAGAATTTCTGCCAAGCTCCCTTGGACCCCAAAGAGGACTGGACCCACGAAAGCTACGGGGTGACTTGAATCCGCTTAGACTGGTGAGGCACGGGCACTCGAAAGCGCGCTTCGGCTCATGTCGCTTCGGCCTAAGCTTGGCTGTGCCAGGGCGAGAGTTTGAGCAAACTCTGCCGAAGCAGTCCTCTCCCCAAGGTGCTCGTCCGGGGCACAGGCATCTTCCGTGTCAACGGCGAGCAGGACGTAGTGGAACTGTGGGTCTTGCGGGCGCCGGTAGTCAAGAGCCGGAAGAGTCCTAAAGAAACTCCGCAGTTCACGGCATGCTAGCGAGGACATGTATTCACGATGGCCACAGATTTACAACCGTCGGCTTGCTCAGAATGTGAGTTGCCACGCAATACCTCCTCAGTGCCTTTTTTCCCACATCGAGCCTGACAGTTGATGAATTTTCGATCTTGCCCAGGCACAGGTGGTACTGTACACGAAATAACTGGGGCGGGGCCGCACTTCCCAACTTCTGGCTCTAGGAAGCCGGGTACGTGCCGTGTCGACTCGAGATTTGCATTGCAAGAGTCATCTAAGGGGTCGATGTCTGCCAGCCTTTCAAGCTGACCGGTGCCTTGTCACAACGTTATCACAGTTATGAATTTATGAAAGAAGGAGGTGCTTGGATCAGTAACTGTGAGAACGGAAGCAAGCAGGCCGTTTGTCGACAGCCTACTCGTAGCTTTTCTAAATGCCGACGTCTCGTTGTATCTGCAAGGCACAGCAGGGCAGTACGACGTCTTTGTGGAGACCCGTGGAGGTGGATTGAGTGGGCAGGCGCCGTATGCCTTATCGAAAGCTACTCATAGCTAGAGCATCTTGATCGTGCAGTCATGTGGGGCCTATGCCATGCTACGTACCAATTTCGTGCAAGCCCTGTGTTCCCCAGTTGCATCGCTTGAGCTTGCTTTGCAGGCCGGGGCCACGCGCCTAGCGATCTCCCGAGCACTTTTTGAGGCAGCGACCTCATAGTCATGTACCGCGGAGGTCAATACCGAACCTGAGCAAACAGAAGCTTTTGCACTGCAGGGTTGTGGGGTGGAGCACGAAGGATAAACATGTACGAATACAAGGACTCTGTCTGAACTTGAAGCACATCTTTCTTCGACGGAAGAGTCGCTCTTGCCAGCTGAGGCCAATCCTAGTTGCCACGATGACCTACAGAAAGGTTTCTGTCTCTTGGAGGTGGAGCTCGGACACGTGTTGTATGGGGTTGTGACGGTTCGGGCCGGCACCAGACGCAAGTCTGTGGTTGCGGATAGAATAAGGCATGCGGGCCTTAAGCAGCCGAATCAATTGCTAAGCTTTGCTCTCTGACTGCTTGCGTGCATCAGTGTCCAGAACAGACGGCACTGAAGGAGTTTTCTTGTTTTGCATGTGTCCTTTTCCTTTGGCTCGGAGAAATGTTTACATCAGGGAGGTAGCACTGCCGCGGCTATCCATGCTCAGCCTCAGACCTCAGTCCCCTCGACTGCCCTGACCACTTCATGTCTCCTGGAATGCCGTGTCCTGTAAACCTAAAGCACAGCTTCTCAGCATGATCTCCGCCACACATGGCAGAACCAAAAGAGGTGTGGCCCTCCCCTGTAGCTATACAGCATAGGCCATAGGCGGCATAGGCCTAGGCTTAGACGGCCTGCTGTAGCTGCGATTGCAGCCACCTCCCAGAGGCCAGGGGCCCAAGGGGTAGTCTCAGGACCATTTGGGAGTTTCCGAAAACTAGGGGTACCTTATTTTGGGGGTCCTTGTCATAAGGATCCTACTATTGAAGGTACTATATTAGGGCCCCATTTTCGGAAACCCCCATTTAGTTCCAAGCTGACACGTGCAATCCGAAAATGTCTTTGGACCTGTCTCTAGCAATGTCAGGAGGAAGACTGCGCCGTCTCTGTACAATTTAATGTTCCTGGGAAGCAGTCAGTCGCCAAAGCCTTTTCGTTCTTGCCCTAGGGCTCCAGTTACCTAAATAGTAGGTTACTGGGGTATATAATGTATGGTCTAAACCCTAAACCCTAAAACCCTAAACCCTATAGGTTAGTAAGCTACTATATAGGAGACTGGAGCCCTAGGGTTGGTGTTTTGAAGTGAGCTGCTGCAACTGCGGAGCCTGGCAGGCGAACTCTGTAAACTCTTGCGGTACGATACCTTTTCACCAATGCTGCCGCCGAATTGGGCAGAGCACAAAGACCCTACAACGGGCAAAGCGTACTACTACAACTCCGTCACGAAGGCCGGTCCTTAAGATTCTTGTCCGTTCCCGAGCCCGATGTGCGAGTGCGACGGGAGGGGAGGGGTGGGAATCGTCGGGATTTGTCGCAGGAGACGACCTGGAGCAGGCCAGCTTCAAGCATTGGAGCCCCGCCTCCACCAGCACCCCCAGGTGGCCCCGGCACACCCAAGGCACCACTTGCGCCATCCCTGAGCGGCCCGAAGCCCTTGACACCGCTTGGGGCACCTGCGGCTCCCAAGCTGCCCTCGGGTCCGGCGCCACCGGCGCCAGGATCGCGACCAGGACTCGGTCCCGCTGCGCCAGCTCCACCCGGAGGTCTCTCGAGACCCACCGTTTCCATCGCATCTCCCAGCCCTGGAGCTCCACTAGCGCCCAAAGCACCCTTAGCACCGGGTGCTCCTGGAGCTCCTTTGGCACCCAAGCCAGCTGTTCCCCCAGCCCCGGGTGCGCCGGGTGCTCCAAGGGCACCTGGAGCACCTGGCGCTCCCCTGACTCCAGCTCTACCAGCCGAGTGGACAGAGCACAAGGACCCAGTTACTGGCAAGACGTACTATTATAACAAGATCACCAAAGAGACCACCTGGGAAAAGCCAGCACCAAAGCCGGCCGCCCCGCTTGCACCTGGTGCTCCCAAAGCGCCTTTGGCTCCTGGCGCGCCATTGGCACCAGCAGCTCCGAAAGACGACTGGACAGAACACAAGGATCCGGTCACGGGCAAGACGTATTACTACAACAAGATAACCAAGGAGACGACGTGGGACAAGCCAGCACCCAAACTGGCCGCCACCACGCCTTTGGCACCAAAAGCACCTTTGGCTCCAGGTGCACCACCAGCTCCCGATTTGAAGGATGATTGGACAGAGCACAAGGATCCGGTGACTGGGAAGACTTACTACTACAACAAGCTAACCAAGGAGACGACCTGGGACAAGCCAGCACCTAAACTTGCGGCTACCACTCCACTGGCCCCGGCCGCACCAAGGGCACCGGGAGCACCCGGAGCACCGCCGGCGCCCGGCGCAAGTGATTGGACCGAGCACAAGGACCCTGTCACGGGCAAGACGTACTACTACAACAAGATCACGAAGGAGACTACCTGGGACAAACCTGCGGCTATGGCAGCTAAGCCTGCCCTCCCGGCCCCACTGGCACCAGCGGGACTGCCCCCAAACTGGGAAGAGCACAAAGATCCCAGCACAGGCAAGACGTACTACTACAACAAGGTGACCCGAGAAACCACTTGGGACAAACCGAAAGGTGCCGCGGCACCAGCAGCTCCCGCAGCACCTGGAGTTGGAGGTTTGCCGCCGGAGTGGGAGGAGCACAAGGATCCGGGCAGTGGGAAGACGTTCTACTACAACAAGATCACGAAGGAGACCTCTTGGGACAAACCCGCTCCGAAGCCTGGTCTTGCACCTGCGGCTCCCAGTGCACCAGGTGGAGGTTTGCCCGCCAACTGGGAGGAGCACAAGGACCCATCCACTGGGAAGACCTTCTACTACAACAAGGTGACCAAGGAGACTTCCTGGGACAAGCCCGCAGGTTTTTCGGCAGCTGCACCCCCTGATGCCGGGGGCTTGCCACCAAACTGGGAGGAGCACAAGGACCCCTCCACCGGTAAGGTGTTTTACTACAACAAGATCACGAAGGAGACCTCTTGGGACAAACCGAAGGGTGCAGCGGCACCAGCAGCTCCCGCAGCACCTGGAGTTGGAGGTTTGCCGCCTGAGTGGGAGGAGCACAAAGATCCAAGTAGTGGGAAGACGTTTTACTACAACAAGACGACAAAGGAGACCTCGTGGGATAAGCCTGCGCCGAAGCCTGCTCTTGCACCTGCGCTCAAGCCAGCTCCGCTGGGAGGCCTGCCTCCCAATTGGGAAGAGCACAAAGACCCCTCCACCGGGAAGATTTTCTATTACAACAAGGTCACCAAGGAGACTTGCTGGGACAAGCCCAAGGGTGCTTCCGCGTCGGCGGCTCCAGCAGGTCTTCCACCAAATTGGGAAGAGCACAAGGACCCCTCCACCGGTAAGGTGTTTTACTACAACAAGATCACGAAGGAGACCTCTTGGGACAAACCGAAGGGTGCAGCGGCACCAGCAGCTCCCGCAGCACCTGGAGTTGGAGGTTTGCCGCCTGAGTGGGAGGAGCACAAAGATCCAAGTAGTGGGAAGACGTTTTACTACAACAAGACGACAAAGGAGACCTCGTGGGATAAGCCCGCGCCGAAGCCTGCTCTTGCACCTGCTCTCAAGCCATCTCCGCTGGGAGGCCTGCCTCCCAACTGGGAGGAGCACAAAGACCCATCCACTGGGAAGATTTTCTATTACAACAAGGTGACGAAGGAGACTTCCTGGGACAAGCCCAAGGGTGCTTCCGCGTCGGCGGCTCCAGCAGGTCTTCCACCAAATTGGGAAGAGCACAAGGACCCCTCCACCGGTAAGGTGTTTTACTACAATAAGGTCACGAAGGAGACCTCTTGGGACAAACCGAAAGGTGCAGCATCGCCGGCAGCGCCAAGCCCGCTGGGAGGTTTACCGCCCGAGTGGGAGGAGCACAAAGATCCGGGCAGTGGGAAGACGTTTTACTACAACAAAGTGACAAAGGAGCCCCGGGGATTTCGCTAGGATGCAGTCCTTGAGAGGCTGTCATTGTCATAATCTCTCAACGCCTCTTTGGATGCAGTCCTGCCTAGCGCATTGTTCGAGGAGACGTCTTGGGAGAAGCCTGCGGGAGCAGCAGCTGAGCTGGCAGTTAAAGCCGAAGTTCAGGTAGGGAGCGTCTGCAGAGTCCAAGCTGTTCCGAGGCAGCCGGAGGCTTACCTCCGCATCTTGTCTGCAAGCGATCCTCGCGAAGTGACGTAGAAGGGCGGCAGCTATTTTCGGTTCGTGCTTCGAGTATTTATAGTCACGCCGTCCCGTCGCTGAAGGAACTGGGAAGAGCACAGCGATCCATCATCGGGGCTGCTTGGCAGAGACAAGCTGATGTACACCAAAGACAGTGCGAAGGATCTAGCCTTGAATGGTCTCGACGCACTGAGGAAGAGCTTCTACTACAACACAATCACAAAGGAGACACGTTGCTCGGCCGGAGGAATGTCTGTCAGATTTCACCTCTTGCCAGAAGATGCTGACGGATGGGCATCATGAGACCAACAATCAACTGCAGTGAGAAATGCCCCTAGCCTATGTACTTCAAGGATGCACGTGCTTAGTGTCAAGCCGCCCAAACTTTCATCAGTCCCACTGCCTCTATCGGTGTCTATCGAACCCTGGTAGGTAAGGCAGCCAGGGTACAGATCCTGCTATGAGCGGCGCCCTAGGACCCTGGAAGTCCTCGGTCCTAAGCCTTTTCTCGAAGTCCTACTAGGACCTGCACCCGAGTCCTGGCACCTCAGGCTGGGACAAACCATGATTCCTCGTTGCTTTGGAAGGACGGCCTTGCTCAATTATGCCACCATGCTGTACGTTGAATGACCATTCTGTTCTGTTCTGCGTTGCTGCAAGATCCGCGTGGCGAAGGTACGATTTCAATCAAGCATGCTAATGAGTCAAACTGAGGTTGTCAGAAAAATGAGCCTGCCACGAGCTATAGCAGTAAAGCCATTCACAGCAAGACTAGCACCGCCTGGGAAATTGCAGATCACGCATGATCGGGAAACATATGCTGGTGTTAGGTAACATGTGCCAGCATCTGTTGTTATGTATTTACTGGCAGGTAGAGAGATCGACACATCGGCAGATAGAACGAAACACAGCGAGAAAGACAGAGCGAACGAACGAAAGACAGAAACACGAGAGAAAGGTCGAACAGAAAAGAAAGACAGAACGAACGAACGAAAGGACGAAGTAAAGAAAGACACAAACTATAGAAAGAAAGAAAGAAATAACGAACGAGCGTTCGAGCGACAGACCGAACGAAAGCAAGAATACAAGAACGACGCCAGATAGAGGCAGATAGTGAGATAGGCATTAGATAAGATACATAGACATGCAGGTGGATAGATAGCTAGACAGCGAGGCAGGCAGGCAGGCAGGTAGGTAGGTAGGGGTAGGTAGGTAGATAGGTAGAAAGACATAGACAACTAGATCGATAGATCGTGATGGATAGATGGACAGATGATAGATCGATAGATAGTCACGAATATACACATGGATGGAGCATCGGCTCTGGCACTGCGAGGGCGTACTCATATGCGCTAAGTGAATAGATGAAGTTGGAGTTGTTCGTCGAAGTGCCCTAAACCCTAAACCTTAAACCCTATACCCTAAACCCAAAACCCTATACCCTAAACCCTAAACCTTGAACCCTAAACCCTAAACCCTAAACCGTTGATGCCAGGGCAAAGCACGATCACCAAGGCCAGCCTTTCGTGTCGCATGCAAGCAGATTTGCGCGGCGTGCATTCGGGAGTTTCCGAAAATGTGGGGGTACCTGAAAAGGGTTACTGGAAGGGTACTATGAGGGATCTATATGGGCTTATAGGGTTTAGGGGTACCTTCTTTTGGGGGTCCTTTTCAGAAGGATCCTACTATTTAGGGTACTATATTAGGGTTCCCTATGTTCGGAAATTCCCATGTTGGGTACACCTGTGGACTAGCCAGTCTGGATCTCGGAAACAGCAGCTCCATCCTTGCAGAGGCTAATGCGAATGTTTGAGGATGACCTGCTGATGCGGGCGTGTGGGATGTTTCAAAGGACAGGCTAGGGGTCATGATGCCTGACTTCCTCTCTTTGAGAATTCACCCTTGCAAACTGATCGAGCTGCATCCAGCTCAGTGCATGGTCTGCAGCTAGTGTGACAGTTCCGTACCCCTCCCGGCCGTCGGCACGTGCATCCTCAAGAGTTCACAAAGCGAAGATCTTTCGTATCTGGAGGACCTCCTGCGCTGTGCAGACGTGATGCAGCTCACCCATCCTCAGTTGCAAAAAGAGCCCACGCGCATGGATTCGTCAAGCCAGTTCAAGAGACTTGCGTAGCACAATCTGGGAGACGTGGCATGGAAGTTACTCCGAGCTGGAAGCTCGCAGCATGCTGAATGCATTGGAGCATCGTGCCACTCCTTACACAAAAGGCTTCAGTCAAGGGATGTCAAGGGTAACGAGGCTTGTAGTATCTTGACTGAATACCGGAACAGTTTGGGGGCATTCTGCTCGGACAAAAAGATAATATCATGGCCACCACACCACTAATCGCGCTGTGTCCTCATCCACTCATGCAATTCGCAACTCCATCGGACGTCGGACATGTAAGACATTGCGGTGATGCAAACAGCAGGTCAGACATATTCATGTTACCTTTCATGGCTGCCTGAGCGCGCCAGACCATGCCATGCGGGGTTCAGCTGTGTCGCCGGCGCAGTGGGAGGAGCACGTGGATCCAAGTTCTGGGAAGAAGTTTTTCTTCAACCCGGCCACCCAAGAGACGAGCTGGACAAGGCCTAATTCCCGTGCAGCAGGCTACCCGTCGTGTGATCCTGCAAGGAAATCTGACGGCTGGACGGAGCACAGAGACCCAGCAAGCGGAAAGATGTTTTATTTCAACACTGACACCAAGGAGACAAGTTGGCAGAAGCCCAGTGCAGCATCAAGTTCGGATCCTTGGACGGAGCACGTCGATCCTGATTCTGGCCGCAAATTCTATTACAACAGCACAACGAAAGAGTCGGCGTGGATGAAACCAGTCAGTTTGGCTGATCGGAGCGTCGGATACCAAAAAGGTCCTCATGTGGCAAAGAGCAAGCCGCTGGCTCCGGGTGCCCCGGGTGCCCCAACAGCACCACCGCCTCCTCCAGCTTCACCGACAAGGCCCCCCATACCAGCGCCAGGGAGAAAAGCCCCCAGCCCTGGGCCTCCTGGCCCTGGCCCTGGGACTCCGCCTCAGTGGGAGGAGCACGTGGACAGCTCTGGCCGGCGGTTTTTCTATAACCCCGTTACCCAGGAGAGCTGCTGGAGCAAGCCCGGCTCAGCCTCTTCGGCTGTGCCCCGTCCGCCGGCTTCTCCCGTTCCTCCTCCTCCGAAGAGGTCCGATGGTTGGACGGAGTACAGAGACCCAGCTAGTGGCAAGCTTTTCTATTTCAACGCAGAGACGAAGGAGACAAGCTGGCAGAAGCCTGGTGACACAAAGGAGTGGACCGAGCACGTAGATGAATCTGGCCGAACCTTCTACTACAATTCGCAAACCAAGGAGTCCTCCTGGTCAAAGCCCATCGCCAAAGATGACTGGGAAGAGCATGCGGATCAAGCCACAGGACGAACGTTTTTCTACAACCGGCAAACTGGCCAGAGCTCCTGGGAGAGACCCAGAGCTGATCACAGCGACCCTGGGGAGAGCCTGCAGCTCATGTGCTTCGATTTCGACTGCACGATTGCTGCCATCCACGTGTTCGAGGCCGGGTTTCTTGGGGCCAACAGTGATTGGAAAGACGCATAGTTGCCACACCGAAAACACGGTCAGAGGTGCATGAAAGAAGCGAACTCGATTTTGAGAGTTTGACCGCTACTGCGGTTCCTGATTGAAAGGGATGGGGTGGTTCAGCGTGCCGAATGCTGTCTCGGTGGGGTCGGCGGGTCGTTGGATGACGCTTCTCCGGTATATTCCTGCGCAAGGTTCCACGTTCTAAGCCCTAGATGCGCCCGCCCCAAACCCTCAACGCCAATACGGTAGGCCCTTAACCCCGAACCCCTAAACACGAAACCCCGTCTGGGGTTCGTGATCAGGAGCTCTGTCGGCGAGGGGGCATCGACGGCCCTTCGCAGAAGGCAAAGCTGGAGATCCAGTGCCGGGAAGAACCGGAGTTTCCATCGAGGACACGGGGGGAGTCGGGGTGGGCCTCTAGTGCAAAAGCTGATGATCACAGTAATACTATTTACTAGCAACAATAATAGCAATGCTAAAGACAAAATGCTAACAAGAGCAACACTATTAATGCTGGTGGTGATACAGTAATAGTAATAGTAACAGCAATCGTAAAAGTAATAGCAAGACTCGCAAAACTGGGGGCACGAGAGCGCCAGGATCTAGCTTGCCTTGGGTGTCCAGGATCTACGGCGGGCCTGGAAGGTTGCAGGAGTTGAGGAACTTCTTCCAGAGCCTGTTGCAGCTTGTCGGTGAAGCGTTGCACACCACTGATTTCACTACTTGAACCCTAAACCCTAAACCCTACAATCTAAATTGATGGGTTCACTTATTTCACGTCCTGCTGAGGCAGACCCCAAGGCGGAAGGTCATCGTGATCACCACGGGCTTTGGGAACGTGGTCGATGCAGCTCTAGCCAAGGGTGGACTGCGGAAGTTCTTCGCAGAGGCCGGCTCTCCGGTAGAGGCGTTGAGTGAGCCGAGTCACCGGGGATTTGGAGCCTGTTCGTGTCGCAAAGGTCATCGGCAGAGAGCATCCATTGTCGGAGGCGAAGCAGGGCAGAAAGGTGCGAGTTCCAGATCATGGGGGTCGTTTGGCCGTGCTCGTAGCTGACTGGCTGTGAGAGCCCAGCAAGGACCGCATCATAGAAGAACTCCGGCGCAGGGATGGTCTCTCTGCATGGCAGGCCCCCCTTGGTTTCAAAAGCAGTTCCAGTTGCGTTGCGCCGCGGTCCGGCTTGCTGGTGTTCTCGTATCTGCTGCTAGCAGGTTCTATTCGTCGATGATGATCCGGGCAACGCACCTTTCTGAGATGCGGTGTTTACCGTCCAGCCATGCGCGTGGCCCGTGGCGGCACATACCTTTCAGGTCCTCCCTGCAGCTGAGCAGCGCCTTTGCCGCACGGCTTGGGTTCCGTGGCTTGGCATGGAGAGGCTTTCTGCAGAGTGAGGGCCAGGATGGTGGGATGATGCAGCAGTGAGTCAGTGAAGTGCGAGCCTTTTGCAAGCTGAGGAGACCTGTGGGTGGTATGGACAGCATGATGCTAAGGCACAGCTGTCAGTTCAGCAGACTTTCTTTGTCTTCGCCGGCGCATTCAGCTTCAGGAAGAAGTATAATTTAGAGAAAAGACGTGAGTAGGACAAAAGGAGAAAGATATGCCGTGATTTTTAAGTTGACCAGAGAGGCCTTGCCACAATGCCTGAACCTCACACCATGCAACTCAGCACTCTGCTCTTTGAGGCTCATCCGGGAAGCAGCGGACGATGAAACGGGAAAGCGCAGCCGTGGCATGTTCCGCGAGGTGGGGGCCGCGGGCCATCGTATTAAATTCATTTCTAATTACTGTTACCCTTACCATTACCATTATCATCATAACTATTACTACTGGTAATTATTGTTACCCTTACTATAACAAATTATCAGGCTATCATCATCATGCCTACCATTATCATCCCTGCTAGCAAAACTACCATGAAATCATCATGGCGATGGGCTTACTAAGTAGGATAACTATAGTTATAAGCCATAACGAGAGACTTATAACCCCTCTTATAACTACCCATAAACCTCCAAGTATGGGCTCATCGCGGCTGGGAGGACCTCTCCCTCGCTGCCGGAGCGCCCTCGGCCGCAGCCTCCGCCCGGAGCCTGCGCCAGGCGAGCGAGGGTCCTCTTTCCGGGAGCTGCTGAGGGTAACCCTGAAACCTAACCTTAAAAACCCTAAACCCCTGAACCCTAAACCAAAGCCCTACACCGCCCTGGGAGCCTCCAGGCGGTGGAGGCCGTGAAGCGGGCGGCCATGCGCCGATGAGACCAGAGTGGAAGTTTCCGAAAGTTTGGGGGTACCTTATTTTGGGTTCCTTTAAAGGGTTACTTTAAGGGTACTATAGGGGATCTATAAACGCTTATAGGGTTTAGGGGCACCTCATTTTGGGTTCCTTTAAAGGGTTACTATAAGGGTACTATAGGGGATCTATAAACGCTTATAGGGTTTAGGGGTACCTATGTTGGGGTCCTCTTCATAAGGGATCCTACGATTTAGGGTGGTATATTAGGGTCCCTTATTTTCGGAAACTCCCAAGTCAAGTGAGCCCTTGAAGAAAGAGGGCGCCGGAGGCTGTGGCGGCTTGCAGTGCGAAGCGCCGAGCTTTGTGGTTCATGGTTTCCGAGCTCAACAAAGGAGTGAGCCATGCAGACCGATATTTACCAAAACTGCTTGAGGCTTAGAGCCCAAGGCGCCCAAAATCAAAAATCTCGAGGGGGACGAAGAGGACGAGAGGCCAGTTTCTCACACTTGTACATCCTTGCCAGGACACTCGTCAAAGACTCTCTCACCTGCCGGTGCCCTAGTTCCAGCGCGCTCACCATGAACCTGCCACTGAAGGGATACCTGAAGTGAGATAAGTGTAGGTCGCGGTACAGCTGCAGCTGGATAACGATTGTCGCCAGGGCTGGGAGAGCTGGCCGTCGTGCTGGGCACGCCTGGAACAAGCGCTGATCCGGGCATCCTGTCGTCCCAGTTGTCAAAGGCAGCTGGAGTCATGTGCAGCTGAAAGAGGCTGCGCCGTCGACCCCGCAAACCTTTCACCAGCCGTCGAAAATCAGTCGCAGGAAGGCAGCAGATTGCATCGCCCTCGATTGAAATTGGCGTTTGAGCGGAGCCGTCTGGGCACATTTCATGTGATCTGAAGATTCCGAGGTGTTGAATGCCTTACCCTTCCAAAAAAAGCACAGCGCACCCCATCGCAGCTGTGATCAAAGCCTCCCGCGCCTCCTGCCCTAAAGTAGTTCCTTTTTGGGGTTTAGGGTTTAGGGATCTATCATATAAGGGTTCAGGGTTTAGGGTTTAGGGTTTAGGGATCTATCATATAAGGGTTCTATAAGGGGCCCTGCTTCACCAACTCACGAGTTGATGGCCCCTCTCGCCCGCGCAGGTGCCGGAGGACGAAGAGATCGAGGAATCGATGCCGCCGATGGCTTGGAAGCCCAAGGCCGACTTTCAAATAAGCTCATATTAATATTATATTATCAATATTATTATGAATATTGAAGTTATTATTAATATTAATATTAATAGTAATATTAATACTAATATTAATATTAATACTATTTCTTAGGGAAAGAGCTTCCGTGGGGAAGAAGCAGGTAGTTGGGCTCGGCCTCCAATGGAGAAAACTGCATGATGTTTACGACGCAAGGGGTAAGGCTCTCCGATTCCACGGAATACTGGGAGCCGCGGGGAAACTCTGGCAGGTCTCCGTTTCACTGGAGCAGTCTGGTGGGCGCCAGCTCACAGAGCCCTGGCTTACAGACAGTTTGCGATCATTGGAGTCTGCAAGCGTTGGTTCGTTTGAGTGCTTAACGGTATCTCCTGTCACTTTGGCAGTGCCTGCGCGGCAGTTCCTTGCGGAGTCGTTGATCTGCCGTTCGACTGCTCCATTGGGTGGCGCATGTTGCGCTTGGTACCGGCTGGAAACAGGGATGATGTGAACTTGTAAGGAAGACATCGACGCCATCATCTCGGATGTGGTCTGGAACTAAGAAACCATCGTCTTACTCGTTCCTCCTTCAGTTGAGTGAAAAGGAGAAGCATCAACCCCGCTGTAAGACAAACCCGACAACCGCTGTTGCGAACGATGCTGTCGTGTAGCTTGAGGTGAACCAAGCGATCGTGAAGAAAGCGATACAAGGAGCAGTGGGGAGCCTTTGTGGGGAACGCACCAGCATGGTAGCTTGAGGTCTGGAAGATCTACGGCAACAGCCTCTAACAGTTTGGTGTGTATTTGCTGGATCATCTCAGGTCTCGTCATGCAAATTCTGCGTGACTATTGCAGACCCGCGTGGCTGTGGCCTCAGCCAGGTCTGGCTTCTCCAAAGTATTCAGCTCTCGGCTCAGGCAAAGACTTCCCCCTCATTGCCGTCTCAGAAGCCTTCGAAAACATGACTGGCTTCAAGAGGACCTTTGCATCCGCTTTGGGAGATTTTCATCTGGCTCTTGCTTGTAAGTGTCCCCCGAGCCCCGAGGAGTGAGATACTTGGGGCCAACTGCCGCTTCCTGAATCAGGGGTGTCGGGGCCTCAACGTCTGTCCAAACCGCGCTTGTGATCTGATCTTTGGGAGGCTTTCTTAAGCCTGTCCTGCAGGCCCCATCTCGCCGTCGGATCTGGTTGGTCTCAGACTCGCCAGGCCGAGATTGGCCATGCTGCATGCGCACATCTTGGTTTCTCAAGACGTGGCAAATCTGTGCCCATCCGACCAGTGAACGTGGCTGTGCCTTTACGGCCCTTCTCCCGAATCGCAAGAAGTCGGGAGAGATGTCGTGAGCTCATCACGGGGCCCTTTCTGAAGATTGCATGGCTCTTCAGAGACATGACTTTCGTTGCCTTGACTTGCATCGACGACGTGAGGTTCATAAATCTTCTGGACTTGCGGGGCCTGACTATTGCGACTGATGTGGAAACCAATGAGGAGCTCAGCTTCCAGGGTGACAGAAGCTGACAAAAGTCCATTCTGGTAGCCATTGAATCTGCTACTTTTCAGGGTGCTCCTTCTGTCTGCACTGCCAGGAGCTTTGGTATCTCATAGGGATCCAAGCTGACATCACTGGACTCGGGGATCGCAACGTCCCAGAGGCCGGCTTCTGGAATCGTCTCACGTGGCAGATTCGGTTTGAGAGAAGAGGAAGCCTGTAATATAGGGGCTTAAGTAGGTAGTCCAAAGTCTGCATTGTGTGCTATGAGGACCACATGGCTGAGCTCCAAGAGGCGGTGATGATGTTTTACTCAACCGTACTGTCCGGGTGTGTGTATCATCTTGAAAACACGCGCGTTTCTGTTTTGCCAGATTTCTTCGATGATCCGGAAGAAGCTGGTCAAGGCCAGAAACTGCTTGTCCTGTCCTGGACTGGAGGCATCGGTTAGCTCTGTATGGGAGTTTGCAAAAAATTAGGGATACCTTAATTTTGGGGTCCTTATTACAAGGGATCCTACTATTAAGGGTACTAAATTGGGGTCATTAAGGGTCCCCCCCATTTTCGGAAGCTCCCCGATATACTCCGGCCAGGAGATCTCCCTTCTGGCCGCCGAAGCGACGGTCGGCCCAGACCAGCCGGACCGCCAGGCCAGGGAAGCAAGCCTGGCAGAAGTCCATACTATTCTGGAAAAGGCCAAAAACCCAAATTTGGGGGCTTGGAGGAGGTTTGGAAAAGGACAAAAATCCAAATTTGGTCTTGGGGGTTCCTTACTTGGAGGTTCAGGGGCAGTTATAAGTAGGGTTATAAGTCCCCTAATATGGGTTATAAGTATAGTTACCCTACTCATAACCTTACTTATAACTGCCCATGAACCTCCAAGTATTATGATGATAGTATAATGGGAAGCCGCGATTTAGGGGTTTAGGGTTTAGGGTTTCGGGGACTTTTGGGCCCGTTCTACGATACGTAGAAGATGGTAATTATTTAGGCCCCTATTATGGCCCCTAGGCCCTATGGTCAGAGCTCAGGACTTCGCACCATGCCAATGCAACGCTTGATACTCGCTCGTAGTTGCGCGAAACATACGGAAATCAAAGCGTCTGGTAGCGTTCCTTGCCTGGACCTGTTTCCTGCTGCCTGTCAGACGACGCTGTGCAGCACCGTCTCAGATCCGCAGAAGCTCACCAGATCCTTCAAGCTCTTGCAGGCAGGGTTTTGGATTGCACATACATGCGGTTTCTCCATACCCTCTGCCCGTGCATCATCCTGCACCTCATCTCGGACGTGTGCAGGAGCCCGCCTGGCGAAAGGGATCGCTGAGTAAGCAGGCCGGCCACATGAAAACCCAGCCGGGCGAATGTACTGCTCGTGGTGTGGGGAGGCTGTGCTCGAGATGGCTTCGAAGCTTGAAAATCAAGCTGCCCAAGCTGCAAAAAGTGAGAGTGTGCGAAAATTGAGGGGGTACATTATTCTGGGGTCCTTATAATCAGGGATCCTGCTATTTAGGGTACAATATTAGGGTTCCCTATTTCCGGAAACCCTCAAGTATGGGCTTTGAGGGCCCTGCAGCATCTGGAGCCTGTCCCTATTTCCCCTTTGACCCGAGGCTCCCCAGGCGCGGCCCTCCGTCCCGAACGCCGCTCTCGCGAAATGGTCGATGTTCTCCGGAGGCCGGACAGCGTTTGCCCGTTTCACTTGTGCCTTTGAAATTTGCGGTCCCGAGTTTTGAAGTTTGCATTTGGCCGCATCGAGCTTGGACCAGATGGTTCCAAGGTGGACTTCACGTCTCCGTGTTGCTTCTGAGTGTCGCCTCCTTCCTGGCTGGCCTCCTGCCGGCGCCTGAGGACTCAAGCCTTCGAGCCCAATTTCCCACAACTTCTTTGTGAAATTGCGACACCCCTAACTGTTTCCTAATTCTGCCGCCGCTGCTGAGGCTCGGACGAGGCTCCAGGCGAGGCACCTGAGGTCTGGCCAGCCAGGGCTTCTTAAAGTCTGGTGGTGTCCTGGTAGGGTGCTTGCCCTGCCTGAACTTTGCTTGGGGCCAGGATGCCACCGTGTTCACAGCTGTTTTCACCTTCACTGTCTGTGCGAGCTTCGATCTCAGCGGGAGAGTTAGCCGAGAGTTAGCTCGCGAAGGGACTCAGCTTGTGCGGCGGTGTTTTGTCTCAGGTGCCTGGCTGCAACACCTTCCTGCACAAATAGTGAAGCTTCGACAGCTTTTTGCTAGAAGTCCAACCGCAGACTAGGCGTGAAATTTCGCATGATCAGGCAGGACTATCAGTGTCAGAAGCGAGTCTTTGAAAAAGCTGTCCGAAGTCGGAACACTGTTGCAAAAGTCACATGCGAGACCAAGAAGGTCGAATTTTCCTCGTGCAGCGAGCCGTGGCTGCCGGCTGCTGCCTGTCGTGGAGTGCTCCAAAGCAGTCTGCTTCGGCTTTTCTTTTAAGCCGCAATTGTCATCAGTCTTCCGCCCTCCTGACCAGCTGCCTTCCTTGCATGAGTCCGTAAAAGCTACCATTGGGTATCTGGTCTCAGAGCGCTGGCTCTCATCTCGTCGGATGTGAGAGAGTTTGCACGAGCAGATTTCTGCAGGAAAGGCCCTTTAAGGCCTAATGCTTGCGAAACGCTGGCCTACACTGCCTGTCCAGATCTTGATGAAGTCCGAGTCGAGGGTTCAGCAAGAGCTGACTTGTTGATGCGGCGTCTTCTACTGATCTGGTCAGGTTGAAGCCGCTCTGCTGATCACAGCTCCTCTTCTGGCCTCCAAGCAACATAAGTCAGATCTGCTGAGACCTCTTTACCTCAACAACCTAAATGGCCTGCTCTTTATGCGTGACGGCCGCAGCGGGTGCCGAGGGGACATGGCACGCGCCGACAATCTCGCCTGGCATCCTGTCGCAGTTGTTTCAAGCGATTTTCAGAGCAAGTTGACCCTCACGTTCTCTGGCCTGCGGGCTTCGCTCCTTCCAGATACCGGCATGAGAGCTACACCCAATTCCCACCAGAACCTCCCCTACCGGGACTTGAGAAGCAATTGCCAGCGAAGGGAGGATCGGAGCCGGCGGGCGGCAGAGAGGGCCAGAACTTCCCTGTTTCGGGGTCTTCGGGATGAGCAAAGAGTCAGCAGATCGGGCTCGCATGTTGGGACTAGTGCCAGGGGCATACGTTGAGGAGGCCGGCCGACTCGAAAACGGCCGAGTTCATGACCGCAGCTTAGTGGAGTTTTTCGCCCCATCGGGCCGTGGGCCGAGGCCGTCTGACACGCAAACGGGATTCGAAGCTCCAGTTTCGAGGGGCTGGAGCGTCCATTCCCACGTCGGGGATGACACCAACATGCAGACTTCTACTTCGACGTAAAACGGTACAACATGCTTTCCCGAGGGAAGGTAGAATCCCTTGACTTCGCTGTGAAGCCCGGCATGCTCCAGTGCCTCGCATGAAAAAATCCAAAGCCTCTGTCCGCGCAGCACTGCGACGGTTGGTGGCATCACGATGATGTGCCTGCACGTCAGTCCTCCGCTGTACTACCGCTACTTCTGCGGCTTTCGCTGCAGCTACGGGTGTCGTTGTAGTTACATGTCATGGGCGTAGTGTGCGCAGGGGTTGTGACGTCAGTTGCAAGCAGACAGGTCAGATCTCCACTTGCAGCCCTGTACTCATGCTATCGATACTAGAATACACTAAAAAATATGCAAGAGCATAATGTAATATACTATAGTCTATTTCATTGGACTGTTTGCCTCATACTTGCCTGTGGGGAGCGCCATGGAGCATGTTTGCAGGTTTGGTTGCACAGGTGCCGAAGACAGTTCTGTTTAGCAAGCTGGACAGCCGGCTCAGTGCCGGTTTGAAGTAGCCACAGAGCCTTCCCAAGATTCTTTCAAGACTCCAGTTGCAGCTGCAGGCATTCCTCTTACCAGACTTGTCGGGATATACTGTGCTGTAGTGCAGTACATTATAATGTATTGTAGTAATCAAGCGGCAGGTCATTCGACTTTCCTGGCAGCAGACAAATCTCAGCTGCTATGAGGTCAAGGCCTGCTTTTTTCTGGAGCCAGAGTCGCCACATATAATACAGTGTACGAATAATACAGCATAACCTGCCATAATGTACTATACTGTAATATACTATAATACACTTCAATATGATATACTGCAATGTACTATACTATCCAATCGCACTCGCGACATCCCGGGTCTTCTCGAATTTGTCTAGAACTGCATCGACTTGCCAATCGCTGATTGGCTTCTTCTATTGCTGCCTGGGGAGTGCTCACCCAGGCGTCTCTCCAGCGCAACTTCGAGGATGCGCTCGTTCGTGTTGAGGCGCTGGTGTTCGATGCGCGGTGATCCAGAAAGTAGCTTTCATCAGTTGCAGCTGGGCGTACTTTCAAGGGTTCGATATGTGGCAATGGTTGCGATGTGCATCAGCTGAGTTGCCTTCAGCGCGAAGTGCCAACTGGCCTGCATGTTCGATATTCCAGATTGCACTGCACCTGCGTACAGCACAGGGTGGATTGGAAGTCGGAAGCCGTCTGCACCTCGTTGTGGCTCTGCAGGAGCTGGAGCGGGACTTTCAGTCGTTGGCGTGGCAAAGTTTCATCGATGCGTGGAGGCCCAGAATTTTCTCGACTTCGCTCTAGTCGCCTGTTGTGGCATACTTTTCCTGGTCTAGCTGGGTTCGCCATGTGAGTGCCATGACATGACACGAACTTGCAAAAACCTGCAGGAAGCATCAGTGAACGACTCTGCAGCGCATAAGAGAGGATGTTAGTTTGCCAAGTGCCAGTGTGCCCAGGCGACATCTGATCAGGCCAGGGAGAGAGATGTGGGTCGTTCTGCCTGACATCAAAGACCGAAGTAGCACAGCCCATAGCATCAGAGCATTTTTGAACAACACTGTCATGTGGGAGTTTCCGAAGATTAGGTACCTGATGTTGGGGTCCCTATAATAAGGATCCCACTATTTAGGGTGCTACATTAGGGTCCCCAATTTTCGGAAACTCCCATGTCGGAATCAGGAGCCCCCTCGCACCTGGTCCTGGTGGCAGCTGGTGGCTCCACTGCTGCCAGTGGCAGCTACGGCCTTCAATCTGCAGGCAGATCTTCGTTCTCTGAAGTTGCGGTGGATAAGCTCCATGGTCTGGGTATGGTGGCTGCTTTGTCTCCCAACTGGACCCGAAAAGAAGGCACCACTCAAGCAAACAACAAAAACAAGGTAGCCTTTGCAGCCTTGCTTCCTGTGGAAGAGGCCGCACTGTGCGCGCGCCAGAAGGGCTGCTGCAATGACTTGCTCCTTGGCGAGGCCGAGCGCTTTCTCAGGCATTTCGAGAAGAGCCTACCCGTCTAAGCCCAAAACTGGCAGGCCATGCTGACCTTCCGCCGTGCCCAGGACCTTGCAGACTTAAAGAAGAATTTCAGGACCAGAATGCTTCCACAGCGGAGCCACAGGACAAGATGAACACGCTGCTGTGGCTCGGTACCTTCCAAGGCCATGCGCTTTTTACACATCGGAAGGCTTACAATCACCCAGACTCGCCTTTACTTACCTTTGGTTAGTAGGGAATGGAAGGAATGGGGTACAAGTATAACTACTGTTACTACCATTCTTCCATTCCCTACTAACCAACGGTAAGCTTAGCTTCCGGGGCCGCTTTGAGGCAGCTTCGCTCTGGCCCCGCACACCGTTGAAGGCCGATACCTACAAGGACCTCCCAGTGACGGTGAAGCATCTTCACGGGTAAGAATGTGACTTTGCTGTAGGGCTTTGTGACTTTTGGGAGAAGCATACTGAACGAAGTCGAGTTCTGAAGCACAAGGTTGACTCTCAAGGTTGTTGTGTTCTGCTTGGTGTCTGGCTTGGGGGTGCCTTTGATGCACCCTGTGTTCACCTAACCTGTGCAACCGGAGGAGAGGCATGGAACGAAGAGCTCGACAGGTCTTGGATGGAGGCGTCCGAATGTTATCGGAGGTTGCATGCAGGCAGGAACATAGTGCAGTTTCGATTCGTGGGGTCATTCTGCGTAGTTACAAGATGGCACAGGGGAGGATTGGAGCTTTCTCGGTCCCTGAACGCCGTACTCTCTCTGGCCGGCCAGATGTCTCCAGTGGAGCAGGATAGACAGCAGGTTCTCTATGCGCGTGGCCCCCAGATGGCTGTCTTGAATCATCCTTGCCAAGGAGGTCGCAGTTGTCTGGTCTTGACCTCATTAACTGAACATAACATCATTACTGAACATAACATTGCCAGTGTCTTTGACTCTTGTCGCTGCAAGGCCATATGTGGCAGTCTTCAGTGGCCCCTGCAGAGTAGGTCGAAGTTCTCTGCTCTCGTCCTTGCTGACTGAATGCTGCTGTGACAGGAACCCTCATACCAACCCCTTCCCTGCCCTGCCCTCCCTACCCAACCCTACCTGCACCCCCCTCCCTACACCCACCCCCTACCCCTGGCTCCCGGGTGGGGGCTTAATTTTAGTCCGCTTCGGCCGGGGCCGAGGCGAATTTGAGTGAGACGGGGATGCTGCTTGCTCTGCGCTGTTTCAGCTGCGGCTTTATCGGTGAAGGTCTGTGAATTCGTGTGCCGGTAGTGATGCTGTTGTACGGCTGCTGCTGGCTGGCTGTGATGCTGGTGGTGGTGCTGTTGCTGCTGCTCTACGACTCTACGGCGACTGCGGCTACGGCCATGCCTTTTGAAGTTTGTTACCCCGTGCGAAGTCAATGCGAGCGGCCCGAAACCAAGACAACCGATGTGCAGTACTTGCATGTTTCAAACGCAGCGAGAAGTATCCGCAGACAATTGTTAATTGAAGCTCGTTTGCGTTTTCAAGCTGCGGGCCTGACTGGGCTTCCAGTGGTCCCAATGTCCGAGGTTTCGGTTTGGTGAGCGGCTGTTCGACCTCTTCGGGCAAGCGCTCCACCAAGCATCTCCGGCCGGCTTGCCAGACCCGGTCCCATGGCTTTTTCGAGCCCGAATGATCGCTCGATAGCTCAAGCCAGGCACTCACAGGTCTCTGGCTGGCAGACACTCGGGAACCTACCGGCCGGTATCCGGCGCCGGGATGCCTGGCTTCGACGTGTCTGCGTCATGCCGTTTCTAGACTCGGAAATGCGGCGACACAAGGTCGATAGTTACCTTGTACGAGCTCGCGAACATTCGGACCGTAGATGCCGGTTTGATGAGGCAGGAGAGTCGTCCCGCAGGGCAGAGCTTTGCATGACAGCGGCTGCCTTTCCTGCTCCAAGGTGGCTTGCAGATGGCATCTTTCGCAACAAGTCAATCGTCGAGTTTTGGCCTAAGCGTTTGATCGCATGACTGTGCAGCACTGCGACAGTGCTGTGCCTCCTGACATGCTAAGCATGCTTTGAGCTTCTTTGAGGTTCGGGGCGCTCAATGGTGCTAGCTCCGAGTGGCTCAACCGCTCTGGGGCAACGAAGGGGGCTTTGGCCTTTGACGGCGCCAGGGGCCTCAGGTGAATCACGAAAGTTTTGGCATGAACTTCCCCCACACACCTCTGAGGCACCTCGTGTGTCTGAGCTGACGGAAGGACGAGTGGCAGAGCAGGAGATTTCATAGGAATTCCAAAAACTTCGGTCGACAAAGCTCTGCCCAAAGGACCTCACGAAACCTTTCCACCTGCTGCGGAGCTTCGACTGGGTCCTGTGCCTAGAGGTTGCCGAGCACATCCCGCAGGCGGGAGGCAACTGTAGCCCAAGCGAGCACGGCTGAATTGGCCTTGGAAGCGCTGGCAGGCCAAATTGCCCGTCTTCCTTACCAACCTGCGTCGGCATCTAAGCCAGGCATTGGAGCACCGGAAAGCCAGAATGGGCACTGCAAGAGAAGCGTCTCCGTTTTGTTGTGGAAGCATGCTGACATATGACACCTCTCTAGGCGGCCTGAAGTCTGAGACTTGCAAAAATTGTGCGCCGGGGCTCGAGGTGCAGCAGATACGCTTTGCACCTTCACGTAGAGAGATCTTGCACTCGTTCCCAACTTCCCAGCTTCCATGTCGTCCTTTGTCCCGCAGAAGCCTCTGACCCCGCCTCCTTGTAAAAGACCGGCTCGCAGGCACGTGGTGATGACACCGGCTTCAGCGGCCTTGCCACAACAGGAGCAGGGCAGAAAACGCTCCAAATCGAGTCCATCTGTTCTCGAGTCCACAAGCCCATCGAGTAGCATGCGCAGCACATCCCCTGCACCGCCCATACCAGCGGATTTTCGGGAGCACGGGGTATGCTTTCAAGAGCGCCCCGAGATTATTCTGTTTCTCAGCGATCCGAACGAGGGCAGGGCCGCGAGTCTTCCGCCCATCCGGCCACTTGCTCCGATCGCCGAGGAGGAGAACGATCTGCCTGTCGGTCTCAATGGGAGCATATCGATACCGTATGTGGGTGGCACTCCTCTGCCACCCGGGAGGCCAAGGCCAATGCCAAATCTTCATGATTCGTCCGAGGGAGGTCTGTCGGCACTAAGTGCAGGCAGACGAGCCACCACCTTCCAGAACCTCTTCCATGCAAATCCACAGTGGTGAGGAGTACGATGGACATGCCTATTGGCAGGGAAGCCAGAACATACACCTCAGATCGGACCAGTTTTCGTGGCACTGGAAGATTGTGCCCACATACTTGTAACTTCAGATGCAGACCGTCAGTCAGGGCCTTCCCCTTTTAATCTGACAGGTCGAGGTCCTATGGACCTTATGTTTCACAGGACTCGAGCAACTGAGTTTAGCAAGCGTAGCCGGCTTATCGGACTACGACTTGCCATGCTGTCGTAATGTAGCTTGACGGCTGCCCTTGCTCAGGGCTTTGTTGATACAGAGTTCAAGTCATACTGGGATAGTTAGAGTCGGCCCCCCGGCCGAGCAAAGGAATGGCTGGCCCTGGGCAGCTGCTAGCTTCTTGAAGCCATCGCCAGAACTGGTGGTGCTGTACCAGGAATGCAGATACGCAGTCCTGTCTCCGCCTCCCTACTCGTCGTTTTCCAACGGACAATCGCAGGTCGAAGCCCCTACGAGATCGCGTATCCGCCGGACAACATGCCGTCACCAACTGCCCTGAAGTTTTGGTACCTATGTGGGGGCGTCGAATCCGCGGCTCCGTGGATTCACTTGCTACTTCACTCCCTGATGTGCGAGTGTCCAGTGACGAAAGGATGCTGCAAGTGCACAAGTCTCCACCATCCTCCACCCCATAGCCCATGCCCCTTCCTTATAGGAGTACCATGAGGGTTCCATACGGCCTTTCATGGGATGCCCTTTTGGCTTCGTCCGGCTCCAGGGCCTGGTTCTGAGCTGGTCCTTCTGCGACGTTGGCGGCGAAGGCCACGTGAGCTGCCGCAGTCCCGAGGTGCCCCTGCGCAGCTGCGCAGCTCAGCTTTGCGATCTTTCGTGGTGGGTGCATCGCTTGACTTGGAGGTTTGTGGGATTTAGGGCAGCTACGAAAACTTTCAGAGGAACGTTAAGGCCCTCGAACTTCTTGAGTTTCTGATGGCCTGGAATGGCAGGAAGTGAGATCCCTCCTGTCTCGGTTCGGTGCCAGCCTGAGCCGTCACTTCCACTTGGAGCTTGGATGGGGTTACGATGGGTTACGGTATCTGTTTCCGAGCCATGGCAGGACCCCTGCCTCCAAAACTCCGCTCTGAGGCTTGGTGGCTGATGCAGAAGCCAGCGCAGCTGCCCAGGCAGCATCTTGCAATTAGTCTGGAGTAATATGACATAAGTGAGGCAAGTATGAGGGTCGAAGATGTGGCAGCAGGTTCAGGTGGAGCGATGTGTGCTGTTTTCTGGAATCGAGGACCACCAGGTCCACTGGACGAGGATGTCGCATTGCCATGCTGCTGTGCAGTGACGTAGAGTCATGTCCTGACTGCGAAAAGCAGGTTGCATATGCACAAACCACAAGCCATAAGATGCTCCAGGCAGCCTCCACAGTCTGGTGGATCTCGCGCACGGTCCAAGCCCGGAGCCTTGCACCCTTGAAGGGCTGGGTCAGCGTCATAAAGCCGCAGACACAGGTGAATGCTGCGAGTGCTGGCGGACACCATCTTTTGTTACTGCACTGCTCCACTGCTCCTGCACGACTCAATGTGGCCATTTACATGAATTTGCTCACCAGCATTGCTGGACAGTCCGGTTCAACCAATGCATCAGCCGCTTGAGGGTACCCAGATTCATTTTACCCTGCTCAGGTTTTTCGTGTGGACGTTTGAGCTGGGCTCTGATTCAGTGAGACTATGTGAGACTGCGAAAGAAAAGCACAATGCGGGAAGCAGGACATAGAGATGTTCGCCTTCTTTGGCCGCCCGGAGTGGAATGCGCATGCATGCTGCAGCCATCCCCAGGGCATCCTGGTCCAGTGTTGCCAAGGACAGCGTCTAACAGCGGCCTCGTTGCCAGCATGAAACCTGGAACTTGTCCAAGTCTAATTGCCTGCATTGTTTGTATGACCTCTGCCGAGAAAAGGCCAGCTTACGCACTCTCTTCATATAATTTGTCTCTGCATCTACCTCTGGAGACACTCCGTAGACCGCAGCCGGAAGGCAGGGCAGGAGAAGCCCAACTATTCAAGTATTCCCCCATGCCCCAGCAGAGTTGATTTGTCGATTCATGGCTTCAACAATGTTGAGCCTCTTCCCTCAATGATTCTGCGTATCGGGCAGCTTCGGCCGTTGCAGGACCCCCAGAGAGTTGGGAACAAGGGCTGAGCCCAGTGTTCGCCTGTCGTTCACGTGCCATCACGTGCTTTTTGATTGCTTTATCTATCCTGCATTATCTCTATGATGGAGCAGACGGTGACAGCAGTGCAGACAACTTGGTTGAAAGTTGTCAATCCTGATATGAGAGTTTGAGTCTTCTGTGAGAAGTGCTTTGGCCCAGGTGTCGTGCGCTGCAGCGGTCTCCGGTGCCCTTGCGATGTGTCGGGCGCTTCCTGTTACAGCCAAGAAGTCAAGACAGCTCAGGTTGTTTCCCAGCCCTTAGACGCCACGAAAAGCATCAGTCCCCTGTGGGCAGAATCTTTTGATCTCATCACGCGGCCATTTGATGTACTTTAGGGGCCTAAATAATTACCAATACTATTTTGGGTGTTCCTTATCAAATTATAGAATAATAATGGTCCCCCAATTCCTATTCTAATTATTAAGGCCCCTACATTAGCGAGTTCGGAGTCATCTGCCAGGTAGCATCTGAAGTTGCAGCTGCGCCCAGCCAGACAGCCTCTCGTCATCCAGCAACCTTATGTTCGTCAGCAGACGCGGAACGTGAGCTCTCAGTTCTTTTTTGCCATGCCCTTGGCTCCAAGATGTCTTTGAGGTCGTCGTACTAAACTGGATATAGTATAGCTTCACCAGCTAGGTATTTTTCAGCGAAGGTGTATGCGATGCTCGTAGCCTAGCTCTCCAACACAGAATGTTTTTCCTGGTCTTTTGTCGGTTTGCTCGCCTCAGATCTGAGAATTGCTCTGCGTAGGGTCTGCATCAGCTGGCTTTGTTCGTTGAAATCTCCTGGCAGGTCGGGTTACCTCTCCCTGGATATGAGCCAGGCATGAAGGGGTGCATGTTATTCCTGCGCTTGTTATGTCGAAAGCTCAATGGGGATCCTAAACGGTGCTGTCGGGCTGTTCTAAGATCACGGGTGTGAACCTGATTGGAGCGAGTCCAGACGTTGCGCTGTCCGCCTTGTTGGTGACTGGGAACACCTGCTAGCTTCCTGACAACAGCTCTCGCAGATCTTGTAGAGAACTGCTTCGGACTACCCCTGGCAGATGGAGCCGAACACAGCCGTGCACTGCGGAATCTGGGTGCGGCCGATGTCGCTCGGGCCAGCTGCCCAAGAGGGCGTACGGAAGGCAAGACTTTGATGTGGTGCAATATGGGGCAATCTTGTTGCAGTGATCCCAGTTCGGGAGTCCTTCCTAAGAGAGGCTTCCTGCCTGGAGCTCGATGCTAACCGAACCTCCACCAACAACAACGTAGTTCCCAGCACGGCCAAGAGCGGCTGCTGAGGTACCGCAGATGAATTCCGCAGAGCTCCGCCGGCTCGCCGAGGTGGCTGTCGGTCTGGAACAGCGATGAACGTAAGCCTGCATGCATAGCCACTATCTTTGGCTTCGGGCTCTTGTGACTTTGGCTGCGCAGTCAACTGTGTGTTACTAGTATCGCTTTGCAAATCGCTATTATACCCAAGGTGTCGGCGACCAGCTTCTTCGGTATCTTCAGCGTGTCTTGTTTCGTGTTGCGTTGCACTTGGTCCTTGTCGTCGCCAGCATGTCTTGTCTTTGACGCAGCTCGCCACTCGAAGTGGCATAAACGTCAGGGCTGAGGCTGCTGCCCTCGCCGCCTCCAACGGGGTTTACGCGAATCAGAAAAGCCATGCTCCTCGTCGAAGATCTGCAAAGACAGTTCGCTCACGAGCAACGAAACAGATCAAAGAGAAGGGACACAGCATGGAAGTAGGGAGGCTTCAGTGGTAGTATGCTGAGTCTTGAAATCGCAAGAGTGCTCATCTTGCAAGCACTGGCCGGCCGCAGGCCGCAGTCTCGGCCGGCGCGTCGCCCGCCCTCTGGGCGGCTCTCGCCCTTCGCTGCCAGGCAAGGTTGGACAACCGTTTGGGGTCTTAGGGTAGAGCCCAGGCGTGGGGAATACTGCCATTTACAGCGGCTTACGCTTGATTTTTTCTCCCACCGGGAAACAGTCTGAAGACAAGCTGGCCGAAACAGTGCCGACCGTGTGTGTAAGTGTTGCCAAGCACGGAGCGTGTGAGAACGAGGTTTCGGTTTTGAAGGGGCGATTGTCTCGCTAGACGGCCACAAGCTTATGGATTGCTTGAGAGACCCACTGTCCTCACAAGGAGGTGGGTTCTCGAGTAAACTACTGGGATGCAGTCCCGAGCTCAGTGCAGGTTCGCTTCGTGCCTGGAGTGATGATTCCAAGCGAATCGAGCCGTAAAGTCGGCAGACAAGGTGCACATTCTTCAAGCCTTCACGGCTGCAGGGGCTCGGGACCCGGATCAAGCGAAGCGAACTGCCGATTTCAGCTTGGAGATGTGCATCCCACTCTGTCAAGCAGACGTTGAGAGATGTACTTCGTTTGCTCCATCTGCTTGAAACTTTCAGGTGACGAACCCTGATTTGTTCATGCACCTGGCTGATGTCTTGACGGCGAGGGGCTCGGTGGGAGGAATCTTTTTGTGTTAGCTACTAGTAAAGCCTTTGATTCAGGGCATGGAGATACAGGTCCGTTCACTGTCGCAAGACGACCATGCCAGAGGACAAAACCTCGAAGATGGCTCCGAAGCACATCCTCGATGTGCTCGCTGTGTACGAGGCTGCCCTTTGTGACTGCTGCCACCTGCAGTGTCTTTTTTCTTCCCGTCCCTTGACGGAAGACTACAGCTGGAACCAGTGCTTCTAATCTCTCTGGGGCTGTGTGCGCGGGAGGATGCAGAGGGTTGCTCCGGGGAAGTGCGCGGAATGGCGCGGAAGAAACAAAACGTATGCCGCCGCGTACTACGTCGGAGGCAATTCGCTCTTGTGGAATGGGTCGCTTGCAAAAGGCACAAAGGCACGCCGACAATATGCAGCGATTCAGAAACGTGCCCGGAAGGGTTTTTTGCATCCTAGAGATTGGAACACAAAACACAATAACATGCACAGCTAACCTGGACTGTCACCACACTACGACCATGATGAATTTTTCAGATTGTTCCTCAGGAACGTGTCACCCGCACCTCTCGAAGCAGTGGCTGAAAATTCGGACATGCCCGAGCTGTGCTTTCTGTCTGGTTTTATTCAAACTATTAAGTGTTTTGTCTTTGTTGAAGAATACTAACGACATCTTTCCTTTGTTTTCTGAGAGGCCGCTGACCTCCGTCCGGCAGGGCTCTACGTGGAGCTGCTGCATGCCATCGTGCGGCTTGCTCGGTCGTCACCTCGGCTTAAGTGCATAGTGAAAGTGGGCCGCGGGCCGTAGATTACAGTACACTTGCAGATTATAGTAACCCTAATAGCCATATAGATCCCTTGTAGAAACCCGTATAGATCCCTTATAGTAACCCTTGTAGGATCCCTTATAGTAAGCCTTTTAGAAACCCTCATAGCAACCCATTTAGTAACCCGTATAGTAACCCTTATAGTGACCCTTATCGTAACCCTTATAGTAAACCTTATAGACGCTTCTTGGGAGGTCCATGTATGCAGAGGAGCTCACTCTCACTCTGCAAGCCTTGGCTCGCTACGGACTGGGGAACCCAACAGCCCAGGGCCCCAGCTTTCTCAGTGCTCTTGGAGGTTCATGGTGAGTTTTTAAGTAGGGATGTAAGTGGGATAACTGTAGTTATTAACCCATATTAGGGGACTTACAACCCCTCTTACAAGTACTCATGAACCTCCAAGTTGCGAAGCGGGTTGAGTCGCCCGCATCCACCCGCAAGCCGTGATGTTTTGGACTTCGAGGTTGTTGCTCAGCTCATCCGTGCCGTGCAGAGCGAGATCAAGGAGTTCAGGCCAGCACCAGGGTCTTGCTACGCAAGAGGCCCTTTGCTTGTGAAAGGCGTGCTCCGTGATACTGCTTGCAACACGCTAAGATTCGCAGGACATGTTCGGTAGTGACTGTTTCTCTTGATTTGGAGGCTTCGGTACCTTTGTGCCACTGCTGGCGCACTGGGGACCATGGAAGTCTGCCCGGGACTTTTTTTTTGTTTATGTTGCACGAATCATGTTGTCGGAATTCGGGCGCGGGGAGTCGAGTGAGAGACTCAGTGATGGGCTGCACCAGCATTTGCTATGGTATGTGCCAGTGCGTGGTGACTTACTGCAGGCCCGGAGGAGCTAATGACTGTACTCGATTCGCGTGCGCGCTTCGAGGCCTGTCTTGCTGGGCTTGCACAGGGTTCTGAATGTGTCGACAACCTGTCAGTGCTTCGCCGGAGTTCAGAGGGCGGCCTCGTATTTCGGCATTCTCCATGGTATTTGTGGATTGGCTTGAAGATTTGCAGACAGGGACCATGAACTCATCTGTGAAGGTGGATACCATCAACGTGCAGGAGCTTTTGGACAATGTCCAGGCTGGCCCATGCTCTTTCGGTCTTTGTCGGCCAAACTTGAAGCAACGTGTTGGCTCTTTGCCTTTGTTTGCAGCTGGAGAAGAGCCTTGCAGTAATAGCAATCGTAGTAGTAATGGCAATAGTAATTTATAGTAATCAGCTCTACTTGGAGCAGGCTTTCCCGCAGCTGGAGTACTCCTGGCAGCCCTATGAGGCCAGCGAAGGGTTGCATCCGGGAGGAACCGCTTGGAGTGCTTTCCTGTGCATCTTCGACCTATCTTCAAGTAATTACTATAAATTGCTATTGCCGTTACTATTGCCATTGGGCCATTATCATCAAAGTATTACTATGACTACTACCATTACCAGTACCCCTACTATTAGCATTAAAACTTACAATTACCATTACTAGTACCATATTGCTATTACCATTACTACTACCATTACTAGTACTGTTGACGCCGCAAGAGCCCTGGGGCCCGCATGGAGTGAAGACTCTGCAGGAGCTCTGCCTGGCGGAGTTTCTCCATCGAGTTGCCCAGTTCCGCACTGCGGAGGTGCAGAGAGCGTCGAGTTTGGGGTTTAGGGTTGCGGGTTTAGGGGTGAGGGTTTAGGGTTTAGGGTTTAGGCTGGGGCTCTGGCCTCTTTCCGGCGGAGACAGAGTCAAAAAGTAACACACACTCGGCTCCTTCTCCCCGCGCCCCGTCTCGAATCCCATTCCGTTCGCGTCGACATGCCCCCCCCCACATCACACACGGAGATCATGAACTCTCCAGAGGTCGCAGACTGTAGACACCCCGCCTGTTGAGCCTGAACGTTCAACCCGTTGAACCTTGAGCGCTGTGCCTGCACCTAACATCTCAAGGGTTGCAAAGCCCCAGGGTTCAAGATTATGTACTTCATAGGACCGGATGTGGATGTTAGCGGCGTGAATTCATGAGCCAATCCACGAGTCGTCCTTCCTGGCCCTTTGCGAACATCGCTAGACTCTTCCGCTAGACGTCACACATACACCGTGCACCTAGCCGGGCTGCCGATAGCTGAATGAAGCTTCAGCTGTTTATCTGAAGACTCCCGCAACCGTGAACAGACAGAACAGGCGTGTTTCAACGTGCCGACGGGTTAGAACGCAACCGTAGTTTGAACACAGCGTCTGTCTGCAGGAGGTTGACCAGATGGTGGACCCCTTTTACACGCTGCTTTTTCTTCAAGCTCGCGGCCACCTTCATGAAAACTACCTACGGGCCCTGACTCAGTGGTGCCTGCGAGGTGTTCATCGTCCCAATGTCAGATCCGAGCGGCGGCCCACAACGGCACAGCTCGTAACCCTCTACGACTACTGTCGCGAACATGGGCTGGAAGACGAGCCGGCGTTGAACGACGCTCTTGCCTACTTTGTGGAATCTGGCGGTGGCAAGTGGCATTCGCTGTATGCTCGCCCTCTAGCCTACGCCAAGAAGCGCAGATACTTCCGCACGGAGGATCCCCTGGAGGGCGTCGCTTTGCCACAGCTTCCAGGCTCCCAAGCAGCTTCGGCGAAGCCGAAGATCTTGGATGAGGGCCTTCCCGGTCTCCCGGCCTTGCCGGCATCGCCCTCCTCAGTGGAGGAGGCGGAGGAGAGCGAGGAAGCGGAGGAGCTGGACACGGTGCGCAAGAAACCTTCTGAAAGCGACTCGGCTTGAGCGCTAAAAGTTCTTTCGTGTTCTTTCACAGCGCTTCTGCCACCGTCTGTCCTAAGCCCAGGTTCTCCGCTGCTCACGAAGGGAGAGTCCATCGTACGGGTGTCTTGCTGGATCTTGGTAGATGGTGTAGAGACTTGTGACCGCGACATGCCCTGCCAGGTCCGCAAAAGCTCTCGGCGAAAAGTGGCACGGCCCCGCATATCTTGGGATCCTCTACGATGCTCGGAACAATAGTCTGCCGGCTTTTGGAGCAATCTCTCCTCATTCTGGAACTGGGTTTCTATGCATCGAACATTCCTTGACAATCAGGACCGCGGTTCCGAGACAAAGAGCTGCCTCAACCTTTATGGCGGCATGTCTGCATTTCCGCGAACGTGTGAGGGAGTGCGGGGTGCTGTTCAGTTCAGGTGACAAGTGGAGTCCAGACACCCTTCTTTGCATCTCAGGTACTACGGTGGCTGGGGCATGCGTCCAAAGATGCTTGGCCCAGACAAGACCGTAGGCTTGACCAGAGCGGGAGTGCGCCTGTTTGCGAAGCGCCGAAGCAGGAAACAGGGGCTGGGTCGGATTCTGCTAAGGTATCAACCAGGCCGCAGCCTGGGGCGACGCTACCCTTACGCCGCCCGGCCTTCCTATAGCCTCACGTCCTTGTGCATGACCTCTCGGTGTCTGAACAGTGAAACTGTTGCAAAGCTGCTTCTGAAGTGGTCCAGAGGACTAGTTGAGTGGTTTCCCTGTGAGAGTTAGGCTGGTGTTCCGATCGGACCACGGGGAGGTGCCTGGCACAAGCGAAGGCACCTAGAGGGAACTCGACCCATCGTTCTCCGATTGGATTCGGATAGACTGGTGTGTTTCATGTGTCGGCACTGTGAAGTGGACGGTCCAAGTGGCACCATGGCTCTCTTGCTCGAGTTCTCGATCTTGTCAACGTGTCAGGTGATTTGCTGAGCTGAGAGGTTCTGATGCAAGCCATCAGTGTGGGTTCTTCTCGTTGGCTCTCATCGAACATGTAGAATCAGAGTATCTAGTACTGGGAAACTAGTACTGAAGACTGGCAGATCTGACCACTCACACATGTCTTGCTGATGTGCCTCTAGTGGTGTGCCATGAGTCTTGCTAAATCTCCTGTCCATGCGATGCAGCTGCGCAGCTTGCAAAAGCAGGGACTTGCATTGCCCCCATTCGTCAGATGCAATGGAGACGTGTGCAGTGTGCAGCATTCGGCAGCGCCCACAGTCTGGCCCAAGAGCATAGCAGAGCTTTGCGCATTTTTTTGGCTGGACGCAAACGTGGGGAGCTCGACTTAGATAACGAAAGCCGGGGCTTGCTGAGTGTCTTATCTTATCTAGCCGTAGCTTGCAACAAGGGGTGTGGGGGTACCCCGACGTCATGGCCAACGTATGGATTTTTTTGAGCTGGGCTGCATCTGGCGGAGGGATTCGGCACAGCCGGGATTCCTTTCGTTTCACATCCTGCTTTCGCATGTCTGAGGGTGGGCGTGCACCTGTTCAGGGTCTAAGGATGACTTTTGGGTGTTCTTTTGAGCGGTTTCGTGCTCAGGCTTCGGGCTGTTGGCGGAAGCTGGGGAGTGTTCGGGGCTCAAAGGTTAAAGGGTCGACAGGTTTAAGCTTAATGAGTCTAGACTGTGTTTGGCCCCTTTGCGGTGTGTGTTTATGAAGTTACATGCAAGGATGCCGACGATTCTATGCATAAGCATACGTAAGATTATGTTTCTACCGGCATCGACGACGAGAGTAGAAATCTGCCTGTTGATGAGCCCTTCCCCAGTGCCTGACCTAGCTTTCGCTCCAGTTCATCGCCCGCAAGTAAGTTGGTTTCGGACGAGCTTCGATAACACGGGTTCCTCTGTCGCTCCAACCTGCCAGGTGCGCTGTGTCACTTACAATGTATGCTTTGCAGCCGATGAACGAGCAGGAGCATCTGGTGGGCGAGGAGCGCTGCGATTCCGTGGATGTCAGTCGCAGTGTGCACGCCTGGAGCAAGTGTCGTGAAGTTGATGCATCTTTCCGAATCTTATCAGCCGCAAGTGCTGTCGCTCGGCAGTCTTACTTGGCGCAGGACCCTGAGTCGGCTGACTTCAGTCACTCGGACAGGGAGAATCAGCAAATACAGGCCGGCGTGAATGGAGAAGTGGTTGTAAACCGAACAGAAGGGTTCCTGATGTTGCTAGGCTTGCCGTAAGCAGGGGTCGAACTTAGCCACGTAGGATTTGAAGATGTCGCATGGCAGCAAGAGGCGACTTGTCGAGGTTGCTTATGCTTCACCAGGTTTGCCGTGCAGTCCGGCATGGCTTGCTTGCAGTCGCTGTCCGGCGCCCACTCAGAAGGCTGCGCGTTTCTGAAAGTAGCCCAATCAGGGGAATCAGTCCGTTTGCACCTGGCACGGGTTAGTACTGGACTGCACAATGAAGTGTTGATCGTGCAACGAATACTTGACCATAACGGGTCAGCTGAGGTTGATTACCCCGGACATGCCTAGCCGCCCTTTGCACGTATTGAGAGGAAGCGCGCTGGATTCCGGGGGTTTCAGGGGGTTTTCCAGGCTGCAATGCAGAGCACAACCGGCCCTGCTCCCAGCCTCCGGCTGAGGTCTTCGCTGTCATCGGCATTGGATGCCTTCACCTCTCAGGGAACCAGGCGCGCGCGCGCCGATATCAATGCCGTCTCCGAAGCTTATGCTGGTGGGTTGTTCCTCTGCAGGCCGCGCAGGCGACTGTCAAGAACACGCAGGCACAGATCTGGTCAGCCAAAACTGGGCGTCTTTTTGGGGGGAACTGCGTTGCATCAGTGCCGGAGTTTGAAGTGCCTACCTTTCTCGGCCGTGTCGTTCGTTTTTGTGGACCGGAGCTGCGAAATTTGGGAGTTCTGGGCGCTGCGGTGCAAAGTATCTGTCGAACCGGAAGCTTGCATTCAGTACAATGGGCACCTCAAGACATTGAATAGCATTTTTGCGGCGACAGAGCTGTTACATCTGCAGGTCAAGGCAGGGATGTACGGCAATGGAGCCTGGGGATCGCAGTGTTCGCCCCGGGCGCCCGGAGCACTCTGCCGAGTCGAAGTGTCCTTGCTCCGAGGCTTGAGGCTGCACCGGCCGCAGCGCCGGCCGCAGCGCCAGCTGCAGCGCCAGCTGCACCTGCAGTGGCAGCGCCTGCACAGCCAGCGGTGCCGGCTGTGCCAGTACCTGCGGTGCCAGCCGTGCCGGAAGTGGGAGCCAAACCGGAGCGGCAGCCCCAAGAGACTCTCCGTCGTTCCAGTGTTCTCAATGTGGAAATCGGCTGCTGCCCGCACCGCAGATTCAAGCCACGCTTTTTCGCAGCTCAGGCACGCAGTGATCAACAAGCAGATTGACTCAGTGAACCAGCTCACGAGCCTCGGCGTGCTCATGCCATTTCACGCCGACGTTGAGATGCCGCCTCAGAAGTTTACGACCTGCGACCCCAAGGGGCGGCACCGGGGTTTCCAAAGTGGTCAGTCCCGTCCCCAGAGATGCCGTGAAACATCATGATCCCAAGATCCGCTCGGCTGCTGTCCGCCTTAACTTGGAGCCTTCCGGGAATGCGCATATAATTCCTCAACACAGCCCACCATGGTAATCGGAAGGCTTGTGGTCGTGTTGGCCGTTTTCACTACAGCAGCCTGATGGTCGAAGTCTAGAAGCCTGCCGATTCTGGAAAAAAAAACTGGCCTTCCCACGCTGCCAAGCCTCCCAACAGTCCGAGCAATCTTTGAGCCCCCTCCTTCAGTCCCTGTGAGTCAAGTGTCGTCTGAACTCCGGTTTCTGCATCGCCACTGTCATTTCAGAACATCCGTAAAGTCTTTCCGGAGACAGTGTGGACGAGTGACCTCGGTTGGATCTCGCAAAATCTGCTAGCGATGATGGCTGAGGCGCACAGTCGACTAACAATCCACTGGCTCCGAAAGAGAACCTCGCAGACGGCAATGCCCATCACCCAGCATGAGTTTCGCAGCGACCAAGGTGTGCTTGTGCTCCAAGCATGTTTCGGTTTTGTGTCGGTGTTCCAGGAGTGCTCGGATGATGAGGAGGAGCTGAATGACATGTGCTATAAGAAGCTGGATCCCCAAGTCGGAGTTTGCAGCAGAATGCTCACATCCTTGCACGGAGCAGAAACCCTGAAGGCAGTTGCTTTACTTCTTTGCTTGCGAGAGCAGCAGATGTAAGCTGTGCTACAACAACTCCTCCTGCAGGCTTTTGTCGTGTCGTGCTCCTCTATTGTCTGGCGTCGCAAATGTAATTTCAATCATCACGGTCCATGCTGGGACGGGGGCAGTGATAGTGGCGAGTCTAGTTTCTGCGGTGAGGTGCGCCATTTTGACAAATGGCGAGATGCCGAAGCGCATCAGCACCGATCTCAGATGTAAGTTTTGGCCATGATCAGGCCGCAGCGCACCTCTTTACCACATACTTCTTCCCCGAGAAAAGTGCGCAGCTCACAAGCTCATCCAGGTGCCTTCGAATGTTCCAAGAGCGAGGGCTTCATGGGCATGATGAAGGGACAGCTGCAACCTCAGACGGTTTAGGGCTTAGGGGTTCAGAGTTTGGGGTTTAGTAGGGAAGACAGCATTCGGTGGCACTGATGGGTGTGATGCGACACACTTTTGCACTCACGAGCTCTCAGGACAGAGGGCTTCCCCGTGCCATGCCAGGGCTACGATGTTGCTGGCGATGAGGCAGGGGGTGGCTGTCTGAACCTCAAGGCAAACGGAGGATCTTTCTTAATTCTCATAGCTTCCACGATTCCAAGGCCCACACAAGAAGGGTGCATGCCTGAAGAATGAAGAGCTCTACTTGGGCAAGTCCATGGCTTACAGGGCAAGTTTGATGGCAAGCAGAGCACCAGAAGTGTTTGCACCTACTTGCGGTGCATACTGAGGTGTTTCAAGAGCTGCGCAACACTGACCCAGAACCAGTGAGCCCTCTGCAGACAAGATGCAAGCATTGCACTGCATGTATGTCTGCCTGCCTGCTTGCCTGCCTGCCTGCCTGTCTGTCTGTCTGTCCGCTTTCTGTCTGTGGTACGGATGCATGCGTTGAAGGAAGGACGGAAGTGTTCATGGACAAAATGATCGATGGATGCATGGGTGGATGATGGACGCATCTCAGACTTGCTTTGCAGAGTGTGTCAACAGAGGCCGTGCTGGTCGGCAGGTACACAGTGCGAACCGGTGCTGAAACCTGTGCGCGACTTGGGGTTTGGTTTGGTTCTGCTTTGATGGCCTTGCTGCAGAGTGGATGGTTGTATATCTGGCGCAGGCACCGTGACACCATTCGAGCGACTTGCGTTTCTCCACTCGCTTGCGTGTTGTAACCAACAGCTTCATGAGCTGCTCTTGAAGCAGTGTAGATTACATGAATTGCGAAACCCAGCATGACTTTCCATGGGTTGATGTTTGTGGTGAGGAGTTGGGCAATGAGGACTTTGTTTTATTGCTTGTACATCTTGCGGCCACTTGCAAGCTCATGCATAAGACCTTGCCCGAGGCTGCAACACTGAGAACGTGTTCTCTTGCATGAGTCCCTCCAACACGAAGTTCTCTCCTGCCCCCAGCTTAGTGGATCCGCTCAGCCCTACTTGCAGGGGTCCAAGCAGCCGTGAATTTCATTTGACTTCCTCGTCCAATTTGGCTCCCAGGACTACAATGTCGGAGGCGGCATGAACAGCAAGGCGCCGCCAGCCAAGCCTCAAGGTTAAAAGAACGCTTAAGAGTTTTGTGCCAAAAGAGCTGCGTATAGCAACCCCTCATAGTACCATGATAGAAACCCGTTATAGCAACCTCTTGCAGTACCCTTATTGTAGTACCTTTATAGTAATCTCATGCAGAACCCTTATTATAGTACCATATTTGGTAGCCTGTGTTTCAAAAGCCTCCATGCCACAAGTTCGGGAAGGAGTCCGACCCTCACAGCCCAGAAGTGAAGCTCACGGCGGGAGCCTCAGACGTGAGGTCAGGTGGTCGCCTATCGGCATCGTGCATGAGCACAGTCACCTCTGGTGCCTGTTCCAAGCGAGGTGGAGATCAGTACTCTGTGAAGCCGCTTGTGGGTTTTGATGTCCTGAGGAAGCGCGATGATGCGGGTTGACGAGGCCCCTCAGTAGAATAATCCCTGACATGCTGGTACAAGATCCGCCGCGAGCTTCTGGGCCCAGCCGAGCATGTCGCGACGTTCAATTTCGACGTCGGTGTTTGAGGCAGCTGCGAAAGAGACTGCCCGGCAGGTCCACGCCGGGGCGCGAAGTCGCCGAAGGCGCCACCGCCACTGATGCTTCTGAGGAAGCACCGTCACGATCCGTGAGCTCTCTCACGGGAAAGGAGCATTCTTTAAGCGCGAGCAGCTTGCATCAACGAGTCATTGCCACAACAACTAGCCAATTAGGTTGAGTCGTTGCACTGACAACCACGCACCTGCATAGGTCCGCAGTTGATGTTCACAAGGAGGTATTGTTAAACTTGGTAGAAGACTGCCGGGTCAAGTTTAGTGTATTTCACGGCCTGGACTGCATGCTTTGCGAGCCACAAAAATAGTGGCAATGTACAATGACGAGGTTGCTTCTGCCCGAAGTCGAAAATCAGTGCACGTGATGAGTCTTGAGCACGGGTATGCACGGATGCTTTCAGTACTCCCTGTCAGCAGTGCCTGATGCGATTGACAGACTCAGACGTAGTTGAAATTCAGGTCCAGAAAGGCTTCTGCAGCATACGAATTCTCCTCGATGCGTTCTTGGACTGTTCCCGTGATTGGCTGAAGGCTGGTGTTCAGATATTTGTGGTGACAACTCATGGTATGCGGCATGCATGACACGGTGCCGCGCATGCGAAAGGGGAGACTGCTGAATCTATACGGCATTTGATATCAGCACTGGTTGTGCCCATAACACGACATCCTTCTGTGTCAAAGCCCCAGCTACTCCTCCAAAGCCAACGTTTGATTGAGCGTAGGTAGGTTTCATGGAGCCAACTGAGTCCGATGCCTTCGAGGCGGATGCTGGCCATTCCATGGGTTTGATGCTTGGGGCTTCGGGAGACTCCAATATCCCTTAATTAGGGAATGTACCTTTTAAATTATAGGATACCCAGGATACCTATATTCCTTAATGAAGGGATATTGGAGTCTCTGGGCTCGGGAGTGTTTGTGCAATTGCAGGTTCCTAAACCGCCAGAGACCGATGGCCCAGAGGAGGTCGAGGAGCCAGAGAAGAAGAGGCAAGTGCGACGTAGTTGACCCATAATATGAGAGATATCATACAATAATCTATTGTGTTACAATATACGATAAACTATAATATCAGATAAAATATACTATAATACGATACGCCATACTATCCTGTGAAGCTCTGGCTCTTAGAGAGAGGCCAGCCCTTCCTTCTTGGGCGGTCCTCCCGTGGCAACTCGGCTCAGTGTTGGCCCGGGCGCGCGTGAAGTAAAGGGGGCTTTCCAAACTCTAGGGTGTAGTTTAGGGTTTGGGGTTTAGGGGTTTAGGGTTTACGGTTCAAGGGTTTAGGGTTTACGGTTTAAGGGTTTAGGGTTTACGGTTTAAGGGTTTAGGGTTTAGGGTTTAAGGGTTTAGGGTTTAGGGTTTAGGGTCAGTGCATCCCCTCCCGTTTAAGTTTAAGTGTCGAGATCTGTCTTAGAAATACGGAGGTATGCAGGAGTTTCAGGTATGTCTGGCTGTTTTGCTTCACAAGGCTGGCGCTGCTGGCCGGTTTGCTCCTGGTGCCGCTTTCTATCGGTGCAGAGGTCGCTGCAGAGCTACGTGTGGAGGCGCCCTCCCTAACAGTCGAGGCTGAAGGGATGTATCCCGGATAGTGGACATGTTCCAGACCTACTAAGCACCTTCCCACAGACAGACATCCTGGCCTCTCGCATGCTCCTATTTCGGCCTGCCAAGGCCTCCGGCCTCGTCAGAGCGGCCGGTGGAGGCAGAAAGATTTGTGAGCTGCCTGATGTGAGAGGACAAAAGGTTCTTGATGTCTCCAGGCACTGCCGCAGCGGCAGGGGCAACAACCCAAAGCACCCTCCAAGAGTTGCAGACGCTGCCGGAGGCAGCAGGGCGTTCGATATTGCTGGCCTCAGTAGCTTCAGTCATGCATGGTGGAGCACCTGAGGCAGACTTACGTCGCATTCGAGACTGCAGCTTCGTGCATCACGGCACTTTCCATCGCTTCTGTCTCAGCCCGCGGTTGCTCAGACGTCCTGGAGAAACTATTCCCCTCAAATGAGGACTCCGGGTGGCCAGTCTCGTCCGCACCCGGACAGATGTTACGATTGCCTGCGTCCCAGCTAGGCTTCAGGCTGCTCTAGACTCCTAGTGCAGCTGTAGCGAATGCAGGAAGCATTGAATGTTGTGGAGTCGAATCTAGTCTTTCGGAGTCACTTCCCATCTTGGTAGTTGTTGTCGTGGATCCGAATTCGTAGCTGGTCAGCATATTCAGTGGATGGACAAGGTTGCTAACATCCCCAGAGACTCCAATGTCCCCTTAACCAGGGAATATTCCTTAAGTCGTATTAGGGATCAAACGAAAATTTAAGCAATATTCCAAAATTGAGGGATATTGGAGTCTCCTCAACCCTAAACCCTATAGATCCCATATAGGAACCCTGAAAGGAGCCCTAGGTATATTCCTTGATTGAGGAAGATTGGGGTCTCTGGGATGTGACCACGCCGCGTCAGCGAGGTCGCCCCGGACCGGGCCACGCTTCAAATAGGCCCGGAGCTTGCAACGCGACTTAAACCCTAAACTTCAGGAAGCAGCTGCTACAGACATTCATACAAATATCTAGGCATAAACCATTTTTTTAATGGTTGTACCGTTCTACCGTTTTAGAGTTTAGAGACTAGTATCCATGGCTAAGCGCAGGACTGGGACGGACTTGTTGTAACCCTGTGAGCTCGCAGCTCGTGGCTCGAACAACATGCCTGCAGACACACGGAGGTTGCCATAAACTGCCTTAGGCTTAGAAGGGAGGCATCTTGAATCCTCTGTGAAATCGTACGCATCAGTTGCCATCCGATGGAATCAAGCAGGTTTGAAGTCATCAGAGTTGGAACTACTGTGCAGTGTGCTTTGAAGTGCCGGCCCTTTCGATCATTTGTCATGCTACCTTCGTGTTGGGCTCCCAGTGGCATGATGTGTCCCTTCCGCTGGGCCCCTTTCCTAGTGATGGGCTGCTTTGCTCAACACTTTCGGCCTGGACATGTGCCACCGGCATTGAGCCTTGCCGATTTGATGGGGGAAGTTATGCCTTCGGTGCGCTAGTTAAACCTAAGACGACCATCCCTGCTGCGTTTTCGACGTCAGCCTTACCATTATCGATGTCGGTAACATGATCATCATCACCACCATTATCATCACGTTGCCGTGAACACCAGCGGCAGCAGCAGCAGCAGCAGCAACTACTAGCACCACCAAGCACCACCAGCACCACCGGCACCGCCGCAGCACCATCATCGTGCCATCGTCGCCATCGTCGCCATGGGCTATCGCCATCATCCCCGGCATCTTTTCATGTCATCCTCATCGCCATCATCTTCTCGTCATCTCCGTGTCGTGGGTGCGGTAGGAAGCACAGAACAACTGAAATGGCATCGCTCTTTTTTCTCAGGATCTGGGTACCTATGAACTCCTCGGAGATTTCGAGTGTTTTGGCGGTGCTTCGAGAAGATGCGGACAGCTGGTACTTCGTACCTGTCCTAGGAGAAAGTGACACTGTGAAGTCGTACCCTTCAGAGATTAAGAAGTCGCTGTCCACGGTGGGCTCCTACATCTACGGACCGAGCACTATCTACAGTGGCCACTGCCCCAAATTCGCCGGACGAGATTCCGCAGGTTTGCATCACCATGCCGAGCTCAAAACTGAACTGAAAGGAACGCTGGGCTGGCTTTTCGACCGCGTGAAGGAAACCTTGCAGAAGGCTGTTGCACCAGATGAAATCGACAGCGAGTGGATCACCTACCCCTACGTGAAAATGCACCGGGGCGACACACTCGACGGCCTGCCTGATGCTATCAAAAGCATGGTCCTGAGCCCTGCGCCGCCTCACAAGGACGAGCAATTCAGAATGCATCTGGAGCCGGCAGAGTATGCCTCTGCCCAGACACTGACCTTCACCTTGCCTTTGGAAGTTCCCGCTGGTGGTGCAAGCCTGCGGGTCTACGACTGCTACTACAACAAATCCATTCAAAAGAGCGTGGATCCCAAGGGGAACGTGCTGCCGAGGCAAAGCAGCCAGTGGTGTATGAAGGAGATGCCCTTCGAAGATGCAGCTCGTTCGAGTTGAGAGAGCATGATAGAGCATGCCCCAGTCTTTTAATGTGGTCTACGAGAAAAATGGGGTTCAGGAGAAGCAGAGGCCCTCAGGAGACTTCAGGGGGGGGGAATTGCCATGAACTGAGAAAGAACTTGCGGACCCTGGAACCATCAGGTGGAGTACATCCCCGGGCGCATGCTCCTCTTCTCTGGTGACCAGCTGCATGCAGTGGGGCCCTACAAGGATCCCACCTCCTCCGATCGGCGAATCGTCTCTTGTCATCCTCTGCACGGTTTTGGGGCTTCACAAAGCTAAGTTCCTTTTTCCTTTCTGCGGTTTAGGGCCTTGGGGTGTGGGATTTTCGGCTGTTCTCGGCTACTCTGCTTTGTGCTTTGAGCCGAGGTGATGCAGGGGCATGGAATCTTCCGCGAAGGCAAGTGGCGGCTATTCGGATAGCCGGTGCCTTTCATCGATTTGCGAGCTGCGAAAAGAGTTTGCCGGACAACGGTGCTGCTGGCACCAGAAAAATCTTTGATCGGGTGCAATGGTTGAATGGGCATACTTTAGTTTTAAGTCGTGTGCCGGCTGCCAGCAAGGTTCTGTAGTGCGAATCGATCCCTCAGAATATTTCATGTGATTCGTGGTGGAAGCTTGCGCTGTCCCATACAAGCTCAAAGGTATAAGAGTTTCTGCTTGTTGCAAGAACAGCGGGCAGCAAATTGCTTTTGGTCAGAGGCTGTGCACACACATGCAGGTTACGTTGCAGTTGCGACAAGTGGAGAAGATCTTTCTTACAGCTCACTTCTAGACGCGTGTTGATTGCCCTGCCCACCATGGACTAGTCACAGAGCGTGCCATCTCCCCCATGCGATTGGCTTCAGCATGCCTCAAATTGCCTGCATCAATCGGTAGATATTTGCAAACCTGGAGCACAGATAGCCGAAGTCCAGCAGCGGGGATCCGCAGCTCCGCAGGCGCGCAGCGCGTGATCTTCTCCCGGCCCTTCGCAGGGTCCCAGGAGGCCGCCCCGATGGTGTTCATCACGACTGCCCAAGTGGAATCATGACGTTCATTCCGTCTGATATGCGTTCAGACGTGATGCGAGGCTCTAGTTTCCTGGCAGGTAGAGCCGGATCCGTCGAATGATGGCCCCCCGTCCGGCTGCACGTTTACAGCACGTGCCTCAAGCGTTGTGTACGAGTGCACCAAAAAGACAGGAAGGCTGATGTGATAGCTGCGGAAAACCTGCTTTTCATCCAGCCGCCTTGCTCAGGGCAGGACCGACGTCTCGCAGGCAAAGCCTGGATCGCGGTAGCAGGTGTCCCAAGTCCTCACGGTTACCAAGCTTGTGACGACTGCTTGTGTTGCTGTCATGCCGCGTATGATAGCAAAGCAGAGAAACTTCTTCTATCACCTGCTTAACATCGTACTCTTCTAAATCCTTGGACATGCACGGCTTGACTGCTGACCAAGGTGATGCCGTGGTTAGTGTCACGTGTTTCACCTGTTTGAGCAAGCTTATACACTCAAGATACTGTACTCATTGAAGAAGGTTTGCTAGTTCTCGGCCTTTGCAAGCGAACTCGAATAAGATCATGGCGCATTCCAACATCGGTTCGCAGTGGTTCTTTTTCTGTGGGGTTTGGTGTTTGTACTTGTGTGCACATGCGGAGCAGTTACGAGAAGCAAAATCGATGCCTGCCTTGCTTGAGTCCACGGATTCAAGAGAATCAAAGCAACTGGACGAAGCAGGTCCATGGTTCGTGGGTGCCTTCACGATTCTCCTCAAGGGTGCAACGTCTCACCCAGAATATGTGATATGGGTCCATCAAAGCATTGGGCCTGCCCCGAAATGTCAGGGTGATCATCCATCGACATCTGGAGTCAAACGTTCAAGCTGTATTGACTCACGAGTTGCATCGCTGCAGAACAGAGGGCTAGCCTGAGCATGTCCCCCCAACCGCCCGAACCAGCTCGCACAGAACGCTTGGTCTTCCAGTGCTAGCAAATTCAGGATTCCATCATGGAGCGGATTGTAGAGGAGGCGCTTCGGTTGGCGAGAGCCAGCCCAACCTCCTTGGCAATCTGCCTACAGGTTTATTGTTAATGCGCAGCTCCATGAGAAGCTCTGGAGCGGTGATAAGAGGGCTCTGTTTCTGGCTTCTGGCCAGCTTGGCAAGGGCTTCCGGGCCCCTCGACCTCTGGGTTCTCTGGACAGATCGGGATGGGGCAGACTTCTTCTTCACTTCCAGCACTTGCGCAACTGTTACTCTGCCCGATGTGAGCATCGCCGGGAATGAGCCGGCGCCCCCGCCTGCGAATGGCGGGATTAGTGACATGCTGTTCTTCGCAGATACCTTCGAGTTCGTTTTTCTGGAGGGTGGCAAACTGGTCCGGGCCTGGATGGACAAGACGGGCCGATCGGAACTCGGGTTCTTGCCGGGGGATGCTCCTGGGCCCGTCTGGAATGCCACGGGGACCGGCCCCAATCTCGGAGAGGAGGGAGCTCTGGCTTGGACCCAGAATGCTGGCATGGCCATGGTCTTCTTCGCCTCCTCCTTGACGAACAAACTCTGGGTCTCCAACTTGAGCTCGGTGCCGCCGCGAGACTCTTCCCACTTAGGCCCATGGATGGAGGTGCTCGAGGGTAGCCAGGCCACAAGCGCCAGGCCTCAAGTGCCGGTGTTGTTTGCCAGGGACGGTATGGTCCTCTGGAGCGACACCCTGGTGCTAAGAACTTGGAGTGCCAAAGACGCTTTGGAGGCCGCGGCTCTTGGTGGCCAGTCGGCCGGTTCGGCTGTGGCCCAGCTTGGCAGTGGCGCGGATGCATGGGGCGAGCTGTTGGTGGCAGAATCAACTCACGATGGAGGCATGCTTTGGATTCGACAGGTGGGTAGCAACCCAGCACAACTTGAGCATGTGCTGCAGCTTGAATCTTTGATCGATGGGCCGAACGCAAACGTGGCCACTGGAAATGTGGCTTGGCTCAGTGACGGTTCGCCTGCCCATAAGCATGAGCACCACCGTCACCACTTCTACATACATCTTTTGCTTCACCTCTTCTGTGCTGCTGCTGCTGCTGCTGCTGCTGCTGCTGTATTTTTACTAGGTACAGCTATCATTCAGCAAGCGATGGTGATGGGGCTGGCGATGGTGACAATGATGGTGGAGGTGATGATGATCACTGTGACAAGATGTGACGAGCATTGCGTCAATGTTCCAGCTTGTTGCGATGCGATATGATGTGTTGCGACATTGGGCGATGACGCTTACAATGGCGACATGACGATGGAGATGACGGTGATGCTCTTGCTTTTGACAGTGCTACAATCGAGGTCTGATATGGGGTGTCATGGAAGGTATCATGATAATCGTCGTTGTCATCGAACCATCAGTCTGGTTCCTCGTTGTTGCGCTCTTTGTTGCGCTCAGGTGCGCTGGCTCCATGGTTTCTCCGAGGGCGACGTGCCTTCTGCCATCGCGGTGCCCCCTACTCCCGGGCCAGGGCTGCCCTACCTGGGAACCTTGGTAATCATTTCAGCCAATAATAAGAGATATAATAATGCTAATTACTATATAGGAAATATCGTAACCGGTTCAGGTTTAAGGTTTAGGAGGTTTAGGCCCAGGCTTTAGAGGGTATTTAGGGCTATGGTACTCCAGAACCCCTATAGGAACCACCGGGGCCTGCAGGGGGCTTTCAGTCCTTCAGGTTGGGGAGGGGGGGGGAGCTTCATGTCCGAGAATTTCAGTCTTCACGCGGCTGGGAAATTCTCCGGCGCACGCTTCTTGTTGAGAAAGCTTAATCACTTGGCCTCCCAGGAAATCTGACGGAGCTGTTCCAGCAGGTGTATTTTTCCATCCTGGGGCCAACATTGCAAGCTCGCCTCGTGACTCGGCCTGTAACCCTTCGTATAACTACCCCTGTACCTCCAAGTCCTGATTCACAAGTCTTCAGAGAAGCTCAACTTGAGCTGGGAGCTTCTGGTGTGCCTGAGGACCACTTGGATCTTGGCACCGGTGTGGCCGCTCGGCGTCAACTTTGCGGTGGGGTTCTAGGGGAATGCGTTTCAGAGGTTTGCAAGTTTGTCCGTCTATTCGGGCTGGTGTCGTGGCAGAAGGGACTAAACATATTGGGGAAACATCTTCTTTCCCCAACCTATACCCCCCAAAGTAGGTAAAATAATGGCCCAATACCCATAAAGGGCTATTATTCTACATACTTTTGGGGTCCAGGAATATGATTAGTACTTTCGGCAGAGGTCACGACCGTTGCCTTCGCCGGCGGGATCGAGCGGCGTGGAGCGGACCCAGCCCGGCCTGGGGCATTGAGCGTCTCGACGTTCAAAGCCTGAGCTTCCCAGAGACTCCAATATCCTTTACGATTAGCGAAGGAAGATTCCTTAACTCCTTACTATTAGCTAAGGAATATTCCTTAAATCCTTACTATTAGCTGAGGAATATTCCTTAGATGACATTCGGGATCCTACTATGATTTAAGGTGTGTTCCTCAATAAAGGGCAAGGGATATTGGAGTCTCTGGGTTGCCGATGAAGAGCAGCTGCTTCCTAGGATTAGGACGCAGTTTTGCAGTCCCTACACGTTGCTTTGAATTGCTGCTCGGATAGCACTGACCGTGCATGAGGTATCTATCCCATGCCAGAAGTCTGCGTTAATGCTTCGTGGCTCGAAGGGGTATCCTTTCGCTGTTTCACGCGTCTGATAGTCTATCGAGGCTGCATTCAGCACATGTTACATGACTGTGTGGTCAGTAAACCCGAAGTGTTGGCAAGGTCGGCTGCCTCTACCTAGAGAATGCTTTCAGCCACTGCGAGAAGTGCACCACGACAATTTGCGACACCTGCTTCCTGGATACGCAGGACAACGGAAAGCATGCCTGCCTCACAACACATAGAATGGTGGACCTCAAGGCATTGCCTTGCAAGATCTTGCAAGGACTGGCTCATCAAGGAATGGTATCCTCAGCACACAATTTGGACCAGCTGCGTCTGGCTCTGGCCCATCGATCAGGCCGTCGCCTCGGCGGAAGAATGCACCCAGCAGGTCCTCTTCAACCCGAACTGTGTGAACCCAGGCTGCCTGGGTGGTCCGGACGCAGGTGCAGCAGGCGAAGGCCGCACGTTTCGCCTTACATGGCGTGTCTGTGGCTTTCTGCAGCTCTGCACTTGCAGGAAGATGGGCTCCTACCGGATGACTTCATCGTCAAGGATCCCAAGGGTGTCCATCATGCCGACTACGCCTTGCCAATGACGAAAGTGTTGCGCAGTGCCCTCGATGCATGTCCCCATCCATGACTTTTCCCTTCAGTTAGGGCCCAACTCAGTCCCGGGCACGGTATGAATGCTGGAACGGAATATGGCGCCTGTCTCAGAAAGAGTGCTTTGAGCTGCTCCTGGGCCCTGCAGGAGTTGCCACCCACACCAGGTGAAGCAACGCCGCCCGGGACCACAGCGCGGCCACTAACCACCACCGCCCTCCGGCTGCACTGTGATTCCTTGTCAGTGTTCGCATTGATCTGTTCTGGCAGTGGCCGGCATGCCCCACCCTTTTGCTGGCCCAGGCTCGCCCGACAACTACAGCGACGAGTCTAACGGTGACCACACACACGCTGACAACGACCAGCAGTTCAGCGACGGCCACTACGACCAATCCGTGCGCTGCAGTTCCTCCCCTTGTAGGACTCTCTACAGCGGAGAGGTAGAGTTTACGCAATGGTCCAAGTGAGTTCTCGCTGTCACCCTTCAAGTTTTCTTCAGGAGACGCTCTTGACGCTTGCCGTGCTGAAATTGCTTCATGGTGCCAGGCGAGTTTTGCACACGCTAGGAGCAATCTTTGCGGCGCACGCGTAGAGATTCTCGTAGGCCGAGCCGGGACTTCCGGACATGCGGGGCTCTGAGATCCGCAGTTTCGCATGCTTTCTGCGATGTCGCACCAAGCTGATCTTGAAGCCAGAACTCTGCCAGGCTTAGTGTTTGGATCACGGAAGCTGTGCCCCTTCATCCGTTTTTGTTTGCTCAGGACCTTGGCTCCGCTGGACCTCCGAGCCCAGTGTGCAGGCTTCGCCTGGTCTGCAGAGGCACGAGATGGCGACTGCGTTGCCGCAGCCGAGAGAAGTCTAAACACAGCATCAAGCGCAGTGAACCGTAGCAATTAGTTCATTCTGCACTGCAGATCGCTCATCCTTGGAGAGGCGCTATGTTCTGAGCCTGCTGCTGTGGCAGACGGGGGTACACTGATCGGTGATGGAGGTACGTTCGATGGCTGGGCCCCCAAGACAGGTCTTCTCATTTCTTGGCATCTAGGACAGACCGACACGAAATACTCACGACAACCTTCGATGCATGCTCTCCTTTCCTCCATGCTTTTCAAGAACCTCCCGGAGTAGCTGCGCCTCGCCGAGGCTGCACGTCCTGCACGGAGCTCTGGGGCCTCGCTCTCTTGGCAGGCGAGGGGGGCCGGAGTAGGTCAGTAACTTGAACTTGAAGCGGGTTTAGGGTTGAGGGTGGCTAGCGGGCATTTTCATGCATTCGTCTGGAGCAGCTGCTCGAACAGCACCTTTCTTCAGGGCTCTCTTGTTGCAGGCTTGGGCTTGCTCCTCACGATGATGGTCTGCATCACTTGGTGCCTGACCACCTCCAGGCGGGGCTTTGTCACGAATAATGCTGGTTTAGGAGGCGGCAGAAACACTGCTGTTTGTGTAAACATCCGCAACGGCAATGCAAGCAGCGTTCCACAGTCCATGATTTTTGCACCCAGGCGCTTACAGGCCCAGCGTGCGGACCAAGATCTGCGAGCGGCTGCGCAAGTGCGGCGCGCTGGCTCGGCTGACGAAGGCCTAAAGTGTTCCCGGAAATGATGCTATAGATGTGCTGTATGAGCTGTATGAGTCCTTGCACCGGCCTTGCAACTTGTCAGGCCTCAACCCGGACATGGGCGTATCAGCGCCCAATTCGACCGTGCCCGACTGGCCGGCTTCTAACCGACAGCCGGGCTGGAAGTCCTGCACAAGGCCAGGATCAGAAGCTACGGTAACGGTACCGCTTTAAAGCGGGTTCACTGCCTGGCATGGCAGTTTCTTGGGGCTGCATGAGCTGATGCTCAGGCGCCTGCGCTGCCCTTGCTGCAGAAACCGTTCATCGAAAGCCGCTTCCCAGGCCTGGTCTCCGAATGCAGGAAGTCCATTCGGGTCCAGAGCTCTTGGGCAGGTGAAGCCCTCGCCACCCAGGCCCAGCAGCCCCGACTTCGAGGAAGAGGAGTGTATCATTGCTAGGTTTTGTGCGTCTGGGACGGAAGGTGATCCCCAAACAAGCCAAGCCATCCAAGCCGCGTGGAGTGGATCATCTTGGCAGAGTAACAGCAGCTAATCGATTTCACGAACATTTGCACATGATCTGGCCATCGCGGTCCCACGATACCAAAACCTGTCTTGGAGCGTTGTCCTTTGCAGATTGCCAACACATGGATGTGCTTCTGCTCTCTCTTCAGGACAGGCCCGAGAGTTCAATGAGCAGCACTGGAGCAGTCCCCGGCGGCCGTCTTATGTTCTCTAGGTTCTGGGTAGAGTGATTGGACTGCTTGGACACGGCCTCGCCTTCGCTTGTCGGCTCTGTCACCTGCATAAGGCGCCGACAACATTCAGGCAACCCGGGACGCACACCAGCATGTGAAAAGCATCTCGACATCGCAGCATATCGAAGGCCAGCGTTCCTGTGGAGCAGATCCTGAAGGGGACCTGGCAGCCTGATGCTTGGTGCAGGTGGCATGTAGCTTTGGAGTACGATCTGGAAGTGTGCAAACACAGCGCCGACATCAGGCGTGTTTCCAATGATTGAGGCCCGAGCTCAGCTCTGCGGGTGCCGCAGCAGCAGCTGGGCGATTGAGCGAAGCCATGTGGTGCCCTCAGCATGCACCTGCTGGCATATAGTCGCTTTTGCCTTCCTTGACTGTAGCACCTTCGACTCCTTGCGCGGGCTTTCGCGCAGAAGACTTTGTTCTTGGCTCTTGACGATTGGTTGAGGCGGAAGTTCATGAGCCCCGACTCCGACGAGGCGAAGCCTCAGATCCCGAGCTCGCGTATTCTCCACTTTCAGAGTCTCGCTTTGAAGAGGCGAAGCGGTGGCGATTTCTGGACGACGTCGAGGACATCCTCCGGACCTTGGGCAGTGTGCCTTGTCTTCGACACAGCAAGGGGCTTGTTTTTCCAACAGCGAACATCGCTCCTCGCTGGGAAGGCTCTGCCCCCGGGGGTTCGCAATGCAGCTTGGTCTTGGCAGGGGCCTCAGATGGCCAGTGAGGAACTGCTTCCTCAGATGTGCCCCATCTTTGTGGTCGATTTCGATGTCATGCGGTGATGTGTTAGATCGCCTCGTGAAGAGTCCTGCCCGGTGTAAGCGAAGGCACAGCCGACAGAGCGCGCGACTCCACCGCAGTCACGCGTTGACCGCAGCATTGGACGAGGACCGTTCTGGAGCATATGACGAGCTGCCTTTGGTACTCGGTTTCTCTTCAGTGGCTTAAGTGACCTGAGTCCTGAGTGCTCGAGAAGGGAAGACTTTGACAATCGGGCCCGCAGCGAGATGTGATTCAGCACCTTGCCGAAGCTGGGTTTCTGGACGTGTGGTTGCCATTGCTGCAAGCCTTGCCCGTGCTATCGGCCTTCACTCTGCAAACCCTGCAGGCGCGTTCGATGGCCGATGATTTTCGCGAGGCCCACTCCATCATCATGAGCTTGTTTGCTTGCAGTTATAGCATAACCCAAATTTAATCATTAACGCCCCTTGCCACATATAGCCACTCTCTATCCGCCTTGATCTGCCCTTCATGGGGATTACATAGCGATAAGAAATTGGGTCATGAGCCATGAGCCCAATCAGGAACCTCATTCAGGAAGCATCTTTGGGTATGTCTGTCTATCCCCTAAACCCTAAAGCCAAAGCCCTGAACCCATCTGTCTGTCTATCTGGGGTATCTGTCTACCTAATGTATCTATCCTTATCTATCTAGCTCAAATTCTAAACCCAAAGCCCTACACCCCTAATCATAGTCTTCTCCGTCCTTTCAGAGTACTACGGTTGATGATCTAAATCCTGCATTACCAAATTATAACGAATATCCCATTACTAGCATAGCCCAGGGCCACTAAGGTAATGCAGGATTTATATCATCAACCGTACTTGGAGGTTCAAGGGTAGTTATAAGTAGGGTTATAAGTCCCCTAACATGGGTTATAAGTATAGTTACCCTACGTATAACCCTACTTATAACTACCCATGAACCTCCAAGTAGTAGCTCCAACTCCTCTTCTTTCCAGGATCTTTCGGAGCGCCTGGTCTCCGGGGTCCGACGCCTCGAAGCCTCAGCGCTGCTGGAGGCGGTCGGAGGCGGCCCGCCTGGTGAAGAGATCTTTAAGCACTATGAACAGTATACATACTATATGTGCCATATATATGTCTCCTAATCATCGGTCTGGTGGGTAGGAATTAGGAGATCAGTTTCGCGATCGTTGGAACAGACTTGATCTATCTTTTCCGTGGCCATTTTGGCGATAGCCGATCGGGCCATACCGAAAAATAAGTTCGGCGTGGGAGGAACAGGATAGATCGCTCCAGTGCAGCAATGTCGTTCCCTCCCTGCCACCAACCCTCCACGGTGCCTTCCAACCTGGCTTGTACTCTGGCTTGCTTTTGGCAGTCTCTGCTTAGGGTCCCAGGTGTTGACGGGGTATCCTTCTGGGTATCTTCGTCGCCTGGGGTCCTGGGAGGCCTCGTGCCGGATAGCTTTCTGGGTGGGCTATCGGGCGAAGCTAACCTGGCCTTGGATCTTGAGGGGTTCAATTGGTGACAACCCCAGAGACCAGAAAAACCAACGGCACAGTATGCGGCGATGGGCGTATAAAAGGCGATGTAAACAGCGCAGTCTTCGGAATCGGCTCATTTTATTGGCTTTGCGAAAACGACGAGCGGCGGCTAGAGGGGTCAATCGACAACACGTGTGCAACTGGAAGTTCGGGTGTTGGAATGTTCGGCAATGGGGGGCAGTTGATGTTCCATATGATCCGTTTCAGGGGAGCAGGGGACATGTCCCACTGCTAAGGCCTTGCACGTCTCGGCCTAGGTCCCGTGTTGCCACGAGCACACGAGGAAACGCAAACCTACTAATGCGGTCTGTGTTCAAAATCATGGCCTGCTCGTAGGAAATATAAGCCTTTAGCCGCTCAACATGCAGTCGTTGCCCTTGAGCCATGTTTTGTCTTTCGCTTTCAGATGCAGATGGTTTTTCTGGGAGGTGGGCCGCTTGGCTTTGTTAATCTGTCACACGGTCACGCAGCTAACCGAAACAGGCGGCTGAACCAAACACCTTATCATCTATCTATCTATCGTTCCCTCCCGCGGGCTTCGCTCAAGGTCGGCAGATGGCGGCCCCGATGGCTCCCCAGTTCGGGTTGCCTCGCCGGCTTGGTCAGCCTGAGAATCCGGGAAACTGGGGATTCTATACTCCAGGCGAGGCAGAGGCGCCCGAGAATCCTGCGGCTCCAGCTGCCGCATCCGGCGATTGGGGCTCCGGAGGCTGGGGTCGCGGCGATCGCCGGGGACATCGCAACGATCGCCCCGCCCCTGCGGCACATAACCCCTTCGCTGTTCAGCGGCCTGAGTTCGTCCGCCAGCTCGTGGTGGAAGAAGAGGACGAGACCCAGAACTCCCTCCTCGTCATCGACAATCGCGACGATCGGGTGATCTCCCCGTTCCAAAACTGGCTCGCCGAGGAGATCATCTCGAATGCCGCCAGCTCGATCAATGTGCTGACGGAGCGGGATCTGGTCATGCCCCCGAACTCGGGCTACCATTGCTCGCTGTTCGCGAACTACACCCTCGATGGCATCAAAGCAGTTCTGCTGTTCTCGATGACCTCGAAGACTGGGGGCCCCTGTGCTCAGTGGGACTCCTATGCGAGTCGGGCGCTATCGCACCCGGCTTTCCAGCCTTTCACGTGGCCGGTGATGTTCGACACCTCGGCCACCTATGTGGATGTGAAGGTCTTCAATGGGAGCGAGGTCCTTTTCCACTGGGTGTTCCGAGGATACCGTTCGGACTCGGACCTCTCTGTCCAGCAGCAGTTCTGTGACGAGGTCCTGATCAGGACGGCCAACGAAGGGTGGTTCCGTCCCTCGATCGTCATCTCGGTCTTCGTGGGATGGAAGGTCTCAGTGACTTCGTTCGAAGTCGGAGCCCGGGTCTACACGATCGGGCCAAGAGGAGCGGTTATGGCGAGTGATCATGCCATGAGCACTTGCGAGCTCCGAGTTACCGATCGTGCCTCGAGAGAGGGCTATGGCAATGATGCCGATCGTGTTGAGTTCCGGTTCCGGGACGCCAATAACCGGATCGATCTCAAGTGCGGGAGGACTTCGGTGCCTGGCACGTGGCTCACAGTCAGCCACATCTCGGGCCCCGCTCTGATCAGCACGATCCAGGCCTGTCGGACCCAGCGTGCTCGCGTGGAAGGTCCAGACCACATCCAGCAGTTCGCGCAGCTGTCTGCGGTGATCGCCCCCTGGTACCACAGTGCGTTCGCCAACGAACAGGTGCAAGTGGGAACTGCGACAGACGAGTTCCCGATGGATCATGGGAACTTCCACGTACGGGCTAGATCTAAGCTCAGGGTCTGCCCACTGGAGTTCGTCCGGCAGGAGGCGCTCGCCCACCGGTCGCACGATGAGAACAACGCCGTTCGAGCTCGGAACGGCCCCCCGGCTCTCATGGAAGAGGCGGCTCGGCAGGCGGTTCAGCAGCTGGGCTCCTCTGTCACCTCGGCGCTCACGAACATGCCCACCTCGGCTCAGCAGGTCTTCGACCAGAGGGTGAGCACTGTTCAGGTGCCGACCGAGGGCGAGTGGAAGAGGCGCAGATCGCCGAGCAGGTCGTCACGGAAGCACGCGATCGCATGAGGGCTGACATGCGCTTCTCGCACACTTCGGCTGCGATCACGCCGCAGGTCTTCACGGACGTCCTCCAGGATCGGGAGCAGGCGGAGTATGAGCGGTTCAGCACAGTCAGGGTGGAGGAGACGGGCCCGGAGATCGCCGCCTCGTCCTCTACCCCGACCTCGGTGGAGAAGGCGTTCGCCCCGGCATACCCGCCGGCCAGATCGACAACGGGACCCTACACGATGGACACCTCGGAGTAGTTGTCGATCGAAGCCTAGGTGATGGTCGGTTTTTGTGCACGCTCCTAAGAGGGTGGTGCGCCGCGCGACCAAAGCCTCCTGGCGGATCAGCCGGGCTCTTCCGCGGAACAAACATGCCGAGCGATCCTCTCGGCGCGCTAGATCCCAGCGCATGTTCTGCTGGAAGTGAGATTGATCAATACCTGTCTCAGGCACGGCGCTCGGTTACCATTAGCAGGCACGTGCGATCGTTCGTGCAGCTGTTCAGGCCCAGCATGGATAGGTCCGTTCGGAAGATCCTATCCCTCCCCCTGTTCGGGGATGATTTTTGCCAATGGTTGGTGGATCTTCGGATGGCTCAGTTCGAGAAGCTCACGGCTGTTTCGGACGGGACGATCGCTGAGTGTGTGCAAGCGCTCGCTGATCTAGTCCCTGCCCTCGAGGAACTCCACACGCCAGATCGGCGGAAGAACGAGGAGGAGCTCGGCAGGTGGGTTCCGTCGATCGAGCTGTTGTTTGTGCTGGTTCGTAGCACGGCAGCAGCGGGCTGGGCTGATCTGGCCACTGATCTGGGATTCGGCTTAGCTGAAGCTCCGGTCGTCTTCGGGCGATCGCCACTGAAGTCGAAGGGGACTGGCAAGGAGCCTCCTATGCCATTGCCGCTCGCTAAGAGGCCGCGGGCGATCGAGCCGAGGCCTGAAGATCCACAGGCATCGCTTAAAGCTCGCGAGCTCGGCGAGGCACGGAAGTGGGGCATGAGACTGAAAGCGATCGTGGAGAGGTGCGGCGAGCACGCCGCGATCGCAGGCAACCCAAAGCCAGGATCCCCCCTTTCTCAGGATGAGATGAATGCATTGAGGTTGATCGTCTTCGAGAGTGGCGGTTTCCGCACTATCCAGCAGTGCGTTCGTCACTGGGAGAGGATCGAGACATGGGCGCGGTCGCAGAACCTAGCGGTGATCCCGCTGACTACCGACGTGCTCGTCAAGTACCTCTTAGATCTCTCCGACCGAGGTTGCGGCCCCACCGTTATACCTTCGGTACGTGGGGCGGCCAAATGGATCTGCAAGCGGATCGGCTTGCGGTTGCCCGACCTCCTCGATCCCCGGATCATGGCCTTGCAGAAGAAGGTCTATAGATCGCGGGAAAGAGACGAGGGAAGCGGTTCCCATCCCCCCGATCTTGGTCTTGGTGGCGGCGCTCGAGCGGTTCGTGTGCGCTCGTTTCAAGTCGAGCCAATTCCCCATGGCGTTCTTCGCATGGTGGGTCCTCGTGATGATCTACTCGTCCCTCAGGTTCGACGACGCGCTCCACGTCGTGCCCGAGGCGCTCGCCCTGAAGGACGAGGCTCTCTATGGGGTGGTTTGGCAGACTAAGGTCGAGCGACAAAAGAAGGGAACGCGGTTCGCGGCGGCCAGAGTCTCCGTCTCCGGATCCGACTGGATGGAAGACGGATGGCACGCAGCTGCGTTCGAAATGGACGATCGCGACTACTTCATGAAAGAGCTCGAATCGGCTGAGCGATTCGCCGATCGGCCTGCCAGCTACCAACGGAGCATCCTGTGGCTGCGGTACGTGCTCACTACTGCAGCTTCGGACGATCTGAAGCGCGGGCACATCTCGCCCGAGCGGCTCAAGGAGCTCCTGAAGATCGTGCCGGAGATCACCTGGCACTCCTGCCGAGTCACGCTGCTCTCGGCGGCGGTCCAGGCGCAGGAGCCCGATAAAGAGATTGGGCTCCAAGCGAACTGGAAGGATCCGAGCCAGCTGGTCCTGAAGTACGCTCGGAGCCGCAAAGAGATCTCGATCGAGATGGTCAAGCGGCTCACGAAGAGGATAGCATCCGACTGGAAATCTCCACCGGAGTTCGAGGCCGACGATACCAATCTGGTCGACTTCGGAGATCTCGCTCTGACCTATGTCACCAAGGCTAGATCGGCTGCGGGATCCTCAAAGGATCTGAGTCTTAAATATCATGCCATGTATATAGATGGTACGGGCACGGAGCGAACGCTCTGCGGCCGGTACGCGATCACCGAGTGCGAGGACCTCGGCGAGATTCCGCCGAGTACTCAGATGTGCTCGTTGTGTTCCGGTAAGATCTTTACGGAGCCGTGAACACAGCTGTTCGCAGTCACGATGGCCGTTCGAGTTAAGCCTCTCCCTGACCGTAGCTTTTCTTTTCAGACAGCTCGTTAGGCAGCCATGGTCGATCGCA